CCTGTCTCGGCAAGCACATCGTCAATATATACGCTCCATCCAAGCATCACTAACGTCACCGAATCGACCTACACTCTTTCAGTTTGTGCGAGCACAGCGGCACACTTCCGGCCGTGTCATGCCCCAAACGATGATAGCATCCGACGGTACGGTCGCCACGTCCCCCAAGAGCATAGCTGATGTTCTGAACACTCAGTTCACCTCATTTGGGCTACCTGATGATCCTTCGTGGCGCATTCCCCCTTTGTCCCAGTCGCCTTTCATATCTGTTCCGTTCCGTACAATCACTGTCACTACGTTTCAAGTTCGGAAATATCTGAAGCGCCTGAAATGTGGAAAGTCTCCCGGCTCAGATGGGACCGAATGAAGTGCTGCAGTCTCTTGCACCATCAATAGCCTATCCTCTCGCCATTATTTTTAATATGTCATTTCGAACTGGTACATTCCCACAGGATTGGAAATCCGCCATCGTGACACCACTTTACAAGAATAAAGGCTCCCGTGCTTGCCCGGCAAACTACCGCCCCATCTCTCTGCTGCGCACAGTTTCCAAACTTTGTGAGCGTATTGTATTCGATTCCCTCTACCTGCACATCGCTCCGGCTCTCTCACCAGCTCAGTCGGGATTCTGCCGTGGTGACTCAACTCAATACCAGGTGACTCGACTTGTCCAAGACATAGCGACAAAGAGGAACTGTGGGGAACATGTGGGAATGGTGTTTTTCGACTTGGCTAAGGCATTCGACACCGTTTGGCATCGTGGCTTACTTGCCAAGTTGGAGGTCACCTTCCGGGTGGAGGATGCTGCCTTGCGTTGGATATCCTCGTATCTGTCTGCTCGTTCTCAGGCTGTTCGCTTGTCTTATTTCTTGTCTGATCCCCTCCCTGTAACGTCTGGAGTGCCCCAAGGTTCCATTCTGGGTCCTTTGTTATTCTTGCTTTACGTTAATGACCTACCTTCAGTTGTCCCCGATGTTAGTTTGTATGCGGATGACACTGGCCTTATCTGTTCTGATTCCTCCCCTGCACAATTACTCCTTACCATGCAGCATCGCATCAACAGCACTGTCATGTGGATGCAAACGTGGAAACTCCAGCCCAATTTAGACAAGACAGAAGCCATGTATATTTCTTCATCCCCTCCTGATCAACCATTATACTTCCCTGACTCGACTATGCCTATCCGTGTTGTTACTCAGCACAAACATCTAGGTGTGATGTTTGACTGCAAACTCTCTTGGACTGCACATGTCAACTGTGTATGCAAGCGAACCAGTTCAGCATTAGGGGTACTACAACCACATTGCACTCATTTGCCCATCCAGTGTAAACTATTATTTTATCAGTGCTATATTCTCCCTATATTCGACTATTGCGATACCGCTTGGTGTGGCCTTTCTGACACAACTCTGAACCAATTAGAAGTCCACCATAGATTTATACTTAAAATTCTTTACAACAAGGATCGATGTTTTCCTTCGGATGCCCTTTATCGACTTGCACACACTTCTCCTCTCTCCGTTCGTCATAAGCACCATCTCTGTACACTGGTTCATAAATATTTCTTCATAAAACCCCTTCACACATGATGAAGTACAATTGGTTTTCGACAAGCTCAACCCGTAACGCGCTCATCCTGCCTCTTGTTAAGTCAGCCCAGTATCTAAAGTCCCCTTTGTTTTCCGGCTACTCTCATTGGTTATCATTACCATACGGTCTGAAAACTTGTTCTTCTATTGGTCAGTTTAAAGATCTACTATCCCAACTGAACTAGACGCAATAATTATCATCGAAGAACATTCTCGAATACCTGGGTGATGCACGAATTTTGATAGTGCTCACTTCCGTTAATCGTTTTTCTTTGTAATTTTCCATTCATTTTCTGCTCTAATTCATATTTGCTTTGTTTTCCTAGCTTACTCTTGCCGTGGCTGGCTCAACGCCCTTGTCTCAGGGGATTCTGTCCCTGCATTAGCTATGCTTGTCACATGCTATGAGATTGTGTCTAATAATAATAATAATAAGGCCAAACTAAAGAAGGTGTGTGGTTCGACTAACATGGACATTTTTTTTACGGGCGGGCGGGCGGATTTTTTTTTTTTTAATATATTTTTTAGTACATGTAAATACACTGTATACGCGTATCGAGTAGACTCTACTACCAGCACAAAGGCAGCAGTCGTACCACTCACTGCACTGCACTGCAGTACAACTACAAGTCAAGTCCAATAGGAGCCGCCTGCGTCCGCAGACTCACGCCGCACAGCACGTAGACGTGGACGTGTTCAGTCCACGTACGTCAGTCACACGACAGCCCGCCGAAAAAAAGTTACGGTCGGGCTGAAATTGTACGGTCGGTCGGGTGAGTCGAACCACACACCTTCTTTAGTTTGGCCTAATAATAAGTCGCAACTCCTAAGTGCGTATTGTGCGTTTTCTGAAAATATGGATGCGATCTCAGCAACTTTCACTTGTTAAGCTGCGAAATATTTTGCCATCTTTGGGAAAGGGCTATTCACATCTCTTAGTCCTGGTTTGTGTTGTATACGAGGTTGTTGTATACAGTGAAACCTCGTTAAGAAGAACACGGATAAGACAAACTTTCACTTTGGAAGAACTAACATTCATGACTTTATTGGACAAAACACTGTGTATTCACTGGGTATAAAATACGGATAAGAAGAACTCCCGTTATTGCAAACAAATACCACCGGTCCCTTAGTGTTCGTCCTAACGAGGTTCGACTGTACTTTATTTTGTTCAGTGGTCTTCTAGGACAGGTGGTCGCCTTATCCGAGGGGTCGCCTTGGCAGGTTTTACTGTAGATTTACATGACTGTATTAGGATCCTAGCCGTGCTAAAGGATGCAGGTGAGGAACACAAGGTGAGATAATAGGAGTTATCACTCCCTTAGTATTGACTTACATAGATTTTTGCCATACCTAAGCAGTCAAATATTCCTGCATATTTCACTCCTTAGGGGCCATCCGTAATTATCGATCTTTTTCACGAAACGAAAAAGTTTAGTTATGACCCACCCCCACCCACCCACCCCCCTGAAACGAAAAAATTAATTGACTTGAGACTTTGTGCAGAAAATGATCTTGATTGGCTGTTACAACACAGCGAGGCCACATTTTGTGTGATTGTGCAAGTAAGTAACATGGTAACAACGAGTTACGTTAGTTATGTTTTCTTGGAAGTCTGGTACTACTTCTTGACCATGGAAACATTTATGTTCACCGACCACACTGTTGCACCCACACATACGCTGCTGGCACCTCTACGTCTAAACACGGGAATTGTACACTTGCAAATCGTCAGAGTTCCGACATTGACATGATACTGCCAAAACAAGTCGACTTCGGAGCGGAAACAAACGCCATAGCTATCACAGACTTCAGTGGTCGTGCCTCGCTCGCAAATGAGAGCAGCATCGCCCCAGAATCGCTGTCGGAAAGCTCCGTAAGGTCGCACGCACGCCGCGCTGCGCTGCCGTCAATCAGGTACGTAGAAAGTCGATGGCCTAATTTTCCGTCTCTGGAAGACTGTCGACACGGGGATCACTCTCCATGGCTTCCCCACCATAAGCACGATCAGATTCTTCCAGGTACATTACGACGACATCGGCTTCAGCGGCTGGCGCTCCCTATATTTGCGTGAGAATTTACTTGGCATGCGCCCCGCTCCGTAATTTGAAATTCTCTTGCATCGGCGGCTGGAACGAAGTATTTATCTATCTGTCGTCGGTCCCAGAGTGAATGACCATGATGACTGCTAGGTCCTCGTCGGAGAAGTCATCCGAGGACGAAAGGAACTCACTGCACTGAGTACAGAGTCTGAGAGTGGTATCACTATCAGTGCATCCATGCAGCACTTGCTTGGCCGCGCGACGTAGAGTCGATCTACTGGGTCTGTCGATCTACTTCGATGTACACAATGTATGCATGTATCAATGCATGCAGTGAGCGTTGATTTTTCCGCTTTCGATGTTTTTTCAAAACGAAACCGGTCGTTACCCACCCACCCATAAACGAAACTTTTTCGTTTCGTGAAAAAGATCGATAATTACGGATGGCCCCTTAGGGCTATATTGACTGCTTATATTTGACTGCTTAGGGGTTGCGCAGTTGAACGGTGCCTAGTGCAGCATTGTCATTGCATGAGTAGGTGGTGGTGCAAGGGTTGTGCAATCATAAAACCGGGATTCATGAGGTTATCGTTCTGGAATTGGAAATACGGACTGTTTGTGGTGATAAATCTAATATTGACTTCGTACTTGGTCAGTATAGGAAATAAAAACCTCGTAAAAGACCTCGGCTTCGCCTCGGTCTTTTACTCGGCTTTTATTTCCTATATTGACCTCGTACTCAGTCAATATTAGATACTGAGAGGAGTGAGTATGCCTACGCGTGTAAGGGTGAGGTGTGACGCCCTGTTTAATACAGTGTGTAATTGATAAGATTATTTATAATGTATACGGCGAATAACCATGATAGCCACACTGATCGTGTCCTCCTGGGAGAAGCATGTGCTGGTTGGAACACATCGTTACCCCTAGAGCTGTGATCTTAGTTACTAGTATGACTCAGACAGTTGTCTGAGGATTGCCTTAGCTTTGCTCTGTGCATGAAACGCAGCGTTACAACAATGAGCTAGCCGGCTGTCTCTGTTCTCTTCTGCCTTTGTGACTCAAAGTTACGTTTAGAGTGATCTGCTAAATACTTGTGCAAGGCAGCTAGGAGATTCGTTTGCCTGCCTGAAAAGCCAATGGCAATGAGCGGTCGCTTGTACTGTTGTAGCCTCAGTCGTGCTTTCGTTTGTGCGACACCCTGGTCGTTTGCCACTCCAGCTGTCCCACATGCACGCCGCATCAAGTCATCCGACCGCATGTGCGGATACAGACTCAATGCAGTGCCCGGAAACTACACGTACACGTCTCAGGGGCTGAGTCACAGTGAGTGTGACTATCGACTTGTTGCATATTAATTTTGTTCCGGCCACGAGCGAATCCGTCTTTACACGGTGTTATTCGGTCCAGTTGTGACCAGGGTGACCAGGCCAGGGTTCGCGAAAGGCTTTCACGACTCCCTGCTTTTGACATGGACAGAGCGACGCGAATGTTTTGTGAAGCGCTGACAGGGTGCAAGCAGCGTTCTTCTTTTTCTCAGCCACAGTTCTGGTGACCCCAAGTAGTTGTCAGTGTTGGTGCCGGAGTTTACCTACGTGGCGTGGCAAAGCGTACAAGCAACACTGACGTTTTGGGCAGTTTGGGAGACCCTAAGCACTTCCAGAACCAGTCTGGCCATGGTCAAGCGCTTGGAAGGCCATTACAGCCCTGCTGGCGCGATGGTGGATTGCCTCAGCTCCTGACCGGCGACGTCGAGGGTAAGACGTCAATGTGGATAGCTCAAGAGTGCTTGTTCCTTCTTGTTACCAAGTGTTTGTTCCAGCCAAGAGTTGCATGAACCGCGCAAATGTTGAGCAGACCATTGCGGTGCACTAGTCCATAAAGTGATGAAAGAATTAGAAAGTCTTTTACTACATCGACGATTCTAAAATGAGGAGAATGATTGGCTTGCACCGTAACGCACGGCGAAAATACTTCAAGCGTCCACAAAATGTGTTTTTCCTTTCCACACAACAACACTCGGATAACACATCAGATACGAGCCTCTGTTACGAATAATGATATCATCGCCGTCACGTAGACAGTGCCCGTGCCATAAAAGAGTGCAGGTAAGCAGCGCAAAATGACACGACTCCAAATCTTTAGAAATATGGCCAAGCAGTAAAAATGACGTTTCGAATCACTGCTAAATATGCGGTGCAGTGTGTGGGGAAATTATAATGATTCACAATCCACGCCATGAATGCACATGTATATGTATGAGCAGCGTTGAATGTGGCATAAGACGACGGCAAGAGCCTCCCGCCACGCTGGCGATTTCTGAGGCAGCTACTGGTGTTCAGTATTTTCTTTTTGAACTCTATTAATCATGTGTACTTTGGCAGGCTTTGTGTCCGGACTCCTCACTGTACTTATCATGACATAGTGGCATTGCTCAGTGTTGCCACATACATGTAAAAAAAAGAAAATAATAATAATAATAATCATAGTACGAAGTCTGAAGAAAATGTTGAACGGCCTCTGCTGAGATGACGACTACACCATAGCTCAGTGGCTAGAGCATCGCTGGCTACAAGTGAGGGTCCCTGGTTCGAGTCCTGGTGGTGACAGTCAATTTTTTCTTCAGACTTTTCCCGTTTGTCTCTTTCCCTCAAACCAGTTAATAATAATAATAAATATAAAAAGGCGACGAGGAGACAATAACTTTATTAATGCGATTAATAGTATAAGTGAAGCGGACATTACAAAATGATGAATGAGAATACATGTATCTAAAATGGTTGTTCCTAATCGATTTTCTTGAGACTATCATCAGGGAAAAATCGTCTCACAATAGAGGCTATACGGAGAAACAAACTACTTAAAGGTTACAGGATAGTGGGGAGTATACAAGGTGAGGTGTGAAAAAAGAAACTAAAGTGGGAGAGAAGACGAAAGAAATTAGAAGAAAAGATGTGAGAGTGTTCCGACGGTGTGAGCTACTACAAAAGGTGAGTGAAATGAAGGCGTGGAAGCAGGTGAATGTGATAGAGTGAGGAAGTGTGAGGTGTAGGTGTATACGAATGAATACGTGTGTGAATGCTAGGTGAAGAGTCTCAATTTTGTGACATTTTCTTTCTGAATGCATATAATAGGTTTCGTGAACTTAGGGGCCATCCGTAATTATCGATCTTTTTCACGAAACGAAAAAGTTTAGTTATGACCCACCCCCACCCACCCACCCCCCTGAAACGAAAAAATTAATTGACTTGAGACTTTGTGCAGAAAATGATCTTGATTGGCTGTTACAACACAGCGAGGCCACATTTTGTGTGATTGTGCAAGTAAGTAACATGGTAACAACGAGTTACGTTAGTTATGTTTTCTTGGAAGTCTGGTACTACTTCTTGACCATGGAAACATTTGACCAGTGCTCTGCGAAAACCGACCTTAGGTGCTATTTTGGCGAAATTGAGTTTGTGCTGGATTGTTGACCCAGGACCCTTTCTTCAACTTCTGGTGAAGTTTTAGGTGGATTGCATACATATTCAGTTAGATACAATGACAATTTCTTTGCACTTTTCTTGCAATTTTTGGAGGAAAAATAGCAAAAATCCAGGGTTTTATGCTACATTTTGGAACCAATGCAGCGAGAATTCAAGCAGGATGATTGCAACCAAACTTTGCAGAATAAATCTGTATGTCATAATGCTCAAAAGGAAAGGTTTATGATGGCATTGGATCTTCCTGTTGTGGAGATAGACACATTCTATCTCTGTTCTGTGGATGGTGTTGCTCACGAATCTGGTGGAAGAGAAATTTGGCTCTGTTTGAGGATATGCCAGCCGGAGTGATGCGTAGAGGCAGGTGCAAAGTAGTGAAGAAGCTAGGATCAATACCGGATTAAAGGATATTGATAGTTTTATCTGGTACTGGTAGTTAGAACATCTAGTTATGTCTACATCAGCCGCACACATTGTTTCGTAATCGGTGATATCATGGCAGTCTCTTTTCCAAATCTTGCCAAACGTACTGTATGCAGCTTTGCAACCAGGATTTGTGAACGCCTGGTGAACAAGCTTCTTCGTAGTGATGCTGGGCAAATACATGTAGGTTGGTACTGGCTTGTTGTGTCCATGTCGAGCCGCAGGTTAAGGGAGGCCATGAACTATAGCATAATACTAGCATAGCATAACGCTCTATAAAATGCTTCAGCTCCACAACATCTTCTACAGGCAGTGCATTCCAGAGTTCTGTGTTGGGCTGATTACACTTGCACTGACAGCACTGTCAGCAGCCTGTAGATTTCAGCACCCAGGGCTTGATCCTGGAGGCACACACAAAGACTTCCTGACATGCATGTACCGATGACTTCCACACCAGCCACTGACTCCGTACTTCAGTAGTTCAGAGTAGTGTTGTTGAGCCCCATCTATCACATCTCCCAGCATGCTGGACGCGCTGGGTAGCCTCACCACGTCTCCTGAGCACGTCTAGCTTTCCGCCTACACACAAGCAGCGATCTCAGTGTCTTGATCAGGACCTGCGCTGTGTGTGCTGTAAGTGCAAGCAAGGTTTCAAGTGTCACGCTCTTGAAACAGCACCAGTGCGGAACACCTACAGCGCTTGTCAAACTTGTCACGCGCCTCCTGGATTGTAGACAGTACTTGAACCGATTTTTCTTGGTGTGCACTCTGTATATTGCCGGCATTGAGGGGCTGGGCTGGTGGCAGAACCGACGCCTGATCGAAATTCTCCTCCGCATCACCGTCCAGCTCGATCAGCGTTACGTCCTGCGATTCCACATCCGACTCTCCTCGGCACTGCTGTCATCAGAACTGCGATTGGACCAGGCCAAAAAATGACTATTCATCGTGAAGGAGTTCGGCTAAAACCTCTGGGGAGAAGCCCGCAGCAATTTGAGCTAGCGACTGTCTTCTGCTTCGTTCCGCCATGACTCTCACCTTGTAATCTTCAAAAATCGACAGATCGTGACGTTTTGTTCTTTTTCTCGAAAAAATTACGAAGCACCTAAGGTCGGTTTTCGCAGAGCGCGGGTCATTTATGTTCACCGACCACACTGTTGCACCCACACATACGCTGCTGGCACCTCTACGTCTAAACACGGGAATTGTACACTTGCAAATCGTCAGAGTTCCGACATTGACATGATACTGCCAAAACAAGTCGACTTCGGAGCGGAAACAAACGCCATAGCTATCACAGACTTCAGTGGTCGTGCCTCGCTCGCAAATGAGAGCAGCATCGCCCCAGAATCGCTGTCGGAAAGCTCCGTAAGGTCGCACGCACGCCGCGCTGCGCTGCCGTCAATCAGGTACGTAGAAAGTCGATGGCCTAATTTTCCGTCTCTGGAAGACTGTCGACACGGGGATCACTCTCCATGGCTTCCCCACCATAAGCACGATCAGATTCTTCCAGGTACATTACGACGACATCGGCTTCAGCGGCTGGCGCTCCCTATATTTGCGTGAGAATTTACTTGGCATGCGCCCCGCTCCGTAATTTGAAATTCTCTTGCATCGGCGGCTGGAACGAAGTATTTATCTATCTGTCGTCGGTCCCAGAGTGAATGACCATGATGACTGCTAGGTCCTCGTCGGAGAAGTCATCCGAGGACGAAAGGAACTCACTGCACTGAGTACAGAGTCTGAGAGTGGTATCACTATCAGTGCATCCATGCAGCACTTGCTTGGCCGCGCGACGTAGAGTCGATCTACTGGGTCTGTCGATCTACTTCGATGTACACAATGTATGCATGTATCAATGCATGCAGTGAGCGTTGATTTTTCCGCTTTCGATGTTTTTTCAAAACGAAACCGGTCGTTACCCACCCACCCATAAACGAAACTTTTTCGTTTCGTGAAAAAGATCGATAATTACGGATGGCCCCTTAAGGTATTAGAAGCTGTTTTCATCCGTAAACACAATCCTAATCTATGCATTCAGAAAGAAAATGTCACAAAATTGAGACTCTTCACCTAGCATTCACACACGTATTCATTCGCATACACCTACACCTCACACTTCCTCACTCTGTCACATTCACCTGCTTCCACGCCTTCATTTCACTCACCTTTTGTAGTAGCTCACACCGTCGGAACACTCTCACATCTTTTCTTCTAATTTCTTTCGTCTTCTCTCCCACTTTAGTTTTTTTTTTCACACCTCACCTTGTATACTCCCCACTATCCTGTAACCTGTAAGTAGTTTGTTTCTCCGTATAGCCTCTATTGTGAGACGATTTTCCCTCATGATAGTGTTGTAACTGCCACCAATGTTGTACCTCGCTTTTCTCTACCTGCTCCCAGTCCCGTGCCATCTCCACACTCAGTGTACAAAGGGACAACGATAACTACATTTAGAAGACTATATTTGTGACAAGACGACGGAACCACAACTAGACATGACGAACTCAAGACGAAGACACGATGAACTCAAGACGAAGACAGCTTTTCATACCACAGCAACACGCGCATGCACCAACATGACGTACACACGACGTACACAAAATAACGTACTACAACATAACTCCCTCCCAAGAGTAGAATCGTCCTCGATTCTAATAATAAAACAGAGTAAAAAGAGGAAAAGATCACACAAATCACTCAATCATACCACACCAGTCACACCCAGAAATAAAATACCTCTGCCTGCACTGCAGATTACAAAAACTCTGTCCGCCCACCCAGAACACCAGCCACGATCGCTGTCACACGTGTAGGAACTGATAACCTCAAAAACTCTACTTCACACAACACACCACCTCACGATCACGCAAAAATTCTAAAAATGTGAGAGCACAAATCATATGAATAACAAAAAGAACAAAATCCACTGGCTCTGTGGGGGCCTCTAGTTATCCTCATAGAAGAGCAAATAAAGAAACAAACAGAACACACGCGCTGTGCGGGCGCCTCTTTACCCTCGAGGAGAGCAAATAATAGGGAGGTTCTGCTCTACGTTTTGGGAACGCGACGCAAAGAATCACGCGAACTTTCTTCGCGTTCCCGTAACGTAAAGAAATGCTGTTCTGCTCTACGTTTCACCTAGAGAAGTCACGTGGAGTGCGTACTGGGACTTTCCCCTTCCATATTTGGCTGTTTTCTGCCTGCAGTTGATCGAAACCCAGCAGATCCATACGCATTTTCTCTGCGTGTGCCACAACGTAGAGAACCCCATCTCCGCGTAGAAATCTGGAGCCAAAACACGCGAAGCCGTAGACTCTAACCCAGACACCTGCTCTCTACGTGATTTCTCTACGTTTCACGTATAGCAGAACCTCCCTAGTAAAGAACAAAATGTTGGGAGAACAGAAAATACAAAACTCACATTCTCATCACATTCACAACAACACACGTACCCTCTCACCAACGAAACTCCTCACGCCGTCTGCCATGTCGTCCACCATCTCCAGGAGCGCTGCTCAGCGTCGACATCCTCACTTCTGCAGCCTCTTCTTCTTCTCTTCACCTTCCATCCTTCTTTTTTCTTTTCTTTTTCAGGTTTTCTGGGCACAGTTTTACGTCGTGTCCGGGACCACCAGTGACGACGACTGCCAAGAGACGGGAGAGACGAATGATGAAGGACGAGGACGACGGACGAACTTCTTCAAGACGGACAAAACTGTGACGATAGGACGACTGGAGATGACATCGGAAACTGGGAGCGAAGGCCACGCAGGACGAATCCAGAAGTTGAAGTGTACAACAATTTCCATTACCGCTGCCACCAATGTTGTAACTGCCACCAATGTTGTACCTCGCTTTTCTCTACCTGCTCCCAGTCCCGTGCCATCTCCACACTCAGTGTACAAAGGGACAACGATAACTACATTTAGAAGACTATATTTGTGACAAGACGACGGAACCACAACTAGACATGACGAACTCAAGACGAAGACACGATGAACTCAAGACGAAGACAGCTTTTCATACCACAGCAACACGCGCATGCACCAACATGACGTACACACGACGTACACAAAATAACGTACTACAACAATAGTCTCAAGAAAATCGATTAGGAACAACCATTTTAGATACATGTATTCTCATTCATCATTTTGTAATGTCCGCTTCACTTATACTATTAATTCGCATTAATAATAATAAATATAGCTACAAGGCGGGCTAATTGCACTGTATGCATTTTCTATATGTCGACATGTACACAATAGCGAGAGTTCCCAGATTTCCTAGAGTGCTCAACACCACAAGAATGGAGCATTATCACAAAAGGTAACGTGTTACTTGACTGTCACCCCTCCTTCTCTTCCTCCTTTTCTCACCTCCCATGCAATAACCGACACCATCCGCACCATGTCTCCCTAACTAACGTATCACTTGAAATGTCACACTAATGTTGCGCTTTTGCCACCTTTGCGCGCTATGCCACCTGCTTTTTCGCGCTTTATTCACTTTGCGCGCCCTGCTTTAGCTACTTGCCTGGGTATAAATTTGGACCCAGATGATGTACAGGCTATCAGGTGTCTGAGGATTGCCTTAACTTTGCTATGTGCATGAAACGCAGCGTTACAACAATGACCTAGTCGGCTGTCTCTATTCTCTTCTGCCTTTTGTGTCGACATGTACATGTACGTGCATGTGTAAATGGCATGCGATGATCGCAAGGCACACAACGAAAGGGAAGGAGAGGATTTGTTCAGAACTGTTTTCTTGTTACATTCCTCAGTGAATCTACGTAACAATGGAATGGGGACTACTAGTACTTGAAACCGATCTTATATGGACAAATAAATGTGAAATAAAGGGAAAAAAGAGCGAAACACAAAGGTGACTATACTACATATATTCAGCGGGGGACAATTTCAGCAGGTAACAATATGCATGTGTGAATTATCACTGGTCAGCAAAACAAAGCAAACCTGAACAGACGGAAGGAAGTGCGAACGGAAAAAAAGAAAGAAAAGAAGGAATAAGACGTACCTGGGTTACTAAGTTGGTACAGTGCACTTTCCTGCTGCCCACTGGCTTTACACATTGCAGTATGGCATGTGCCAGGGTTCTAAAGAACTTTGATTGGCTTGAGCGACGGAGGTTCATCCTTGGACCTCACTGCAGTTATGAAAGCGGCATCGACCTTGTCGGATTCACTACACCCTGGTTTGTTTGTTCTGACTTGATGAAGGTGACCGGGTCACATACACGTCTACCGCAGTCCTCTGGTCGTCCTTAAGTTAATCAGCGTGAATATGGTAAGATTTTTCTTTTTGCATGCCTGTGTTTCCTTCACACTTCACACTCTTCTCATCGCTTTCCTACAGCACCTCACAGCATGTCTACTCTATTCGGGTTTTGCCTGCGTTTAGTTTACTGTTTAAACTTTTCACCCTGTGATGGGCCAGGCCGGAAAAGCGGTGATAACTTTAATTTTTTATGTTTTTAAAAGTGACGCTTGCAGCGAAGAGACTGATCCAGGGTTTGAACTTGAGGAAACCGTATGTCTATTAGATGCTGCTGCAATGCTAAGAATCTGCCCACAGGCAAAATGTGCAACTGGTGGGTAGATTCTTCATGTTGAAAAAGGAGAAGGACAACATGTTACAAGTCCGAGTTATGACTAACTGTCCACCGACGTAACCAGATCTTATACAGTCAGCGAGTGCGACTGTTCATGTTGCATGCTTTTTTCTACACCAACAGTGGGTCCCCCCCCCCCCCCCCCGCAGGGCCCAGTCCAGTCCAAATCAGGTGGGTAGATAGCACTTGGCGGATTATGCGGGCAGGACAATTGGCAGAATCACTAGGTACTTTTCTGGTCTGTTTCTTCCTTGTTTGTATGCATGTACATGTATGCATAAAGAAATGAAGCAGAATTCAAGGAAGTGCCTGTCATACAGCTGGTATGGTTCTGCCAGTGTCATTGCTTTTCGAGCAGAACCTGTCAATTCGTCGAGCATTATCCGCCACGGGCTACTGTGCATTTTCAAACCCCACGTGCTGATCGCTGTCTCTCCGGCTTTGTTTGCAGTCACAAAGCACGACCTCCGGCACTGCCATAAGCACAAGCAACAGCATCGATAACACCAGCAGCAGCGGTATCACCATCACCGATGATGACGATGAGTCACTCATCGCTTCCCTCCTGGGCTGCTCGCTGTGCATCGTCTTTCTGGTGGCCACCATTGTAACCATAGTGATGAAAAAGTAAGGCAGCAAAATTGCTAGTACGCTCATACCTCGTTCATCCGGGCAGTCCGGGACCGAGTACTGCCCGTAACTTCGAAATGTCCATAACTCCGAATTACATGCGTGTACAAGTACAATGCATTGCATGCTCTCTCTCATGCAGCACACGACAGAGTTGGATTCAGAGACATCATTCACAATTCTCTCGCTGATTAATGCCTCTACGATCACCTTGTGATTATGAGTTATACATACATACATACATACATACATACATACATACATACATACATACATACATACATACATACATACAAGTACAAATCAGACAAAGTGTCTGGAGTCCTTGCTGCACATAGTGCTCAATACCTCAACATGGGCAGAGCGTACTACAGGTCGGCTGATGAGTGTTTATGGACACGAAACTCCGAGTTACGGGAAAGATTTTTGGTCTCTGTTGTTCTGCCTTTGTGCACAAGTACAATCATGTGCATATCGATGGGGAAAGGCCGTAGGTATGGCATATGACGTCACTATTTCCACAAAGAGTGAAACAAGGGTAGTGATACTTCCACTGAAGCTCGCCCAAAGGGTGCCCGGTGGACCAAAGTGCCCGTAACTTCGGGATCCGGATAACCGACGTATGAGTGTATTCTGATATTGTATATACAGTGTACATGTACATGAAGTTGATTGTTCCAACTAGGAACACACGCTTCTTGCCGAACTTGACACTCGACTGACTCACGACTGCCATTCGGAGCACACGAGGAGCACGTCGCACCTTCCACTCGGCAAACCTGCAAGAAAGCACCACTCCCTGCTCAATACACGGTGTTTCGGGGAATTCACCCCTCATCAGTTGAGCTTGAGTAGGCTGAGGAAGATTGTGCCTGAAAGCACCACTTATATACTGCTCTCCAGGCCAAACCATCACCAGGGATACAAACTTACAGAGACGCTTTGTTTCCAGCGCGACAAACACCTCGTGAAGCTCCAGGTAGCAGCGTGAGTCAGAGTCGCTCATGGAGTTGTGATAAACAGACGTTGAGAGCCAGTATAGCTATTCGCAACGCTGTCACCTCCAACAACTAGTCGCACGTCCACGTGAGGGACAACAATACGAACTTAGAAGTTGCGACTTCGGCGGTAATAGTCATGAAGTTGATTGTTCCAACTAGGAACACACGCTTCTTGCCGAACTTGACACTCGACTGACTGAGTGGTGCTTTCTTGCAGGTTTGCCGAGTGGAAGGTGCGACGTGCTCCTCGTGTGCTCCGGATGGCAGTCGTGAGTCAGTCGAGTGTCAAGTTCGGCAAGAAGCGTGTGTTCCTACATGTAGTTGGAACAATCAACTACTTCATGACTATTACCGCCGAAGTCGCAACTTCTAAGTTTGTACATGTACATGTTCACGTAATGACCGGAGTACACCACTACCCCCTTCTCCCAGAGTGGAGTCGTCCTGCAAGTACTGCTGCCCATGATCCAGGCACAATTTCAAGGTGACATCATTAATTTTTCTTGAACGTCTACCCTGTTATTGAGCACTCCTGCTCGTTTGGTCTCGCGAATCCAAATAAAATCAATCAATCAAGCAAGCAATGCTCCTTGTATGTGTGGGTTGTTTGTACAAGAGTGTCAACGCATGGTGTGTGCACACGACACAGAGCACCATGCATCATCTGTTTTAACTAATACTTCGAAGTTAGTTTCTTGCCGATAGTCAATATTCAGACAACTAATGCGCGGCGCTCTGTGTCGTGTGTACGATAACTCTATTCGAATGAACATTGAGCACCCTACCGAACCGGAGGACTCTCATTTGATGTGTGTGTGTACATGTACATGTATGTGTTTGATGGACCGAATTTTGTACAATATCAAAGGATAAAATGTCGTCACTTGGTATTGTTGTGTCCAGAAAGCATGGCAGCTCAGTGCACCAGAGGCTGATGATGGTGACGTGCGTCATCCAGCTCTTCACGCTCGTTTTGTTCATCGCGGCCGTCGACGCCACCTCCAGCCCCGTAGCGTGCTCGTTCCTAGCTATACTGCTGCACTACCTGTTGCTATGCCCAACGGTTGCCATGGTGCTCGACGCCACGCTGCTGCGGCGGAAGGTCTTCAAGGTGCTGCAGTGTACGTGGCGCAAGGAGATACGCTTGCGCCGTGCCATTGTGAGTGTGTTCGGTGAGTGATTCCCGGCCTTGATGGGCTTTTCACAACATTCAATTCTTGTACAGTAAAGCCTGTAACTAAAGACTACCGTGACTAGCGACCAGCCTGGTACTAAAGACCACTTCGCCAGGCACGGATGGTCTCACATTCACATGTGGTTGTGCTGTGCAAACCTCTAACCAAGGACCACCTGCCATTAAAGACCGCTTTCTCTGGCCTCAAGGGGAGGTGGTTGTTAGTCACAGGGTTTTTACTGTATATACACTCATACCTCGGTTATCCAGACCCTTTGGCCTTTTTGGTGAGTTTCAGTGGAAATATTACTACTCGGCCTTTCGACCATCACCATGTATGTGATCCGGAGTTATGGACACTTCGAAGTTACCGGCAGTGCCTGGTCCCGGGCCATCTGGCCGGTTAAACGAGGTACGTGTATGAGAGTACTTATTACCATGTTCAGTGTTGCTCAATGAAATCCTCATGTCATCTAAGCTCATGGTGTGCAGAGACAATATTGGCCTTTGTCAAAAAATGCACTCTATCTTCAGCATTGTGAATTTTTCTTTGAGTAAATCATTCAACAAGTAAGCAAATGCTGCGCCGGGCACTGCGCAACCCTAGATCTGCCCACGTTGGGAAGCGAATTGTGTGCAGTGCGCAAACTTGACGCGCTCGATCGGATTTCATTGTGCCGCACTGTGCACACATGATTATGAAGGTACAGGTGGGGGGGGGGGGGGAGAGAGGGGGTAGCACAAACATAACACAAATATAGCACAAAATAATACGTTTTCCATGCAGTAGGATATCTGCAGGCACATGTAGGTGCAAGAAGCATCTGTAGTCACTGACCTGCAGGCACTGGAGTGAGCACTGAGCACTGGTGTGTGGCAATAACTCATTTCCCTCATTCCCGGGCCTGGGTTTCGCCAGGCACAGCTAGCCGTATTGAAATGGGAAATTTTGTTCGCGATAGTTCTCTTTACTCAGAAGCTTGAGGGAAATTTTGTTCGCGATATTTCTCTTTACTCAGAAGCTTGAGGGAGTTCTTTCTCTTTGCCCCTTTGTGAAAATTCTGTACAGCAATTCCTCTGCTGGTTATCTTCGTCGCGTTCGGCTCGACTAAAGTACAGCAGCATGGAAGCAGCGGTGAATTTAAATAGTAAGTTCATCTAACTAAGTAGTAATAGTAGTATTCTATTTTCCATCGGAAGCTTCAACAGTGATGAACACAACTCTAACAGAGTAGAGGGGTGTGGGTTGAGGAAAAATAATAATAATTTTGTCATCATCAGAAGAAGTCTTTGATTCTCTGTGTGTCCCGCATACAGCTGTTCCGTTAATACCTACAGCATGCTAATATTTGGCATCGCAACACCGATTGCCGTGGCAGTGAGCTATAACGTTGTGATGCTGCTGATGGTGGCCCGCATCCAGCAGCAGAAGAGCAAGGAGATGCCGCTGCGGATCATCAACAGCCCGACACTGGAGCAGTGGAAGACCTCGCTCAAGACGTGCATGTTCCTGACGGCACAGCTCGGCGTCACGTGGATACTGGGACTGCTGGCTCTGCTCACCCAGGCCGGCGAGCTGCACTATACGTTCGCCGTGCTCAACGTCACCCAGGGCTTCGCGATCTTCCTGCTCACTCTTCGCTCAAAGGAGGGAACATTGGACATGGCGGCCGAGTCGGCCGCGTTTTCTCGACGCGTTCAGGCCGCGTCACTTCACCTCATCACGGTCTTTACAAACGATGGCGCCAGGATCGTAAATCGCAATCCCATGGTCGAGTGCAGACTTTGAGATGACTTTGAGATGCTCAAGCAGACAGGTTTCCATTGAGCAAGCACTGTTTGGAGACTGTTGCACCAGCCTGCAAACTCAGCTAATGCACAACATGCAAGATTTTACATCATTACGTCATTACATCATTATCATTACATCACTGATTCATCTGAGCATCATCTCCCCACTGCCTTCAGTATTGTTGTAATGATCTATTTTGGCCTACAGCTTGAAATCATAATACTGTTGCGATAGCTTGCCCCGCTTTGTAAATGGTTACAGGTAATGAATGAACGTTCAAAATTGATAAAAAGTCAATGTCAACTAAATTCAGAAAGTGGTGGACATCGCGCAACTGCATTGTAAATGAAAGGGGGTTTGTCAACTGTCTGACAACCGCTCTTAGTTAGTAGAGTGAGAAGCAATTAATTAAGTAGAGCGGTTGTCAGTTGACAAACCCCCTTTTAATAATTACAATGTCAACTAAAACAGCGAGAAACACATCGGGCTACTGAGCAAGTGCATGACTGACTGTACATTGTACGTGGCTGTGTTTATTATCAGGCGTCCGTCTACAGCTCTGCCTTGTTGGTCTACTAGTACTAGTAATGGCGAATGACTTGCTTCGGCCCTGCGCCCTGCACACAATGACCAATGGGTTTGTGCAAGGACTCGGCCTGGTCGGCCATCTGCGTCCAACATGGCCTCCCTGCCTGTGTGCAGCTCATGCTCCCATAACACTCGACATCGTGAAATACTAGTACTTGGCTCATACCGACATACGCATACTAGTACTAGCCGGGCCGTGGCAAACATGGCCACGTAGAACTCAAACGCAGAGGCTTGTGCGCGCCGCGCGCGCCATGGCATGATCCTGATCAAATCCACGAACCCAGATTCACCACCGGTCACCACCCGCTGGGCAGCTGTCAACCACATGACGCCAAGCTTAGAGAAATGTCATCGTTCAACTGTCGATTCTAATATGCCTGGGCCGTTCGAGTCAAGGCTTGTAGGCCGTTCTTTGGCAATTTGATGTCTCTGTTTGTTTACCTCTCCAGACCAGTAGAAGGGAATGGAGGAGCCAGTGTCACTGAGTGGCAGAGAGCGAAATCAATAGTAATAGAGAGAGAGGATGGGAGAGATGAAAGAAGGGGGATGGAGGAAATCAAAGAGAGGGGGAGAGTGCATGGGAGGGAGTGCGTGGGAGAGAGTGCGAGGGAGAGAGTGCGTGGGAGAGAGTGCGTGGGAGATAGGGACACCAGGAGATAGAAAAGAGTGGAGAGGGGTAAAAAGAAGACAAGAGAGGACAGCAGAGAGTCTGGTCGAGAGATAACGACAGGGATATCTGTGTACAGATACATTTACTTATATATTTCTGCACCTCGTCACGGGCATGTCAGGACAGCCAATTGAATTGAGGAGAGGGTGAGACCAACCACGGAAGAAGAGAAAAAAAGAAACATGGACATGGCATGTACAGTAGCCGAGGAAAATAAGCAGAAAAGAGAAACGTTTGACCGTAAAGGACTAGCTACAATGTATGCCGGGCGTTTTCAAATACAGTCAAACCTCATAAGGACGAGCACCAAGGGACCGATGGTATTATGTACATGTATTTGTTCGTAATAACGGGAGTTCTTCTTATCCATACCTTATACCCAGTGAATGCACAATGACTTATCCAATAGAGCTATGAACACTAGTTCTTCTAAAGCGAAAGTTTGCCTTATCCGTGTTCTTATTAACGAGGTTTCACTGTATGTACAGTGAAACCTGGTTAAGAAGAACACGGATAAGGCAAATGTTTGCTTAAGGTGGCAGACTACCCAAAAATTCGCTGAAAAATCGAATTTGTAAATTCATATTGAGTGCTACGTCAGTTGAAAGAGCATGAATAGCTGCAAATTCTCTGAAAATTGTGTCCCGATCTGACCGGCCGTTCAAGAGTTATGGCCGAAAATGTGCCCTTGCAAGGAAAGATTTTTTTGTTGCACCCTGTCATTTGTTGGCAGCACTGTATTTGAATGTGAGCAGACCGTGCGCAACTTGTCGTATCATGGAAACACGTGAACGTGTGCAGAATTTTGCTCCAAGTCCAAAAAATCAGGTTTTTGAGCCACGTATTGGGCTGCACGGCGGCGGGCGAAGCCCGCCGCCGTGCAGCAGGACTTTTGCCAGCACCCTCGTGACGTTGCAGATATGTGGCTTGATTATTGTAGTTGACGTTGATTTAGTGACTTTGGCAAGTTTGAGTCGTGTCAAGAAGTCAGGTAGGATTCAGTACTAGGCAGTAGTGAAACGTGAGTGGTAGTCTTTGCCGGTTTCTGAGGGTATCCTGGATTTGGTGTGCAGCGCTGTGGAAATGGCTTGCTGTGGAGGTCCCAGCACTGGATGTTGTATCAAAGGTAAGACCTCGTAGCACGTGCTAAACCTAAAAAATTCAAAAATTGACTTGGGTCTGTGGGAGTGTGTGAGAGAACGCCCACTCGTTCCGTTGTGACAGATTCCAGGGCCTCGTTGAGGGGCCCTACCCCATCACCCATGGCTGCTTCTGGACTTGTTCTAGGTTTGGGTCCCGCGCACGAACAGAATGAGCACGAAAATGTGAAAAAATTGTAAATGCATTTGTTTGGCTCCTGGGTGGCTCCGCACACCGTGGCACTATGCCGGAAATTTGAGTTTTTCCGGCCTGGAAAGCCTGTCAGTGAGGCGCAAGAACTTGTAAATCATGTCCTGAGGGCCAGCATAGTGGCAGGAGTGTGTGGTCAAAATTTCACTCAAATCCATTGAGAAACACCAAAGTTACGGTCAATTGAATGCCATATGAAATTTATGGGTAGGCTGCCCCCTTAAAAAGAACTAGTATTCGTAACTCCATTGGATAAATCACTGTGTATTCACTGGGTATAACATACGGAGAAGAAGAACTCCCGTTATTGCGAACAAATATCATCGGTCCCTTGGTGTTCGTCCTAAAGAGGTTTGATTGTACATTATTCCATTATTACATTATTCCATTATTCCACATTATTCCATTATTCCACATTATTCCATAAAGTAATCCATAACCAACATACATGTATTCGCAATCTATGTTTTCTTTGAAAGGTATTCCTGACTTTTGTGTCTAGGCTAACCACATCTATGATAGTTTCAATAGTTTGTGTATATGTCAGTTATAGTAGTCCGCAATGCTGCTTTTCTAATTCTCATTATGATTAGCATGCAATGTACTACCCGAAGTACTGAATTTACTTCTTCTGTACATTATTCTAATGTATCTTCTACCTCTTCTCCCTTACGAACATACTTTCTCATTTTCCATACTTACTTAGGAGACTCCCTTCGATAGGCATCTATTTGCCTCTGGAGGATCCGTGAAATAAAAATCAAGCAAAAAAAAATGTACATGTACATTTACATTGTAGGTGATTAGTTATACATGTACAGTGAAACCTGTCTAAGACGACCGCTCAAGGGATCTTCAAAACGTGGTCTCTGTTACCAGGTGGTCTCCTTATCCAGGGTCATTTGACTGGAAATAGCATTCCTTGGTCCTGGTTTCAGTGGTCTTCTTGGACAGGTGGTCGCCTTATCCGAGTGGTCGCCTTGACAGGTTTTACTGTAACAGTACTGGGCAATGCAATCCGATCAAGATCAGGGACGCGCAGGACACGATGTGCAGCCGAAGACCTGCGAGTACTGGATCGTGTGTTCACTCCTGCAGGGCTGCACGGCGCAAAGCTGATTCTCTTTAATAGTTCGCATAATTATGAGTGCAGAAGCCTGGTCCAGAGAGGTTTTTACTTGTACCAATTCAGTACTTCTGCGCGAGCTACAAGACAGCACACTGCATGCACTGAGATCGCTGTTTATTGTTTGATATCGCGCTAGATCATAGACTAGAAACATCTGATGTTTCGTGGACGGTCGATACATGTGCCTTGAAAGAGTCTAGGATCTAGGAGGCATTCATGTAACACCCGACACGAACGAACTAGTGTTGGGTATCCTAGCCCAAGTGGGAAGTGTTACCCGCTGACGAATGCTATGGAACACTGTTACCGAGAGTCGAGACCTCACACAAGCGGGGAAGTACATGACTGTACTTGTTGTAACCCTAGCAGTGGATGGACTGAGACAAAATTCACAGCAGACACACTCAGTGAATAGCAACTGAATAGAGCGGTTAACCGGTTGTCAGTTGACAAACGTCCCCTTTTATTTTACAATGCAGTTGCGTGATGTCCACCACAGGCACAATCAGACTGGGAGTACAATAAGTGTGAGTAACACATGACGATGATCATGTCAAAAGAAGTGTTCATTCATCACCTGTGTCGTGCATGCCACTCATAACACACGTACACGCTCATTCATCCGACACTGCCTTCCTGAGAGATCAAAGCTCATTGAGTTTCTGGCACGAGACTTGAATGCTCCGAGTCTGAGCCGATCTCAAAATGCTTCGTTGCTCCCCGGCCCCGGACTTCATTGTGATCCCCAGCCAATCACTCTGAGTTCCGCTGATGCCTTTCGTCCAACACAACAGCAGGAACGAACTTGAATTTGAGATTTCTCAAATACAGTCAGTATCGCCTATAGCGTTGGTGTTTGATTTTGAGCATTTTATCACTATAAGCGATATATCACTATGACCGATACTGCATGAAATGTATGCGAGTGGGGTGTCAAACGACTCAGGGTGCCGTGCACATACGCACTGCATAGCTGGCTACAGCTCATGTCACACAACATCAGCATTTCCTCACGATGGAGGCATATTTGGCAACTTGTACAAGCAGAACTCACCAAACAACACTGGATAAGTTAGTTCTTCACGAAGAAGTAACACCCTGTTCTCCTCTGACACCACTTGATTTTACAACAATCACTATAATCGATGCAAAAATAATGTAATAAAGGTCTTTTGAAATATGAATTTGATCACTATAGGCGATATATTACTATAGACGATTATTGCTATACGCGATAACTGTGTATACTTAGTTATGGCAAATGAAAATGAATTTGAGAAATTGATCACTATATCCGGTATATTACTATAGCCGCCAACCTTATAGGCGATACGGACTGTATTGGCATGGTGAAATTATCTTTCGTCGGACAACAGTTGTCCTGTTTTGCCATTTCTTTTTAGATTTAAGCCAGGATGGCCCTGTATTGGGCCACTATTGGCTTCGTCTGGCCGATCAGACAGGGGCTGTCTTTGCTGAATCATGCTGCTCACTTGTACCTTGTTTGGTATGCTGCAGAAAATAAATCCTACTAGTACAATGTCATGTACATGATGTGGCAGCATTTGGTGTGAGCTCAGCCGCTACACGATGACGCAGCGTTCAGCTCTTAGTCACAACTGGAGCTTATGAAAACTTCCCTGACACTCAGCACAATCATGCCACCGCCGTACCCAGTAGGTGTAAAGTCCGTGACAGTGCGACGACGAAATCTCGCTAGTCTCATCGCTGAGAACAACTACCACATGACAAGTTGAACTGGTCAACAGTGCACTCGTGGCAGACATTAGTCAAGACATGGGACCATTCCTATCTCCTTCAAGAGTCCTTGTGTTTACAAGATGGCGGCAACACAATGCGAGAAGCCAACAGCGACAGCTCATCCAACGGCCACCACTGCATAAGACGTTCCCCGACGCTAAAAGAAGAGCAAACATCTTCGACAAAGATTCGAACAGCTAGTTTACCACGTGATCAAAATAGACTGAACGATTCTCAGTGGCACGCAGTGACAAGCAAACGCCTCGTTGCAGCACTGACAGAGCCTGTCACAAACACTGCAAGCAGTTTTTCGTAGAGGACAGGTTCTTGCGGTTGTGAAGGCGGCCTGGGAAGACTTAGTATTCACATCAGCAGGGAAGGTGTGCAGAATGCAGGAGGTTCTGCTCGGCGAAATCCGACCAGAAGTGCTTTTCTCCGCGCCGGACTTGCCTAATAACGTTGAGACCTTGGAAGTGGTATGAACTACGCATGCTGCTCATATACAAATACAGTGACATAATGGGAACTGGTACCAAGCGCCAACAAATCTTACACTTTGGGCCGGATTTAGTGCAGCTGTGCTAGACAGGAAGATCTGCAGTGACTGCAACTACAGTACCGTATTATCGTCGTTGTTATTCTAACGTAGACTGTACGGACGGAACCCTATTCAAGAAAAGGGGAGTTGTAAAAGCCAGCGTTCCGCTCATCGGCTGCTACTACTAGTGCTAGACAGTTCAGTAACTGTTAGTTACACCTACAGTTACTTGTTAAGAGTACATGTTCAATCATGTCGCAGTAACATTCGTCAGATTGAACTCGGATGGAGAGCCCCAAGGATTATTTTTGGACAAAAAGTAAAAAGGACCAAGGAACTACAAGTTACACTATAATGTCCACTAACACCGCCAGTGACCAGTTTACTAAACAATCAGCTGATGCGATAACATTGCACGACAAGGTCAGTGTCGTGCAATGTTATCGCATCAGCTGATTGTTTAGTAACTGGTGGTGTTAGTGAACTTGTAGTTCCTTGGTCCTTTTTATTTTTTATAAATTCGTCCGATTGTCCGTACTTTTGTCTTATTCTACACAAACGTTAGGTGACCAAACCCTGATGGTGCTGGCACCAGAAATGCCACTTTAACAACAAAATTGTGAGCCTGTTCGCGCTGAAACTTCGTCGTTTCACCCACTGGGAGATCAACTGACGGAAAATACAATGTACACGTACCTGTGGATGCAAGAGAGATTGGAAGCTGTGTCGCAGCTCTGAGTTTCACGTATTAGTACTATTACGTCGATCATCAGGCAACGGATTGCTCCAAAACGGGCAATCTGTACCTGTGGATATTGCTTTGTTGTTCATTAGAATATAGCGTGCCTGAGTAGCAGTGATTACTAGTACTATGCAGACACTGTTATTCTTCTAGGGATTGATGCTACCAGCTAACCCAGGCGTTCTAGCATCGTAGAGTACAGTAGTGTGGTTCAGCTCGGTAGGTGTCACAATCAAAGCCAGCAGATTCCAATGAGCTGGGCTGACGGTCAACACAGACGTTCTATGAGTATGAGTATGAGCAAGAGTACATAACCGGTACTCTTGGTATGAGTATGAGCGCGGTTCAGGGCTCCAGATATGTACATGACATTGCAATACTCTACCCTGAGCAGAAGTCGAACAGGGAGGCCTAGCAATTTGTCTGACGTACTCAATATGACAGTTTTGAGGTGTTTTTGTTCGTATTGTGGCAGCCTCTAGCGCAGCTTGTCCACAAATTGCGTCCCGGGACATGCCCCCTTCGCTGCTTCCAGCACAGCTTTACGCGGGCACATCGCGAAATAGCAACAAGCTAGCTTAACGCGGCGCGACCCTAGTGAAGGTGACCGAGATTCCCGATTATCTGGCAGAGACGCGCACCACACAAGGTGTGCTGACTCCACAGATATCAAGAATCATGCTGCAGGCAACAGTAATAATTATACGAGCAATTTATTTCTATCTACGCTAGTACCAGTGCATATTCCTGATCCTGACACGGTCAACGACAGGTGAATGTGTGTGCTCTCATAAGCACAGTGGTTATCATGCGTATGACTTACCGTCCGCTGTGACCATCAAGTGTTTGTTATCTGGGACGCAGCTAGGCTTGTGCCCTTGCTACACACTACTACTAGTACTAGTACAATCATGTACATGTATATCTAGAAGTAATAGTTACTTCAGATCAAGAGTAGATGACATCTGTCTTCAGTGAGGACACTTGAAATAGTGCAGCGAAGCCTGCGAGCATACCCCTCTTGAGATATTGATCCTCCTAGCCCTTGGATTCTAGCTCCAAGTCCCCATTTCGGACGCACAGGCCTTTGACTGAGTGGGTGGCTGGCTACGTACCCCGTAAGTAGTTCATGTAAATTTCCCAATACTGGCAATAGCTATGCATTCCGGGCCAGCGCAATCTGTACACGCGTGTAACGGATGGGGGCTGACCATCCATTAATGGCATAATGCTACAGTACTGGTGCGTGCATAGCAGTTAAATTGCCATTGAGCCGCGGAACAAGCTGGGGGCATCGCACGTCCCCTGATCCTGCTTCTGGTGCGCCCACGGATTTGACCGTCGATGTGCCCACTGCATCGCAACAACTATACTCTACAAAGTAAGTTGGTGCCTAGCGAATGACACGCTGAAGTCTGGAACATCACCGTAGCATAACTACATTGTACCTCTGGGTAGCCAGGATTTCCGTGACTGGCGAACCCACCCTGAATAGTAGTGAACTGCCGCAGCTTCACTGCTTGGAATTGGATCTTGATGGCCACGTTCTAAGTGACTGTCTTTCTACTGAAAGTGTCAGAAGGAAATAAAGAAAAAAAGTTGCTTCATTACCGAGCTGTGCGCAGTTAGTGCTGGCTCAGGGTGCACGCCAGCGGAATATAACCGTCTGCTCTGCTTGTCGCCAGGGCATATCTGCGGTTCTGCGCATCCCGACGGACAGGCGGCCTCCTCCGCATGTCCCCCATGCTAGCCTGCAGTATGGACAGACGCATTTGCGGATCATGCGAGTCCGCGTGGTTTCTGCTAGTAATCCTTGTCTATGCGGCAACTGTGGGAAATATCGTCTCCGGTCAACGTCAGCTAGTGGGTAATGGCCTCCGACTCATCCCACTGAGGTTTGAAGACCAATGGAGTCTTCGTCTCAGTGATATTAACGTAGCATACAGTACATTGATTGCTTATAGTGAAGGTCGCAACGGCACACAGGATCATGGTGATTATCTCCTGCTTGCGCTAACCCGTGTCAGAGGTAGCCAACTGGAGTTCAGAGTCGAGCTGCACCGCATACACGGTCAGGAAACGGGTGTCGGAACTCTGAAGGTCGATGAGACGACACTGAACGAGGTCACGGTGTCGCTACGTCGTCTCACGCACAGAACCAACACCACGAATCATACGTCACTGGAAGTTTTGTGGAACTCCACCGTGGTGCTACACATGGACACGCCAAGCACGGACGACGATCTTCTGATGGCACCGACTGGCTCAATCTTCCTAGGGGCGCTGCCTCCGCCACCGCTAGTAACAGCCGCCAAGTCGCGCGTGTCCGAGTTAGACCCTCTCATCGGCTGCCTGCTGAATGCTCGTCGTGACGGATCGGAGAATGTCGTTCACGGCGGAGCAGGCAAGTGTCCGCAGTGCCAGCCGTCGACATGCAGCAACAACGGAGGCATGTGCAGCGTCATGGGAAGCGGGAAGGCAGGATGCGACTGTCGAGGAACTGGATTTTACGGAGAACGGTGTTTATCAGGTAAGAATGAACAATTTGCCGTGCATGTACAATATTCAAAATCTTGAGGGACGCTTCACGCAGCTTCTTTGCACTTGAATAGTTTCAAGGCAACCTGCCTACACTCAAGAGAGCACTGCATTTCACACAAATCCATTAGAAGTATCGTTTCAACGTTCAAGACCATCATCAGGTCCTGATGATGGTCGTGAAGACCGAAACGTTGACACGATACTTCTAATGGATTTGTGTGAAATACAGTGCTGTCTTGAGTGTAGGCAGGTTGCCTGCAAACTATTCATGTACAAGATTATTTCACATTTTGAATTTTTTCTTTTCGGCTAGAATACGGATATGGTGATGGTATTGTGAATGACGTCAGTGTATGGCGACACACGCTTACAATAGAGTAGTAAACTACAGGTATTTTAATACTCCATGGGACTTGGCTGTAAGGCAGTAATGGTGCAAGACAAAGAAAATTATGGACGGGAAAGAACAGGTTTGGTTTGTAATTCTCAAGCGGAGCGGACGGCATGGAGCCTGACAGTGACGGAGAAAGCGAAGGAGGTCTGAGTACGCCAGAAACAGGGAGACTGTGAGAAGGAGACACACAAGAGAAGAAAGAGAGACAGAGAGACAGACAGACAGACAGACAGACAGACAGACAGACAGACAGACAGACAGACAGACAGACAGACAGACAGACAGACAGACAGACAGACAGACCGAGACACAGAGAGGAGAGGATGGGCAAAAGGAGGAAAAAAACTCGCATGGAAAGGAAAGAAGATGAAAAAGAGGAGGCTGTTCCTGCAGCTTGTCAATGATGATAAATACTCACCATGCAAATTGTTCAGTGAAGCTACAGCTATACAATGTACATGTATATATGGCATATTTTACTCTTTCAAAATTTTGAAGGACGCTTCACGCAGCTTCATTACACTGGAAATTGTTTGCAGGCAACCTGCCTACACTCAAGAGAGCACTGCATTTCACACAAATCCATTAGAAGTACAGTATCGTTTTAACGTTTCGGTCTTTAGGCGCCGGTCACACATGCATGGCGCTTTTGCGACACCACCAAAGCTGCACCACAAAAGTTGGGATATCCCCGGATCACCATGGATACTGCGCCTGGCGCCACGGCGGCAATCTCAAAAGCGCCATAACCAAAAAATTGGTGGCGAAACACAAAAGCGGTAGTGCAACTTTTGCGGCGTTGTCGTTGTTGGATCTCTTGGATCTTGGAAAAATTAGTTTTTCATCTCTCGTCATGAAGTGGACTGCTGACCAAGAGCAACTGCTCCTCTCCCTCTATTTCGAGGTCAAGACAAGACACCATGACACCTGAGTCGAGTCCCATCCGACATGGGACTCGACTCAGGCGTCCACCGATGCTCAAGGAGCTTCCGCAAGATTCAAACGAAGAGAAATTGAACAACATGAATATTGAGGCAATCTCCATAGCTCTCCGCAGTCGCTGGTCACGACGTAGTCGGCGATTCTGGGCGTTTCTGCGATCCATACCAGCGCAGGAAAGGAAAGACAATAGTGATAGGAATTAAAAATGAAACAGCCAACTCAGTCAAAATGCAACAAAGCAGGTAACTTCCTGAAGAATTTTGAGGCTACAGTCTTTTTCAGAGAAAGGTTTTACGACACCTGTGGAGACCCGTGAAGCTGCGTGCGTACCAAAGCCTTTGCATGTGTGACCGCCGGCAGAAAAGAGCCGCAAAAGCGCCCACTGCCAGCGTGTTGGAGGCAGCCGCAAAAGCGGTGTCGCTGCCTGCATGTGTGACCGGCGCCTTACTCTTTACTTTACTCTTTGCTTCGGATATAAAGTAGTGGCGTTGGGTCCCTGGATAGTGTGTACACTGCCCTGATGTGATCACTAGGTTTGTTAACCAGTGAGAACTCAGATCGTGAGCCAAGGAAATGATTATACAAGTTGAAGAAAACATTGCGGCACAAGTTATTCGTTAGAGTCCATCAACCAAACAAGAGCACGTCTGACTGTTCAAAATCAAAATCTGGCTTAGTTGATGGAATCGAACGCACAACTTGTGCTCCGCCGTTGTCTTCAATTTAATGCCAGACAGCAGTCCGGTGTAGACCGGTGATGGTGATGTGTGCACAGCATGCAGTGCCATTCGGGGTTGCTCCCACTATCATCAACGTTCAATGCAACCTTTTCAGGATTGGCTGAAAAGGAGGGGGGAGGGGGGAGGGGGGGGGGGGGGGTGAGGCACCATCTCACATGTGGGTGCTGATGCACTAAGCCTCATTCAACCAGGCTGTACAAGTGAGTAGCGAAATTCATGCAGCAAAACCAGAGATGATCAAGTTATTTATTATAATATAATTGTCCAGTTTGACTTGTTCACGTTAACCGCATAGCCTTCTCTAAAGGGTAGGCAATAATGTAGACACCACAGCCCCTGGTGATGTTTTACAGGGTATAAGGCTGACCACATGCGTGTACGTAACATAAATTGTATTAAATTCACACCGTGGGGGAGGAACGTCGATGCCAGACATTCTGCGTGGTATTGCTGTGTTTGAGTGAGAATGTGAGGAGTTGAGCAAGCTCCATTGACTGCGACTTGTCAATTAACACCGTGATTTCGCGGAGCCAGTCCCCCGATAAAGCCCAATGGTGTGTAGCTCGAATTGTGCAGGAGGATCAGTCTAACACATTGGTATGCAGTTTAAAAAGGGTAACCTCAACCAGTACTATTACTGCATTAATAGGCAGTTTAGAATTCTTGCACATAATACATGTACATGTGCATGCATATCCAATGTGGCCATTTCGTGTGGCCGCTGGTCATCAGGGTTTTTTTCACATAAGTCCTGCTGGACTAGCAGTTGGCGTGTCCACATAAAACACCTTTGTGCATATACAACACGTCGACAGGAAGAGTGGTGCCTGCAGGTGCATTTGAGTTTGCGTGGCGACACAGGATATGGGGGGAGGGAGGGGGGGGGGGTAAAAACACGTACCAGTACTTGTGCTGGTGGGAATTGAGGAATACCACGTGTGAAAGACAAGGAGCTTGTATTGTGTTTGTCCCTTAGCAGCGATTTAATTGAGTATTGCTTATACAGTGTGTGTGTGCCAACACAAGATGCCGGAAGGGAGGGCGAACACCTGTACTCCTACTGGTCGGGTTTGAGGAATACCATGTGTGAAAGTCAAGGAGCGTGTGTGACCCTGGGCAGAGATTCAATTAGTGCTGAATGTAACACGGTTACACTGGGTACTTTTACAGACCAATTAGTTAGCCATGATTGTGATCATGTCATTTCAATGCTCCTCCCCTCCCCTCCCCCCCCCCCCCCGCCCCCCCCCCCCCCACCGCTGCATACAAAGTATCCTTGTACTTCTCAACATTATAATTATTGACATGAAGATGAGAACCTGGCCAGTATGTACAGCATAGCGAATGGGCATGAGACAAACGACACAACTTCCACCAGGTTCACATCCTGTGAAAAGACGAGAGTTTCGATGATCGTTAGGACTACTAGTGCTCCTCACAAGAAGTTGCCATTCAATTCTGAATTCATCCCTTCTGCCCAGATCGCTTACATGTAAATGCCAAACATGAAGTGCAACAAAGCAATTCCACCTCTACCAACCTCAAACACCAGCAACATGACTCCAAGTTGCAGATGAAGATGAACACTTTGAGATGAAGTGCAACGGACTAAACATTCAGGCTACAGTGTGAGGTGTGGGGGGGGGGGGGACATAACCATTGTGTATACAGGTACCTTTGGGATTTTCACAATACATGTGGCAAGGGAATTATCGAACAGCGCCACAAACGTCTTCAACGAGTACGTTAGAACTTAGATTTGGACACTTTTATGCGAAACGCCACCAATGCCAAACAACCAAAGCCACATTTTAATTGGGGAGGGCAGTTGTAGAAGAACTATAAGAGTGTCTTTCTTTGTTCTACACTGTGGCATTGACACCGGGATGGTCTGTCGGCTGAGCTTGATCTGCCCCACTGACACACCTAGCCTATCTGATACCTACCATTACAGGTACATGTAATTTGAACTGACCGGTCCTACTTCTTGTTCTCCCATAATTATTGGGTCAAACATGATATTGAAGGAAAGGTACTCCTTTTCCTATGGACTCGGATGGAGAGCCAAGGATTAATTTATAAAAAAGAAAAAGGACCAGGGAACTACAAGTTACAAATGTTATCGCATGAGCTGATTGTTTAGTAACTGGTGGTGTGAGTGGACATTATAGCGTAACTTGTAGTTCCCTGGTCCTGCTTCTTTTCTTTCACTATGGCAAAGAAGTCATTGAAAAAAGCAAGACGTCAGATGGTCTCTGATACCTCCTGCTGGTAGGCATGCTACAGAAGGTCCTGATGAGCCGCATGCAAAATGTTCATGACTGTACTCTGTCTGGCAAATATGCACAAAACATTCAGTACTTGGACGGAGTTCAAATGGGTAAAGTGTGAATTGACTCTCACCATCACCAAGCCTCCCAGCAAGGAATATTAGCTATGGTATTGGCCAGGGGCAGGGATGTTCTGCAAGTGCAATCTATATGAATGAAAATCAAGAGCGAAGACGTTGGCAATGTTGACACATCTCCTCGCAGGTGGCGGATACCATGAGCACGTGCAAGTCGGTCGACGACAACTCAGAGTCCGCTGATGTCAGCTCCAATGTTTTCGTATTAGTAGTGGATGTCATTGTTTAGCTGGTGTCTCACCCTTGATGGCCATCACTGGATAGTGACGGTGACAGCAGGTGTGGCAGAACAGACTGAGGGGAAAATATGGATACCAACTTCAACCTGGCAGCAACGGCTTGGCCTTCAGAGATTAAAAAAATGCTCTCAGATCCAAACGCTGTTGCAGCAGAGTTGACCAAGTCCGTGCGAGCGTTCTTCGTGCACGAGGAGTTTGTGACTGCGCTTTTGCTCCGGACAAGACGGCTGTGTTGCGTTGTTGACACGTCCTGTCAATCAGCGCTGGGAACTGTCACAGAAGGAAGGCTTGCAGTCGTCGTCTTCCCCGACTGCCCGCCATGTGCTGGGTGGCAGTTTGGGTGAAAGACAAGCCGAGGAGAAACCAAGGAGCAAGATTGTGAACAGACATTAACTAAGGCAAGGTTGAGGGCAGGGCTAGCGAAAGAATGCGGAGTAAAAATCCATCGATGCTGCCACTCTGGAATACTTGGCTGGTTCTGAAGGCGTTTCTAGTGAGGAAAGCTGCGACAACAGGACGTTGTGTCCTATCTGCGCTAGCTGACTGGTGTTCGTGATAACTGCCAAGAAGCGGAATTGCTCATTCAAACTAACTCTCGTTCTGTTCAATTATTTCCCAGGTACCAACCATGCGGGTAGCAAAATGACCATGAATAGAATGCGGGATAATAAAAGCTAATGGTTTATGCGAAATTTTGAGTCGTGACAGAGATCAATCACATGCACTTCTCACTCCATTACATGCACTACACACAACTGGATGTCCTCATTGTGGAGCACGAATACCGCCGGTGACAGTGGCAAGATTTCTGTTGTCGACCTTTCACTCAGCCATGTGCGATCATGGCAGCTGAAGCACCAGGTACTTGAGAGGTTTGGCAGTGATCAGGTGATGGATGGGAACGAAGGGCACCTGTTCAAACTGATTTATATGCACAGCATGCAAATAAAAATAGCGTCGCCAGCCGATGGTCAGAGAGTTTTTGTCAGCTAAGCTCAGTCTGAGTGAAGACGGGGAGCTGGTCGGAGCCACGACAATGCACTCTTATAGATTCTACTAACTATGCAGGGAAAGGTTCAGGGTGTGTCTTCAAAGTTCCCACAAAATGTGTGCTTGTAGCAAATCTCCGCTCTGATTTTTAATGAAATTGCTACTGTTGAAAAGGTCTCAAGTGGATTTGATAGCCTGGATTGCGACAGCACAAATGCCCTTGAAACGTAATTGCATTGGCTTGGTCAAGGGAAAGGGGGGGGGGGGGGGGCTGTGGCTTCAGTAGCCCTTTAGCCAATATTGTTCTCATGACAGCGGACAAAGGCCTGAAAGGCACGATTGGCACGCAGGCCTGCCGCATACTTGCCTGTACACGAGCCTCGTACAGTACTTGGTCACCAACGACACAATGAATGTATCAGTAAACAAAAACAAGCAATGGCCCAGTCGAGTGCATTGTCACTTGTGTACAGATGACATCTTCCCCGAGAAATAATTCGATGGGAGCCTTCTGATCAAATTGAAGTCATTCCCCAAGAAGACTATGGCATTGATGCAGCTCCTGGCAAAACAGAATGGGGGTCGTGAGCATCCGCTGCCTTTACTCAAGAGCCCTCACCCCCTAATAAGGCGAGCTGGTTTGTGAAGGCAAGTAAAGAAGTAATCTTTATTGTTCAATCCCCGAAATGTGCAGAACCATGCGAACCATCCCAGATAATTAGCCATTGTGAATATGAGAAAAATGTTTTTTGTTCAATCCACAAAATGTGAAGTACCATCCGAGGTAAATACTAAAATTAATAGCCATTGTAAATATGAAAAAATAATGTTAGCATGCCATATCAGCCGGCTATTATCAAGTCATGTATGAACCCACAAAGGTACAGGCAAATAGTGTGTTACATACCCACAGTGTAATTACACAGTGCTGGCGACTGGAATCCGATCCTTGAGTGGTGCCTTCACATTCTAGCGGTCTCTGTTTCGTAGTTTTACCATCCCGTGTTGGGTCGTTGCGATGTGAGCGCATCGCTCAGGTCAGGGGTCGGATTTCAGTTGCCAGTACTGTAGAAAAGCAAGGAGAGTGGGTATAGTATTAACGCTACGGTGCTGGCCAGAGAAATCCAACCTCCTGTGTATGTAAGCACCAGGAGACACGCAGCCATAGCGCTGTGCTCTGCACCGGAAGGCCACACTGCTGCTCATGAGGTCGAATTTCTTCAGCCTGATCTAGGAGTGTATGCTCATCTACATGTATAATTATTATGTCCATCAAAACAGACCTCTCTGCTATTTGTGTCACAGTTTAGTGTCAGTGACTGTAATTCCTGCAGTACAGCGCGTCAACCCCACTCACAGACCTAATGAAGTGGATCCATTCGGGCCCGCATCATACGAGCAGGAGAGGTTCAGGCAGCAACATTTTTGCATAATGTTTTTTACTAATTCCACAAGCCAACAAATTATGGAAGACGATACAGAGGACATTGAACGGTATAAATGAGTGGTGGTGGGGTACGAAGTGCCCATCCTTCAGGTGTCTCGGCATCAAAGCTAGAGGCATTCACAGCATGCATAGCACACCATGCGATGCCAGTGTTCTTCTGGCATTGACCTTGCACTTTGCAGCGTGACCTTGGAACAGACGTAGTTATTTTACTACACTATACCCCCTTGGTAGGTACATGTACATGTACAATAATAATTGTACTTCGAGTAGTGTCTCTCTCACACGTCGACTGTACTTGTTAGCTTATTGTCAATATTGATTCTGCATGGCAGGAGTGTGTACAGGATTGTGCATGAAAATAATTATTATCATTATTTTAATGTAAAAAAGAGAAGAAACACATGAGAACGAGTTATGCAGCAACGTTCCACGACTGTAACAAGATGATAAACGGGCAGAATTTAATAATAATTATTATCATGTGGTGCGAGAGGGTCCGGAATCCGCCTCGTTCCAAGCACTGGAGCTATCAATCAACACAAACGACATAAAAAAAAAACCGTGGCCGTCCGCCATTGCGGTGGATAGATACGATTCGGCACGACCTGAAGGCAGCGGATCTCTCCGTGGAGAGCGCTCTCCAAGCTGCAGGAGATAGACTAACTTGGCTTGACACTGTTGACAGATGCGTCGACTCTGCTCCTGTCTAACAGGTTCAGGGAAGATGCGAGCTGTGTTTATTATTATTATTATTATCATTTGAGGGATTCCCCAAAGGCCGAAGCCTAAATCGAGGGGGTCTCCGAGAACAAAATATCGGTGTGATATTATACATGTACATGTACAATAGGGGTTTTTTTCTTCTTTTTTTTGGTGCAAATTTTAAAAGGAAGAGAACTCAGATGGTGAGCCAAGGAAAAAATTGTAACATGGAAATTGTGGGCACAAGTTATGCGATCGAGTCCACCAACCAAACCAGATTTTGAATAGTCGGACGTGCACAATCTAGCACAAAACTGACAAGGACTAATATCCGTGAACCTTCCAAGTTGGATGGCCGTTGTGTAGCGCTATCCAGCAGTGCTCAAGCTGAGTTTCATGCCGTGGAATGTCTCAGTACTCCTTGTCAGTTTTGTGCTAGATTGTGCACATCTGGCTGTTCAAAATCTGGTTTAGTCAGTGGACTTGATCGCATAACTAGTGCCCACAATTTCCATATTACAAAAATATTTTAATCTTTTTGTAACAGTCTTAAAAGACTAAAAACATTAATGCGAAGCGGTTAATGTTAGAGCAAGTCTGCAGATCTGAGTAGAAGCACTCAAAAATAAAACCATATCTGGCGTATCGAATGTCGCTACAAAAAGCAGCGAAATTTAGAACAACAAAGTAAACAGCTGAATGGTGATACATGTAGGTCAGGGCAGCACTCTAGAGTTCCGTTCACTTCTGAAGTAGGCTGAAGGATGGAAGTACCAGCAGTAATATAGTGTTGGTTGACGGCATGTTACAAGGCGGAGGACCCACCGTGTTCGGAAACATTTCCCCTCACTACAACCATCCATGGTTGGCAGAGCCAAACATACTCGCCGTACAGTAAAACCTGGTTTAAGCGACCACCCCACTGTGCAAGCAAAAGCGGTCGTTAAAGCCAGGTGGTCTTTAGAACCAGGTCCCACAGTGTCTGTGTAGAACCGTCGGTGCATGGAAAACGGTCGTTAAGAGCAGGTGGTCGCTAAACTTAGAGGTCGCTTACACCAGCTTTTACTATAATTGCATTGACCCTGTACTCTGTCCCATTTGTCTTCCTCTGCTGCGACTTCTCACAGAGCACAAAGTGATTTCTTTCACTGGGGATCGCTGTTCGACCATACGTCTCCCGGGCACACAGCAAGTGTCACGTTACATTGGCCTGAGGCTGCGGATCAACGAGCGATCGCAGGGCGTTATTCTGGACTCCCAACACGCCAAGGTCAGTGTTGTCAGCAAGTCCATTCGTGTTGAAATCAAAGAGCGTGGCGCTCGCATGACCGAGCAGCTGAACATAAACACATGGCACCATGTATTTATTCGCCTTGGCCTCACCGAGACCAGGATCACCATTGACGGCAGGGAGCAGGAGCTGTTGACGTACGGTCACCATCGTCTCCATGACAATCACCACGCTCTCACGGTCGGCTGTCAACGTGGAGATCGCGAAGACAAATTGGTGCACACCTGTTTGCAGGAGCTGACCTTCTCGCGCGACACTCACGACACGTCCTGGACCACTCGCCTATGGCAGCACTCGTGGACAGACAGGAAATGGCCGCGCACGACCATCAATCACCATGGTGATCACGGAGGGCAGAATTATCCCCTGTGCTATCAGACAGAGCGGGAGTTTAACCATCAGGTGCAGTTCGTGACACGTCAGTCGAGTCTCAACGTAACAACGTTTCGAGGATTGAACCTGTTCTTCAGGTGAGAATTTACTTGACACTTTGATTTCACTATTTCCAGAGCATCTCTTTGATGATGCAGTATAATTCTGATTACCGCACAATGAAACACTTGTTGTTGATTTTATTTTAAATCGCAATGACCAACCGAGCTGAGGTGCTCAATAACAAGGAAGCGAATGAAGGTGCCAACAAGCACGAGGGGGCTTAAAAGCAGTGAATATTAGATAATGGGGAAGGTGTAGGTGGAATCTGGTCCGAGATGGACACTGAGAGCTCTGATTGGACACTTTGCACACTTTGTTGAGAAGTGGAAACTGAGATTTACCCAGATGCTGACTGTGAATATGAAACCGTTGTTCTTTTTCTTTTTTTAATAAGGGCAAAACCAGAACACGTTGTATCACCTATCCCGAGGTGGGGCGTTTCACGGATCCTGAAGTGATAACATGCACTTCTGTATTGACTGTACAGTAAGACCTGTTAAAGGGGAAGTTAAGCTTAAAATCAAACTTTCACCAGTTGTAGTCTTCGGGGTGCTGAGTCGAATGGTCAATCTTGGTCCGAGGAAGCTGAGACGCTCCCTTCCTCCTTTATCCCCAATCGAACTCGCGCACTTTAAAAAAAAATGTTTACAAGATAACCACAAACCATCCTGATGCAAACGCCGGCAAAAACGCACAGAGATGCACGTAGTGATGGCAGCCGAAGCAGTGGAGGCGGCGCAAGAGCAGCTAAACCGACCAGGGATCTCGGTTTCAGCACTGCTCATGCGCGCCAAACAGAAAAATACGAAAATAGAAAAAAATGAGCTGGAGCACTACAGAGCAAATGGGAGATAAGGGTGGCAGCACGGTCAGGGAATGTTGTTCAATGGAGGAAAAAAGTTGAGGTTCAGGCACACCATACATTGACTGCATACGCCCAGCAGCAGGTATCCGAATGCATACACACACTCACACGCGCGCGCGCGCACACACACACACACACACACACACACACACGCGCGCACAGCCACACACACACGCAAGTATTACACACACACACACACACACACACACACACACACACACACACACACACACACAAGTACTACACACACACACACACACACACACAGATCACAGGTGCGTAGAGGCCCAATGCCAGTCACCAGATCGCAGATACTTATGAACGCCTTCTTTGAACTGCTGGAGGCGAGGTAGAGTAGGTGGTGCTGTGATGAGCTCTGGAGGAAGGCGATTCCACTCCTCAACGATGGCGGACGGAAATGATCGCTGTACGCTGTTGCGTACTTCCACCGAAACTGGGTGACTGTGCCCTACTAGATGGGGATTTGTATGAAAAATGTCTCTAAAAGCGCCATTTCGTTCTTATTAAAGCACGGATGACCGCGATTGGCCCATATTTTGTAGTCTTTTGGACGCTGAGTCGACTGGTTTTGGTCCGAGAATGCTGCGATGCAGTTCCTCCTTTATTCCCAATCGAACATGGTTGAACAAGCGGTCACGTGCTCCTGCGTACACCAGTCACCTAGTCACCATGCCTAGCCTAGCGCCTGCAGGGTACAACTTGCAGCCTGTTTGACCTTTTTTGGGTGCACTCCTGTCACTCGAGTTGAACTCGAGTTGAACTCGAGTTGAACCTTGGTGTGAAAGTTGTCGCTTTCTGGCGCGGTGACCAGGTGACTTGGGCACGCAGGAACACGTGACCGCTTGTTCAACTATGTTTGATTGGGAATAAAGGAGGAACGCTGCACCGCAGCATTCTCGGACCAAAATCAGTCGACTCAGCATCCAAAAGACTGCAACATACGGGCCAATCGCGGTCATCCGTGCTTTTATAAGAACGAAATGGCGCTTTTAGTGACATTTTGCATACAAATCCCCATCTAGTAGGGCGCAGTCGCCCAGTTTTGGTGGAAGTGCGCGAGTTCAATTGGGAATAAAGGAGGAATGAAGCGTCTCAGCTTCCTCGGACCAACACCATTCCACTCAGCACCCTGAAGACTACAACTGGTGAAAATTTGATTTTAGTCTTAACTTCCCCTTTAAGGCGACCACTCGGATAAGGCGACCACCTGTCCCAGAAGACCACTGCAGCCAGGGCCAAGGGATACTATTTCCAGTCATATAACCCTGGATAAGGAGACCACCTGGTTACAGAGACCGCACTTTGAAAGTCCCTTGAGCGGTCGTCTTAGACAGGTCTCACTGTACATGCGAAAGCTGAAGGGAATCTGCAGTTATTATCATCAAATTTTGTGCACCCAAAAAAGAATGAAGCCCCTCTCTATGCTTTTTCTGCCTACATTTCAATCTCATTTCTGTGCATCTGCAGCTTTCGTACAAGCAAGAGCGCAGGCATAATGGCACGCGCTACTGGAACGCGGATGCACATGTTTATCGAAGTGGAGTGCGGAAGAACGACACTGACCATATCTGGACTCGGTGTTCACATGCAGTCGTCGGTCATAGTCAACGATGGAGAGGTTCACACTGTGCGAGTCGAACGAGAAGGATGTCGCCTCGCCATGACCGTTGACTCGGAGAAAGTGCGCTCACATGTCGACGGTGCCTGTTTCAATAATCTTGAGTTGGGCTCTCGTCTGTATCTTGGCGGCACACAGGAAAGCCGTGCGAGTGGGGTTATCCGGGACTTGGTAAAAGACGGATTTGCTGGTTGTATGAACAACGTATTCGTCGACGATGAAGACCGTAGTGTGAACATTCTTGTTGATGATTCGACCGAGGGGGTGGAGAAAGGATGCTACAGAAGCGACAACGCCCGCGGCAGCAGACCCTGCGACGTGTGCCAGAACAACGGACGCTGCACGGACGAGGTGACGGGACTGGTGTGCGACTGCTCACACACGGACAAGACTGGTCCGACTTGCAGCGAGGGTGAGTAACCATGGTTACGGCTAGTAGGGGCCGGTGCCCTGTACTTCATGCACTGCTACACTGTTCCTGTTACCCTATGTTTGTGATAAAGCATGCCAGCCTGTGGGCACATTTGTAACCAAGGAATGCCCACCACCGCTTTTCCGGGGTTCCGAGGAAAGCGCCGCTACGAACCACAACCGGAGATGTTCTGAACCAAAGAATTTGTCTACATTGTACACGCACGTGCATGGATCGATTAGTCGAGAAAGTCGATGTTTGCATAGTTTTTCAACTCCATTCCATCCATGCAGGCATGTGGTCATCGGAGCGAGCACAAACTCACTCATTGGTCTCCCACCTTCAAAAGTACACTCAAGTCATATTCATGCACAGGTGTCCGGGTCATCATGATATGGCAGGGTCTTTTGAACAAATACAAGATCAGATTAGGCATGGACTCGGATGGAGAGCAAAGGATTAATTTATAAAAAAAGAAAAAGGACCAAGGAACTACACATTATGCTATACTGTCCACTAACACAACCACTTACTAAACCATTAGCTCATGAGATAGCATTGCACGACACTGACCGACGGTACTGACGTTCTACAACTAACTGGCTAACAGCTCTAGCACATCTTGGATGCGCACTCCAACAGCCTTCCAACTTGGAAGGTTCTAAGTTATAGAAATAACATAAGGAGGGGAAGGTGAGCGCAACCAAGATAAGCATGAGCTGAAAGTCTCAGCTGTGAAGGACGTTGGCGGATGTTCTTGAATGTCGATGACGATACTGGCAAGACCATTGGACAATATGGTCAAACCACGATTCAAGAAAAAAAAGTTATTTCTATAACTTAGAACCTTCCAAGTTGGAAGGCTGTTGGAGTGCGCATCCAAGATGTGCTAGAGCTGATAGGCAGTTAGTTGTAGAATGTCAGTACCGTCTGTCAGTGTCGGGAAATGTTATCGCATGAGCTAATGGTTTAGTAACTGGAAGATAAGATTGATGTCATTTGTTTGCGATCTGGCATGCTCAAAAGGGATCTATGCCGTTGCCATGGTTGCAATTTCTCACAGTACAGTAAAACCTGGTTTAAGCGACCGCCCCACGGTACAAGCAAAAGCGGTTGTTAAAGCCAGGTGGTCTTTAGAACCAGGTCCCACCGTGTGTGTGTACAGTGCATTTCAAAACTATAGACGCGTAGGGTTTTTGAAATATTTCAAATTTGGCTGGAACTTTTTGAGAATAGTTTTCGGAATATTGCTCAGGATCGCTCCACAATTACTCTCATATAGTTTCTAAAGGATTGGATAACAGACGCCCAATTTGGAAAAAAATATGCACAAAGTGATCACAGATTTTATGTGGTATAGATGCTGGCATAACGGTTTTTGCCTAGGTACGCGTCTATAGTTTTGAAATGGACTGTAGAACTGTCCGTGCATGGAAAAACGGTCGTTAAGAGCAGGTGGTCGCTAAACCCAGAGGTCGCTTACACCAGGTTTACTGTGCTCAATACCGTGTGCTGCCGAACACATTATTTTCCATTCCATTGCGTATCTTGGTGCCGACAGGTGGAATGCGCTGCCTCCATCTTGTCGCCTGGCCGGGTCGCCTGCTTTGTTTCGCGCTCTCACAAAGTCACATTTAGGGTTCCCAGTAAAAAGGCAACATTGCCTGTTGGGAAATCCCTAACAAAAATATGAAAGAATAATAATAATTATTTTTATAATTAATGTCGACTTGTTGTCTATGTGTATTTCTCCGTGATGCATAGATCCGTTGGTTGTGACATTTGGCGACACAAACCCGCTGTCAGTGAGCTTTGGACAAGAACATCAGGATTGCCTGAACTGGACGGCATCGTTGCAACTTCGACCAACCTATGACGCTCTACAGGGAAGCAGAGGAGGTGTGTTGGTGATGTACGACGAATATGACCGCATCCTCTTGACTCTGTACCTCAACGATTCCTTCATCATCGTTGCCATCCGTGAACTTCAGATTGATGATCTGGAATTGTCGTTGGAAGACGGAGAATGGTCGCAAATCGACATAGCGGTCACGCAACACCCAGCTGGGAACAACAACCTGACAGTGTCGGTCAGCGGCGTCACCCGCACAAGGCCACTACCTTCCGGAATAGACCCGTTCAACCCAGGGTATAGAGTGGTTCTTGCAACGTCCATTCTAGGTGAAAACATCGGCAAGTTCGAGGGCTGCATGAGAAACGTTTACATTGGTACCGACGACCTGCTCCAGCAGATTTATGATAGCATAGACGCAAAGTCCCGGGATCTTGTCGTCCTTCATGAGCCGTTGTTCTCTCGGTCCTGTGAGGAAAAGCTTTACACCTGTCCGGATGCTGAAGTCTTGCTGGCGGAGAGCGGTTCTCATTTCTCGTTTGATCTTTGGTCAACCCGTGACAACAATGACATCCGCTTTGAGTTTGTCACCGATATTGCCGACGGTATGATCTTGGCAAGTTCAGGTGATCATGATTATTTATATCTGATGTTGAGCAGTGGTCGTCTTTGCCTCTATATACGGGTAGGAGATTACGAGCAACATACCTGTGTGGGCAGTGGACTCAACGATGTTCAAGAGCACAATGTCACGCTGCAAATGGATTACCGTGGCATTAGCTTCCTACTGGGTGGCCACATGAGTGATCGACTACAACCCTCCACAAGGTTCAATGTAGACCGTCGCTTGCTCGTTGGTTCGGCCTATAGCACCTGCGACAGCAACCGGTCTTTCCTGGCCATACGCAACCACACCGCGGTGCCCGATGTTGTCGGCTTTGCAGGCTGCCTGCGCAATCTCCGAGTCAACCGCCTCTGTCTAAATGATCAACAGCAATTCATGTGCAAATCATACAATGCACCGCGAGTCCCAGACATGTACAAAGGTAACTATTTTTATTATTATAGTTTCTTTAAGAAAAGAAGTGCATGTGCTAGAGTGTTGCCATGATAACGTAATGGTGGGTGTCTCTGGTGCATTCCTCACGTCATGCTCGCACTAGGGTGGCAAAGACAGAGAGAGAGAGAGAGAGAGAGAGAGAGAGAGAGAGAGAGAGAGAGAGAGAGAGAGAGAGAGAGAGAGAGAGAGAGAGAGAGAGAGAGAGAGAGAGAGAGAGAGAGAGAGAGAGAGAGAGAGAGAGAGAGAGAGAGAGAGAGAGAGAGAGAGAGAGAGAGAGAGAGAGAGAGAGAGAGAGAGAGAGAGAGAGAGAGAGAGAGAGAGAGAGAGAGAGAGAGAGAGAGAGAGAGAGAGAGAGAGAGAGAGAGAGAGAGAGAGAGAGAGAGAGAGAGAGAGAGAGAGAGATGGACAGACAGACAGACAGGCAGACAGGCAGGCAGGCAGACAGACAGACAGGCAGACAGACAGACAGACAGACAGACAGACAGACAGACAGACAGACAGACAGACAGACAGACAGACAGACAGACAAATATACAGACAGACCCGACAAACAGGCATACAGACAGACAGACAGACAAGCCGGCATACACAGAGAGAAAAACAGGCATACCGACAAACTTACATGTACACACAGACAGACAGACAGATAAAGAGAAGATTCTCAGTAGAAAATACAGTTTGCGATTATATTCTCCACATTTTACAATCGTGGATCGCAGATTGTGGACTACCAAGAGAAATAAGTCAAAGGTATTGATAACATTATGTGCGCCTCTGAACTTCTTAGCTTTACTGTTGTAGTCGCTTACAGTAGACTCGCACGTCCAAGAACGTGGCGCCCAAGAGCGTCCAGGCTGGAAATCTAAGAACGCCCAAGCCTGGATTTAAGAACGAACTCCAAGATGTGTAAGAACTCGACATTTTTCCTTCATGATCTTGTGCGAGTCGGAGTACACGAAAAACAAGTGCGCAACCACAAACTCTTGTCGGGTCCTCGCGAAAACATCACCCAGTGCAGCGCTACATACTAGATGTCTACACGTGCATAGTGAATTATTGCATGTCACGTGAGGGTTGTCCGTACTACGGCCAATCAGCGACCTCCGCAAGCGGTCTGTATTTCTCGGTATTGCCCGCTCAGGCGGGCAATAACTTTCAGTGTATTGCCCGCTGAATCCGATCACTCTGCGCATGCCCGTTCGTCAGTTGAGTCCTTCACTTCTCCGGAGCAGGTTGTCACTTTGGTGTGATCGATGGTAGATGGACAAAATCGCCATCAGATACACCGATCACGGAAAGAAGCAACAGGCTCGAAAAAAACGGAGGACTCTACTGGCGACGAGCATGTACAGAATAATCGGATTCAACAGGCAATACACCAAAAAGCTACTGCCTACCTGCACGGACTTGTCTCTTCTCTCCGAAGTTAGGACCGGCATTGATGATGTGAGTCGGCCTTCGTCGACCAACTGTTCGAAGAGCTCCAGGAGGATCGCAAGCGCAGGCACCTTGAAAACAAACTGAAGGTAAAATGAAACCTACATTGTAAATAATTGTTTCCAGTCTTGGACGTATCCGGCATCGCACCACAAGAAAAGTAATGGTGAAGAAATCAAAAATCAGTTCTCAAACTTTCAAAGCCTGAAACGACGCACATTTCAGAATTTTCTCAACGAACTCCAAGTCCACAGCAGGATCCAGGTCGAAGAGGTGCAAGAAAAGGACTTGCAATGCGGATCTGCACTCTATATAGAACGTGGGTGTCAAGCATGCAATAAATGATTTACAGCACCTCGTAGGCGCTCGTACAAGGGCAATACCGGCTGATACATGACCTCACGGCTGGCGCCGTTCGGTCATGTATCAGCCGGTATTGCCCTTGTACTCACTTGTACTCGGGCTGTAAATCATACGTCTACAACCCGTACATGTAGCGCAAAGTGCATTGTACATGTACATGAGCGTCACGGGTCATGTTGGACGCGTAAGAACGGGAAATAAGAACGTAGCCTGGGGCGCTGAAAAATGAGAACTTTGCTAGGCTGGCCCTCTGAAACCGCGTTCTTGGGCGTACGAGTCTACTGTAGTCAATTTCCACCTTGCCCTGTAGGGTTTTGAGAGGAAGGGAACGAAAGCGTTCAATACCGACGCGATATGTCCTATGTGGCTGTTGGTGCGTTCTTGCGTAGATGCATGCGTCTACAATGCACCTTATTAACAAAATGCGACCATTGAGTACCAATACACCACACCACCACATTGCGCTCTTGGCCGATCCAAACTCTGCACTCGCATCACCATCACCACAGCGAGGGCAATTCCGGTATATAGATTGATGCTGACAATGACCCTCCAGACAGCTGTTTCGCTCCTCCCGAGCTCATCAGTGGAGTGCCGTCGGCAAAAGATATTCACTCATACCAACTGTATCTATACAGTAAAGCCCGGTGTAGGCGACCTCTGGGTTTAGCGACCACCTGCTCTTAACGACCGTTTTTCCATGCATCCACACTTCTACACCGACACTGTGGGACCTGGTTCTAGAGGCCACCTGGCTTTAACGACCGCTATTCCTTGCACCGCGGGGTGGTCGCTTTAAAGACCAGGTTTTACGACCGTTTTTCCATGCATCTACACTTCTACACAGACACTGTGGGACCTGGTTCTAAAGGCCACCTGGCTTTAACGACCGCTATTCCTTGCACCGCGGGGTGGTCGCTTTAAAGACCCGGTTTTACTGTATTGTGTGTTTGGCAAAACTATCCCAGGACTTGATGGATTGCAGCGTGGAACCGTCTACTCATCGTGCAAGCAAAACTTCTGCGACCTGAAGAAGGTCTGCAAGCACGGCGGTGTCTGCTGGCGACGTGTTACCGTTCTGTCGTGCAATTGCCGTGGCACTGGACACATCGGACCAGCATGTGCTGATCGTGAGTTATTTATTTACGTCATCGTCAATCAGTGTCGTGCAATGTTATCGCATGAGCTGATTGTTTAGTAACTGGTGGTGTTAGTGGACAGTATAGCGTAACTTGTAGTTCCTTGGTCTTTCTCTTTTGTATAAAAGTTATTTATTCATATTTTTTAGTGGAATGGACTGTGTCGGCTGGTCAAAGCCTCTATGGATTCTAGTCTGAAAATATGTTATTTGACGGATTTGAAAGTGGAGCGAATTTTCTGCAGTCCCCCCCCCCCCCCCCCCCCGAAATTTGGTCCAATTTTTAGTGGCATGTTCAGATCAATTGAATTCAATACGGATTCTAGTGATTTTGAACTCGGATGGTGAGCCGATATAGTTTGATGAAGAAAGGAAAAGGACAAGATCACTGACTGTATAAGATCTGGTTGCGCTGGTGGACAGTTTGTCATAACTCGTAACATTTTGTCCTTTTCCATTCTAGTTATTACGTGATATTCGTGTGACTGCATCTGGATTGCAATTCCCGCAGTTGACCACCACCTCTAGTTTTGCTCAAAGCCTACTACAAGTATGTACATTAGACGCAATTGTCAAGAGTGTCCGATATCACAGGCTGGTTTTCGGATGCATTGGAATTCGCCAGTTGTTGTGTCTGAGTTAGCTACCATGAAAATTAATGGATTATTGATTCCATCGAGTTCTCTCCCTCTCCCCCCCCCCCCCCACACCTCCCCAAGCCCCTCTCTATCTCTCTCTCTCTCTCTCACACACACACACACACACACGTACACACACACATACACACACACACACACACACACACACACACACACACACACACACACACACATGCACGATTTAGTGATACTTCCCACTGAAAAGTACACGGGTATTGTCAAAAACACCCCTGTACGTTTCAGTGGGAAGTATCACTAAAATAATCGTGCATGTGTGTGTGTGTGTGTGTGTGTGTGTGTGTGTGTGTGTGTGTGTGTGTGTGTGTGTGTGTATGTGTATGTGTGTGTGTATATGTGTCTACCGGGCTCATTAATGGTCACCATTTCCCCTCACTTCCAAGATCTAGAAGTTGAATGCCTTTTGTCATTGTATCCTCGTTGTGTGTGTGTGTGTGTGTGTGTGTGTGTGTGTGTGTGTGTGCGTGCGTGGGCGTCTACGTGTGTGTGTGCGTGTGGGTGTGCGTGTACGTGTGCGTGTGTGTGTGCGTGTGTGTGTGTGTGTGCGTGTACGTGTGTGTGTGTTCTTTACTGATGCACACAATACTACCACAAACCTGTTCAGCTGCTCCGGCCATCACATTTCCCTGCAATCACTACGCCGTCATGTCGCTGTCGACGGATCAACGCCGACCGAAACTGAGCGAGAGTCCAGACGAGTCTGCTTTCGTGCTGAGCTATCGTGCTCACGAACCGGAAAACATCACTCAAATCGCCGCTCTGCACAGCTCCAGTGCAGGATATCTGCTGCAACTTCTTCAAGACGGACCGCGTATCATACTACAGACGAGATTCGGTGGCCCGGTGTTAACACTGAGATCGGAGGAGATTGCGACTTTGCTGGAGTTCCGCTATCACATCATCCAGGTCTATTTTAAGCGGGATGAGTTCTATTTGTATGTTCAGATGCGCGTCTATTTGGAGGACTTGGCTGGCGACATAATCTATAGTGGCATACTGCAGCATTTAGATGCTCCTGATGTAAGTTGCTCCCTTGCAAAGTTTACTGGATGGGCACCATTTGGCAGTTCCTGAAGTTTCATAGTCGTGCAATCGAGCCTAGGGAAATGGAGAGGCCGATCGGTTGGGGACAACTTTGGGCTAGGAATTTTTTATGGTGAAAAAAGAGAAGGACAAAATGTTACGAGTTATGACTAACTGTCCACCAACGTAACCAGATCTTATACAGTCTTATACAGTCAGCGAGTGCGGCAAAAAATTTAGTCCTTCTCCTTTTTCATTATAATTTAATTGGCTCACCATCCGAGTTAAAAAAAATTGGGGGGGGGGGTATTTGATGCTTGGTCCTGCCGCTAAACCCGAGACCCACGGTCGGGGGAGGCAGGCCCAATTCATCAGCACACTGCTCTGGCACCCCACTGTAGTATCATGTCTTCCCCTTGGTTCTGTCTTCTCATTACGTTATCTGCTGGACTGTGCACTTTGGTCAAAGAAAAAAATGAAAAATTGCACGTAGCATGGTAGAGTATGTAATACTTGAAGGGGAAGTTAAGGCAAAAATCAAAATGTCACCAGTTGTAGTCTTCGGGGTGCTGAGTCGAATGGTCGTGGTCCGAGGAAGCTGAGACGCTCCCTTCCTACTTGAATCCCAATCGAATTCGCGCCCTTCCACCGAAACTGGGTGACTGCGCCCTACTAGTTGGGGATTTGTATGCAAAATGTCACTAAAAGCGCCATTTCGTTCCTTTAAAAACACGGATGACCGCGATTGGCCCATATGTTGTAGTCTTTTGGACGCTGAGTCGACTGGTTTTGGTCCTAGAAAGCTGCGATGCAGCGTTCCTCCTTTATTCCCAATCGAACATGCTTGAACAAGCGGTCACGTGCTCCTGCGTGCCCAAGTCACCTGGTCACAGCGCCAGCAGGCGACAACTTTCACACCAAGGTTCAACTCGAGTGACAGGACTGCACCCAAAAAAGGTCAAACAAGCTCTAAGTTGTACCCTGCAGGCACGGTGACCAGGTGACCGGTGTACGCAGGAGCACGTGACCGCTTGTTCAAGCATGTTCGATTGGGAATAAGGGCCGAACGCTACATCGCAGCCTTTTCGGACCAAAACCAGTCGACTCAGCGTCCAAAAGACTACAACATATTGGCCAATCGCGGTCATCCGTGCTTTTATAAGAACGAAATGGCGCTTTAAGTGACATTTTGCATACAAATCCCCATCTAGTAGGGCGCAGTCACCCAGTTTCAGTGGAAGTGCGCGAGTTCGATTGGGATTCAAGTACGAAGGGAGCGTCTCAGCTTCCTCGGACTAAGACCTTTCGACTCAGCACCCCGAAGACTACAACTGGTGAAATTTTGATTTTACCCTGAACTTCCCCTTTAAAATCGCTACTGTCCAGACACAGTCTCCCTATGATTCTAGAAATGAGAACTGTTCATTTGAACTGAGGGATGAAGGATCCGTTGCCCCCCTCCCCCCCCCCCCCCCCCCCCCCCCCCACAACCCCCACCACACATCCTGAGCATTGTGCGCCTGCGTCATGTGTGTGTGTTTGTGTGTGTGTGGCAGAGAATGGGAGGCAACGCTAGGAATGTCTCTGGTAGACAATGCCCCGTGCTGTGACAGTGTACCATAATTATGCTAGAGAAATTATGCTCCGGAGCTCGTAGCATAAACTTGAGTTTCAAGCAAACCAATAATCTACTTTTTATTGTAGGGAAGCTGCACTCAGCACAGTGTGAGCAAAGAAAGCCTAGCTCTATAAATATTATGTATAATGATTTATTTGCATGATATCCGCCCGGGATGTGATGATGACGACACTATCGACCATTTTTTTTTCCTTAGGTGGTATTGTCGTCATCAACAATACCACAGTTTATGGGAACTCGTGGCCTGGCACGAGGAAAAAATGGATGCAGTGAATGGGATTTTTGGTCTTTGACCACTTGGTGGTGAGCTGATCTACTCACCTCCCACCGCTTTAGGAGCTGCATCTGCGCCTTGATCCTTGAAGGGTGGTGGCGTTCCTACGGATGCGGAAAGCCCGGCTTCCAGCCGAGTCTCACGCGAACCGTGAAAATTTGTTTGTCGTCATCATGTTTGCAAAGTATCTCCGCTGTATGCTTTGCACGTCATTGTTTTTTTACACTGTATACTTTGCACCTCTTTGTTTCTTTACGCTGTTCAGGTCGAGGTGGACAAGATTGAGATCGCGCAGTTCCAGCGGCCGGCGGCAGACGGCTTCCTGGCCGGCAAGCCTCTCTGCGGCCACTTCCGAGAGGCGGTGTTCAATGACGCGTCCATCATCCAGGAAGTGCTGCTGTTCTCTCCCAACGTCAGCACCACCGCCGTGATGGACGAGGCGCGCTTCGACAACTACACCGTTCACGTGGCAACGAGCGCAGCGCACAAGAACGTCGCCGTCCGCGAGAGCGTCACCGAACTGCGGCTGGACTTCCGCGCGCACGGCCGACAAGACGCCATCTTGCTGACGATGTACAACGGCCAGCGGCTGCAGGGTAACAATCTGCTGGTGCTGCTGCACCAGGGTGGACTGCTTCTCTATCGCGAAATGCCTGCGTCGACCAAACACGCGCTGTTCATGCTGCCGTATCGTCTTGACAACGGCCACAGCCACTCACTGAACGTCTCCATCCGTGCACCGATCATACAAGTTACCATTGACAGCGATCTGAGGCAGGGTTTCTTCAATGTCAGCTTCCCCGAGGTACCGGACAGATTTTCCTTCTTCGACATCGGCGGTGGATTTCGGCTGAAGACTCCGGACGCGATACTGGCCTCGACCGCTGATGATATCAAGACAGATGTCGGTTTTGTCGGGTGCATCGAGCGGCTGCAGCTTGACGGCCAGTTCATAGACTTGCCGAAGGCGGAAAGCCGAGGCACGGTCACAGCCAGTGACATCACCGAAGGCTGCCCCAGGTGCCTGGTGCAGCGTGTGTGCGGGGCCGGTTTCTGCCAGGAGCCCGGGGACGGCTCGGTGACGTGCAACTGCTCACGGACCAGTCTCTCCGGCGATCGGTGCGACGTGTTGCCAACAACAACAGTCGCCACGACAACGGTTGCCACGACAACAGCGCAGCCCATTACCTCGGCGCTCAAGCATACCGCGCCAACGACGCTCGTCGTCGAGCAGAAGGTCACGACGGAGGAAGTGAAGCCGACGGCAGTGGACAAGGTAGTAACGGCACCGGGGGAGGGTGGCAAGGGACGAGGCGGCAATGACGAAGGTGGCTCCACCACCTGGCTACCGATTCTGATCATAATCCTGCTTATCATCCTGGCCCTGCTCCTGTGCATCATAGTCTATCTGGTCATGCGCTACCGGCGCCGCTACACCGGCATGTTCAAGATCGATGAGAGCGAGGTGAGCCCCAGCAAAGGAAAACCGACGATGATCTAAACAAGAAGACTTGTACTGACACACGCACACCACACGGTAGCAATACGCTGCGCATGTTTCCACCCACGAGCAATTTGCAAAATAATAATATATCGGCAGCCACCGGCACTACTCTATGCTAGTAAGTGTGAAGGGGACGACGGCCAGAATGGAAGACTTCGGGCGACATCGCCCGAACCTGCCTTTTGCGGAGTTTACTAAGTGCCACATGTACATATTTGGAAGCATTGAACTAAAGCGTACTATCCTGTTACTTATGTCTTATAATGCATGGGGCGCGGGTCGCGCTAGCCGGCTTAACACTTTGCTTCCTCGGCTGTACATACGCTTTGACAACATGGACCATGGACAGTGCTTTTATAATTATGATAAAATTATATGATTGCGTTGTGTAACCGGTTAGCTTGCGCTCCTCCCCGCCCAACTCTAGAATTTGAACTGGCTTAGTCAACTTCGCTCACTCCGTTAATCCTTGATTTTGACTTCGTTGTACTCTCTTTTCAATTCCTTTTCCCCACTCGGCAAAGTGTTGTAGCTAAGTGTACATCTTGTATGATCAGGTACATGTATAAAGCAACACACTTGAGTACAGTCTACACGGCTGCAGTATGATTGTGTGTACACTGGCGGCGCTCACTGGTACTACTCACTAGGGAGGTTCTGCTCTACGTTACGGAAACGCGACGCAAAGAATCACGTGAACTCTCTTCGCGTTCCCGTAACGTAATCCTGTTCTGCTCTACGTTCACGTAGAGAAGTCACGTGGAATGTGTACAGCCACGGGAATTTCCCCTTCCATATTTGGCAGTTTCTGCCTGCACTGGAATGATGCCCGGTAGATTCGTACGCATTTTCTTTGTGCGTGCCACAACGTAGATAACCTCATCTACGCATAGAAATCTGGACCAAAAACACGCCAAGCCGTGGACTAACCCAGACACCTGCTCTCTGCGTGATTTCTCTACGTTTCGCGTATGGCAGAACCTCTCTAGTGATCCAACCCCATAGTCTGATGTCACAGCACTATCTTTCACCTGTCAAAGTAACTGAGAAGAGTTGAGATAGGTTTTGCATGTACGGTATTCATGGCACTGTTACCACTCCAGAAAAGGTTGTGTGCTGTCACATGTGTAAAAGAGTTGGCACCTATGAATTCAGGGGATGGCCCACGCCTGGTAAAAAGAAAAAGAAAGAAAAAAGAATGTCTGGCACCTATGAATTCAGGGGATGGCCCACGCCTGGTAAAAAGAAAAAGAAAAAAAGAAATCATAACAAAGAAAACTAAAGAAAAAAGAATGTTTGGCACCTATGAATTCAGGGGATGGCCCACGCCTGGTAAAAAGAAAAAAAGAAAAAAAGAAATCATAACAAAGAAAACTAACTAATAGCGAAAACAATACAGCCATATAACAAGAGTTGAGGGTTAACCCAGACGACACTCAGCATTCACTAGAGCTGAGGGGCACTCCAGCTGCTGATCCAAAGGTGCTCGCCTGGATCGATGACCTCTTGTGTACCACTTTTTTCTTTCTTTCTTTTTTTTTCGATGTTGACGAGTATTTTATTTTTTATTGTGTACTACTTCTACCACCACATATACCGTGAAACCTGTCTAAGACGACCGCTCAAGGGACCTTCAAAATGTGATCTCTGTTACCAGATGGTCTCCTTATCCAGGGTCATTTGACTGGAAATAGCACTGGAAATAGCATCCCTTAGTCATGGTTTCAGTGGTCCTCTAAGGCAGGTGGTCGCCTTATCCAAGTGGTCGCCTTGACAGGTTTTACTGTAGTAGTTTGACTGAGAGTTTTTTTTTGTAACACGTAAACTGTACATGTATGTGCATGATCACGTGATTTGTGGGGGGCGGGGGGGGGGGGGGATAAAATTAATGCATAGAACACACGCAATGGAAACCGTTGGGTCCTCGCCAAGGAAACATATCCGTTGATACTCAGAGCTTCTTGACTTGAATCGATCGATCCTCAGGCAACACAGCAAATTGCGCGGGAAGAAGGGCTGTAAAGAGGCTGTAAAGTGTATTGAAAACATGGCACATTCGAATAGTTGTGGCATTTTCATTGTAGGAACCTAAGCATGCGTCTGCATGTGGTCAGTGTCTATGTTGAGTGCCCAGAAGCTACAATAGAGACCAAGGGCTTGCTATAATATATACATTTTGGGCACCGTCTGTAGCATAGACCGATATCGAAATGAAACTATTAGTTCTACTTGTACTAAAATCAATGTTCATTGTGTAGAAGAGGTTGGCGCGACTTCGGCGATACTTAGGGTCACTCCCTATTATGGGAGCTCGCGCTTTTCCTGCAGTCTTGAATCTCACTCGACTGACTCACGACCGCCATCCAGAGCACACGAGAAGTCCATCGAACCTTCAACTCGGCTAACTTGCAACAAAGCACCACTCCCTGCTCAATACACGATGCTTCGCATCACTGCTATTATCCTAACTAATTACTTACACACACACACACACACACACACACACACACACACACACACACACACCTGGTCCTGGTAAACACTGCCATTACGGTCACGTGTCCCCTTATGGGGCCGACAATATAGAACGACGAGCGGGACCATGTTCGAGAGAGCCATCTCCAGCAGCTATGGATCTGGCTTATCATCGGAAACGATTCCTCTCACGGCTACCGCTAGAACTGGTCCATCACTCTCCACAATAGAGCACACACACACACACACACACACACACACACACACACACACACACACACACACACACACACACACACACACACACACACACACACACACACACACACACACACACACACACACACACACACACACACACACACACACACACACACACACACACACACACACACACACACACACACACACACACACACACACACACACACACACACACACACACACACACACACACACACACACACACACACACACACACACACACACACACACACACACACACACACACACACACACACACACACACACACACACACACACACACACACACACACACACACACACACACACACACACACACACACACACACACACACACTTATCGTGTGCTCTGGATGGCGGTCGCGAGTCAGATAAGTGAAATTCCAGTCGGCAGGAAAAAGGCACGAGCTCCCACGTATAGTAGGGAGCGACACACAATTCCCTAAATGTTCATTGGCTGAGGGAAATATGCAAAGGGGGAAAATCTGAAGAAAGAATTGGCTGTCACCACCAGGACTCGAACCAGGGACGCTCGCTTTTATGGCCAGCGATGCTCTGCTAAATGTACTACATACAGGTAAAGTAAAGTAAAGTTTGCACGTCCGCGTTACCACCGGCTATACAATTACATGTACATGCACTTATAAAACAGAAAGGTTCCAAGCTGTCCAATATACATGCGCTGTGCTACTTATCAAGTTGCCTGTCTTCTTCCGTTGGATCAGAATATCGCGAGCTTGATTTTTATCACTCACCAGGATTATCCCAGGAAGCGCCATACCTCGTGTCTGGAAACAATACGTGCACTGATGTTTTGTGACACGAATACGGGTGGGGACGATTCCAGCATAGTCGTCAACATGCACAAGTAGATCGGAGTGCTTCCGTACACATAAATCCCCACGACAATATCCTTCTACAAAAGTTGAAATTGAAAACGAGGGCGGAATGTTTTTTCGTTGTAGCGAAGAAAAGCTGGAGAGACTTTGTGTTGTTTCTGCGTTGACCCTTCGAGATTTTTCGCTTCGTTCTATAAAGTATCGGGCATCATGATCAGCCTCTCCAGTACGGCAGTAGGTCTACTTGAGTTCTGTCACTGTGTGCAGTGCGGCTGATCTGATGGATGAGGCGACTCCGGTCTTGAACGGACGCAGATAATCCCGTTTCTGTGAGAAGCACTTCAACTGACGTCGAACACCGTGACCTGGCCTGCCGAACGTAATCACGGGCGTTGTCCTAGCTACCGGCTACAGCCTACAGTACTGGTGCAGTGGTGGCAGTAGCTCCCGCTGCAAATCTCCGTCGCAGGTACTGAGCTAGGCAGTCATCATCCGGCAGCATCCCGCATTCATATCAACATCAGTGCGTTGCCATACGCAACCAGACTAAAGCCTAAAGCCCGCCCGGCCCTAGACTAGTACAGTGCGGTGAACCACCAACACACGTACACGGCCCGGCGTACTTTGTGGAATACGAGGAGTTTCTTTCCGCTTTCCGCCGTCAGTAGTAATCGGAGAAGTGACGGCTGCACACCAAACAGCTTCTTAGGTGTGCGAATGATCGAAGAGAGTTCCGTGGTGAGAATCTTTTTCAACGTTCCAGTCCAGCTCGGAGTTGAGGAGAATTTCTGAAGCTCTCCGAGGCAAGGAAGAGTCATGGTGTCTTGGGCCACCTTCGTGGTTCTGGCGTCCGCCATGGCCTGTTCGGCGCAGAAGTGGAAAGATGACGATGACAGCTCGCCGATGGCATGGTGGCCTGACAACAAACCATGCGACCATCAGGATGATTGCGTTCAGGACTACATCAGCCACATGTACCGCAATATCTACGTACGCGGTATCGGCGACGGCAGCAACTCCTCGAGTGGGGGCGACCAGTTCCGAAAGTTCACCCCAGCGACGGCGACCTTCCCGAATTTCACCGGCCATTGCATGCTTGAGAAAATCGAGCGAGAAGAAGAGCGATTGTCCCGTTGCTCCACGCCAGATGCTCCATGCGACAGTCTTTACGACGCATTGTCGCTGCTACCCAAGATATGCCCTATCCGATTGCTGCAGCCATCGGCCCGAGGACTGCCTACGCCCGTGCGAAATGGCTCCACTGTTATCTTTCTCATGGCACGAAAAGCGCACGGCTGTCGCGTGGCGGCGGGAGCGGAGCGGATTATTCTGCAGGACTCGGCCGTGATTTTCCTGAACATCAGCCTTCATCCGGATTCTGATTGTTCTCACGCTATTCTGCACTTTGCAAACACGACGAAAACGCCGCATGGCGACGGCGAACGACCGGCCGAGTTCCAAATGAACCAGCCGTGGAAAGCGAACATGGTCGTCTTCCCTTGGCGTCCGTACGGGGAGAGTGACAGGCAGTCGCTGCGCTTTGCCAGCGACTACAGTAGGAGCCACCTGCTGTTGGTGCGCTGTACGGATCTCATCATCAGGCGTGTGGCGTTTCGCCAGTCCATACATCCCCTGGATAGTGTTGTGACTGTGATCGAAGGCATGCATATCATATTCGAGCACTGCGCGTTCAACTCGACAGTGACTGGTGGGCACGCGGTTGCTGCAATGAACAGCGAGGACTGCGCGTTCATCGACTGCACCTTCGCCCGCACGCAGAACAGAAGCGCCGCCATCTCAACGAGCGAGGGCGGCTCCTCGGGCGGGCGGTTGCAGCGCGAGTTTTCCATGCTCATGATCGTCTACAAGGCCAATCTCATCTACGAGTCCTGGTCGCGCAGCACATGGCGCAACCTGCCCGCCCGGCTGAACCGCTTCTACGACCGCACGTGCCTGAACCAACGCAAGAAGCACTTCACGCGAGGACGGCCGATGATCGCCTTTTTGGAGAACAGCTTCCGCGACGTGGACGTATCGTTCCGCGGCATCCGCCCGCAGGTCGGCGAGCCTGGCAAGACAAACGGCGCGGCTGCCACTATTCGAATGCTCGGCGGCGTGAACAGCACCTACGTCATCTTCCACAAGACTAGCTTCACCAACCTGCGCGCCAACACGGTGTCGGGTGGTACGATCGTCGCCGAGGTCGGCGGGCAGGAGACCAGGAATGAGCTGGACGAGTCGCAGTTGGAAGCTCACCGCTGCAGTTTCAACAGCATCAAGTTCCACCATTGCAGGTGAGTCTTGGCACGAACAAATAGTTCATGGTAGCCAAATCTCTAGCTACAGTCACACCTCGCTTGTCCCGTCCTCTTTTATCCGGATCCCTCGCCATCCGCAAGAAAATCTCTGGTTACCGAAATACAGCATATGCCATGCATACATACAGTATGTGTGTTCGATTATCCGGTTCCCTTGCTTATCCGGATATTTTCTTCTGGAAAACGGACGTGTGCGGTTATGCGAGGTCTGACCGTATCAACTACTATAAAAATATTTAGATAGCAATTAGTGCACCTCCCACCGATTTAGAAGCAGCATCAGCACCTTGATCCTTGAGGATGGTGGCGTTCCTACGGATATGGAAAACTCTGTCTAACTGAGCGAAACACAAACTGTGAATTATTTTTTATAGTTCCATTGAGAATCGATCGTCGACGGCTCCATTTCAGTGCTGAATGTGTTACCATCCATGTGTATGTTCTTCTCTTGAATGCCTTCAGTTGCACCAACAATGAAGCCAGGGTTCTAGCCAAAGGGGGTAGGGGGTGCCTCCTCCCCCCCCCCCCCCCCCCCCTACTCTGTTTACCCCCCCCCCCCCCGCCCTGTGAAAAAGGGCCGCCTACTACTCATTTTCCGATTTTGATGTTTATCATGCAATCCAACGAAATGCAGTCGAAAGCCACTATTAGGTGGTTCATAGAGGCACATTTGTCTGGGGCGAAGTCGGGGATTCACCCCATACGTTGCATTTAGCGCGGCAAGACAATATTGGAAAGTAGAGAAATGGGATACGGAGTAACTGTTTCCGATGCCCCCCCCCCCCCCCCCCCCTACTATTTTGTACCTGGCTAGAACCTTGGAAGTGTATATTATGATGCGGATATGCCTGAAAACTGCAAGACAGTCCACCTAATCTTCTTGTTAGCCTATCATTTTTGGACAATCGCTGAGTTTGCGACTCGTTATGATAACATGCCGTACAATATTTTTATTTTTTATTTTTACAGAGACCACTTAAATGCCAAACATGAGATGCAACTAGGGGAAGCACGAACAACCTGAATCGTGGCAGTGGTGGTGAGGTTTAGGGAGCTCCGCCGACCTAGGGTCTCAACTTCATGGCCACCTAGACGCACATTTAGATTGCAAACACTGGTAGTGCGTACAGAATCGATCGTCGAGGGCTCCTTCTCCGTGCTGCTTGTGTTACTGTTTATGTCAATGTTAATCTCTTCAATGCGTTCAGTTTCACCGACAACGAAGCGTATCTCGGTGGTGCGGTGCACGTCAACTTCTACGGCAGCGCCACGACAACGAGAGGCAACGGCATGGAGCTGCTGAATTGCACGTTCGTCGGCAACCGCGCTCTGAGCCAGGGCGGCGCACTGTACGTGCACTTCGCCACCGAACTGCAGGACATGAACACGATCCTCGGCGAGGAGTGCAGTTTCCGTGGCAACCGCGCCGGCGCACGTGGCAAGCGGAACCCGGGCGGTGCGGTCTACGTGCGCGCTCAGTCTCGTCTGGACATGTACTCGGACGAGAGCAGTCTTCACCCGAGCCCGCCGCTGTTTGTGCGCAACTACTCGACCGAGTCCGATCCCACATGTCCCACGCGTCACTATCGTCCCGAGGAGCAGCAGAATGCCACCCATACGGTGCGACTCATCAATGCCACTTTCCTCGACAACGAAGGCCTGGGCGCCGTGTTTAATCACATGGCGACCCTGCTCCTGCGTGGAGCGACGTAAGTTATTTGCGGTGATTCACACGCACACACACACACACATGCACGCATGCATGCATTCATACGCACACATTCACTCTAACAAACACATGCACACACACACACGCACGCACACATACACGTATGCGCGCGCGCGCGCGCACACACACACACACACACACACACACACATATACACACACACACACACACACACACAGACACACACACTCTCCCTCTCTCCCTCTCTATCTGTCTCATGTACGTACGCTGTTGTAGAAGGTATTGGTCATCATTCATAGACCACATCATCCCACGTATCCTAGTACAGTCAAACCTGTGACTAACGACCACCCCTTGGGGCCAGAGAAAGCGGTCTTTAGTGGCAGGTGGTCCTTAGTTAGAGGTTTGCACCGCACAACCATTAATTTTATGAATGTGAGACCGTCCGTGCCTGGCGAAGTGGTCTGTAGTACCAGGCTGGTCGCTAGTCACGGTGGTCTTTAGTCACAGGCTTACTATTCATAAAATCTCCTGTGGAAGGCAGGCCAGAGATCTGGTAAGACGGCATTAGCGCCAGTTCACATGATAAAGTATTACAAAAAACCGTACCATACAACGTACTAGTCGGTGCCTGTACTCTTGAATCACGTTTGATTATGCATGTCAAGACTCACGCCAGACTCGGTTAGAAACAGTCTTGTCAGCTTCCGTAGAAGCGTCGCCACCCGAAAGAAGCAGGTTTCATAGATGCATGGGAATTATGCCGGGGTCTGCCTGGTCAAAGGTAAACATCCTCTGTCGCTGATGTACATCGACAATCACAAAATTAACGCACTCACATCTCGTTTATCCGGGCGGTCTGGGACCAGACACTGCCACTAACTTTGAAATGTATGCAACTCCGAATCACATACATGTTGACGAGGAAAGGCCATAGATATGACACGTGTCGTCACTATTTCCACAGGAAGTGACAAACAAGTAGTAATATATGAAATAAAAAATATTTCCACTGAAGCTCGCACAAAGAGTGCCTGCCCGGTGGACCAAAGTGCCCGTAACTTCGGGGTCCGGATAACCGACGTATGAGTGTCATTGGCAGTCGTTTGACGAGCCAGCAAATGTTGAATAAATGCAAATACAAATACAAATAAGTGTATTAGTGTTGCGCTGGCAGGCTGAGACACGCTTTATGTTTGGTCCAAGCCTACCTAGCACAACAGGAACTGATTTGCGTCGCTCGACTTGGCTGCCGTCATCCGGTAAGGTCCCTTGCAGAAAGCAGGGAAGCACTGCGGGGTGGACGTGATCGGATCTGCTCACGTTTACATAAGCACATGTGTTTGGCAGAAGTGTGTATGGCGGCACCTCGACCAAAAACACTGTTGTCGCGTCAGGAACGTGATCGGAGTATGTCATGATGTGCACATGTGCTATACAGACGTGTGTATACAAAATAAGTATGACCGGTGCCTATGTAGATACACTGCAGACTGTCCCAGGAACGTGATGGGAGCATGTTTATAAATATGCGCATGTGCTTATTAGCATGCAGCGACGTGCGTATGCCGAAAAAGATTGTGTGAGTAAAAATGCCTTGGTAGAAACTATGCATTGGGGCTCAGGAACGTGATAGGGAGTTCGGTAACACATGCACATGTGCTGTACACAATTGGTGTGCAAAGAACTGCTAACCGTACTGTGCACGTCAGCAAAGACCGGATACCCTTGACATTTCCATTCCGTCACTGAGAGTTTGCTGAACATAGTAATGAAAATTAGCCAGCTGAGGTCTTCCATTTCGTCTTGCAACCAGCTGCTTTCCTGCTTGCTTGAAGCCCACTGTGTATCTTGTGAATATTGATTTTTAAAGCAATTCCACTGCTTGGATTGCTACCTCATGTGTCCTATGGAGGAAGACCGTTGGGCATGTAAAACGGTAGTGGTTGGCACAGGCCCACGCGCACGCACACACACACACACACACACACACACACACACACACACACACACACACACACACACACACACACACACACACATGCACACACACACACACACACACACACGCACATGCACACACACACACACACACACACACACACACACACACACACACACACACACACACACATACACACACACACACACACACACACACACACACATTCTCTCTCTCTCTCTCACACGCTTTTTACCATAAACTGGTCACCTGGATCTGCCCGTGAGAGATTTGTATAGCCACACCCACATGCACTGACTCGCAGTTTTGTTGTTGTGTTGATTAAAACTTGGCTTCAGCACGTATACCACCCTTTCCACAACTCACCTGGTAAATCAATATTGGCATCACACAACTGTTCTGAGATGTCTGGTTTTCACCTGGTCACCTAAATTGGTGTCGCTGTTTGCCAGAAGAGTCAGAATTACTACATGTGGCTATTGTGAGATTTGTCCTGTAAGCGGTTTAGCACCTCCTTCCTTCCTGATGTGGAATGGCCACGCTTCGACAGCTGGTCAGCACTTGTCCCTGTGGTATATCAACATTGTGTTTGCCATAGACCTAGCAAGGCATATCAAAATTTCCCTCGGCAATTCAGCTGGCCAAGCCCCGATCCTATTTGGGAGAAATGGTCAGCAGTTGTCCCTGCTGTGTATCAACATCGTGTTCGCTACATACCTAGCGCCTTGGCACGGCTTATCAAAACTTCCCTCAGCAATTCAGTCGGCCAAGCTCGGATCCGATGCAGGAGAAATAGTGCAGCTTTGCAGCATGTACAAACCGTATTTCTGATCTAGACAGTTCTTTTTTCTTCTCAGCGCTCGACCTCTAGTCGACCGTTTCTTCTTTCGTTGTCGCAGGCAAGCCTGGTTTTATGCCATGCTCGTGCTGCCCTGTGTAATTGTACATAGTTTGAGGTGGGCTTGGGTTTGAGCTGTGAGGGGACGCTGCCGATGTTGTACTTGTTGTTCATTGTCTGAGGTGAGCTTGGTTTCGGGCAGTCAAGAGACACTACGGGGGCATCCTTTGCGCTTGCAACAAGATGGCGTCGATGCAAGTGAAGTCTAGTTGCCTAGCTGTCTGCTGGCTTGCAGTGCTAGCTGCTGCTTCTCTGCCCTCGGTGCAATCGAGCTACTCGCACAACTGCACCGAGGACGAGTGGTACGATATACGCGACTTTGGCTCCGAGGAGCTGGACATCTACGTGCACGGCGTGGAGAGTGCACTAGGCAACCAGTCGGCGGCGGTGGCGGTGCCGAAGCCGCGTTCTGCCCGCGCTGTGCTGAACGGCACGGACATTGATGACGACGGGGAGTATCCCGAGGACAGGTTGCCCGAGTGCGGTCTCTCGCGGCGCTCGGCGTGCAAGAGCCTCGGCGCGGCGTTCCACCAGGTGCCCAAGTACTGCGTGCCCAAGCTGACCACTCCGTTCCCGTGGGGCGTGCCGCGCACAATCGCCAAGTGCGAAAACGGCTGCATAACCCGGGTGATACTGATGGCACGGAAGCCGAGCTGCGAGGTGGTGGTGGGCGGCACGAACCTGACCATTCGCAACAGTCGCGAGCTGATGCTGCACTTTGTCAAGGACAACGAGTCGGATTGTGAGTACGCGACACTGGTGTTCGATGACGCCTTCACGCAGAGCTGGGTGGACGAGAACGAGGACAACCTCACGTTGCACGCCAGTCTGGAGATCAGAAATTCCAGCAACATAGCCTTCAAGCATGTCAGAGTCTTGCCGGCCCGCAATCGAACTGCCTTGGCTGTGATCGATAGCGTTCGGGTCACGTTCGAGGACGTCATCTTCGAGTCGGACAACCGCCAGCACTCCCTGGAGATCTTGAGCTCCATCGACGTCCACATCTACAACGTCACGTTTCGCAATTTCACCCGCGAAACGTCGGGCGGGATGACTAACGATACGGCTGCGTCGCACGGACAAGCTCCAACAGGTGGAGCGCCGTTGGACGATCCGCCCACCGAAAAGTCCAAAAGCGCACTGTACATATCACACAATAATTCCATGCTATTGAGCGACACTGATATCTGGATGGCTGTCAGTGGGTTTCGCTACGTTTGCGAAGAAATCGAAAAAGCCATCATCAGCAAGTGCGAGGAGCAGAGGAGAGAAGAGTTCACGAATGGCCGTCCCTCTATTTTCCTTCTGAACGTAACCTTCTGGGGACTCCAGGCCAGGCGCGTCTCACTTGAACAGGGCTCGGGCCAGCAGCAAGCGGCCACCGAGATGTTATGGCAGCAGACGGGCACGGCGGTGGAGGCTCACTTCCTGGACCGGACCAAGACGGCCTATGTGTTGTTCAAGAACTGTGTGGTGCAGCACGTGTCCCTGGAGGCCGGGGTGTTGCACACGTCGCCGGTGTTCGTGCGTTACGCAACCGATAAACCACCACCGGCAAACCTGCACGGGCGCGTGCAGAGCGCCGTCTTCTCCAGCGAGCTCAACAGCGTGGAGTTTGAGAACTGCGAGTTCACCGACAACGCGGGCTACCTGGGCGGCGTGCTCCACGTCAGCGTCGAGGGCAACCGCCGGCTGACCGTCTTCAACAGCCTGGCCGTGAGCAACTCGCGACTCCTGCGCAATCGTGCCGTGCTGGAGGGCGCGGCGATATTCGTTCACATGACCGGAATCCTGCAGGCATCCAACATTGTTGTTATCAGCCGCTGCCGGTTGGAGGACAACATTGCCGGCTCTCACGACAAGCCTACGGCCGGCGGGGCTCTGTATCTGATGTCTGACAGCCGTGCCGACAAGCAGCTCAACCTTAAGTACCGCCTGGGGCGCTGGTTTCCCGGCACGTACGCGCCGGTGAGCGGGCGCTGCGATCCGCGCGCCCGCTCCTATCGCCCCGCCGAGATCAACCACGTGCGCTACAGCGTGACGCTGGACAACTGCGAGTTCATCAACAACGTGGGCCTGGGCGCCGTGCACAGCCGCGTGGCCCAGGTCTCCTTTGAAGGCAATACGTAAGAACATGAAGTCACTCGTTTGCAAATTCTAATAAGTATTCAGTTCCGAGTGGAGGAGAAGGAGAGACAGAAAGAGAAATAGAAGAAGAAGAAGAAGAAGAAGAAACAGAGAGACAGAGAAACAGAAAGAGAGACAGAGGGAGACACAGAGAGACCTACATGAAGAGATGGAAAGAGGAACAGACGGAGAAACAGACAAAGTCAAACACAAAGAGAAACAGAGAGACAGGGAGAGATACATATGGAATCAGGGAAACAGAGAGATACAGAAAGAAAGGGGACAGATGAAATGCTGAGAAGGAAACGAGGAGAAGAAAGAGACTCGGTGGATACATGATGACAAAGCCGACTGTTCTTTCTTTTTCTCAATTTTTGCACCTTTCCAATCCGCTTCAAAGTGAATAAAGGAGGATGAAAACTACATCAGACTGCACCGACACGAATGTGACAGATATAGCATACAGGCCAACCCTTCCGGTTTCCCGGGAAAATCCCGGATAGTCACATTTCTGTCTGACCCAGGTTTTTCCTGAACCCTCCAGTGACTCGCCTCCAAAGTCCCGTTTTTCCCAAAAATATGTACGGTGCGCTCTCGCACTTCGAACTCTGCACGGTACTTTCAAGACCTGACCAGCCTAGCCTGCATGATCTGCACCGACAGGTGCGCTAGGCACCCGCCGACTGATCGAATGGCACTGCAGGGTGGAACTATGCTGCGCGCACAGTCGGAATCCTGTGACGTCGACCTTTTTTTGGCGGGAAACCTCTTTTTCACGTTTTTTGTGCCATCCGGGGATTCTGCATGTCTTGTCAAGGGATTGAGATTTAGTGGTTGGTCAGTATGCTATAGGCTGTAGCAGGTGTTGGTGATCTAACGCAAGTGAATGATAATAACAATGATCCTATGAAGCTAACAAGAAGCAGCTTTGAAGAGTGCGTTCCACCAACGGTCGGTCAATTCCCATGCCAAAAGCCCTGCGCCAAATACAGCACGATACACAGTATGTGAAGAGCCGCAGCGAACGTGCCAACAGCTCTAGGGAACTGCAAAGCACTACCTACTGTGTGTTCACTCTAAGTCGCACCTTTTTACACTTAGCTTCCAGGGCAAGGAAGAGGGTGCGATTTACAAGTACTGTTAAGTTTGACATTCTACGCACATGGCAATATTGGAAAAATGTGCCTGAGCCTGAAAAATGGGGGTGCGACTTCCAGTCGAGTGCGACTTCCAGTCGAGTGCGACTTATATTAAATCTGGGAAATACGGTAAACGAAAGGCGTAATCAAGGCTGTGATAAGACAATGGAGGCATCACCTAATGGTCTGGCCCAAGCTACTATCAGCTTTCTCGTATCGCGTCCACTTGACATGTCTCACACTACACATCATGACAAGGCAAATGGCCAATCATATCGAAGAGCGCCTTGATTCTTCAGGGTGGTGGCGTTTCTACCGATTCGGGAAACCACTGTACGGCGGAGTCTAATGCGAACGGTGATTTTTTTCGGTGGATAGCGTTTTGAGCTTATCGCGTGTCGCAGCTTAATACAGAGTGCTTTGCTGCTAGTGTCGTTGGCACCTTAGCTGCCACTCTTTGTGCGGCGTGTATCGCGCACTTAGTTTGGCGCTGGACTTTTGGCGTGTGAGAACTGACGGACTATTGTCAGAATGGGCCCTGTATAAAAGGTAGTCCGTGTTTTAATAATAGCTTGGTAGCCTGATTGTCTGGACGGGTGCTGACCCGATGCTGAAACTTTAGTATACAGAGAAACAGAGCTGCTTCAGATTTACAATGCCTTTTGTGATTAAAAAAAATTTTTGGTGGCCTGGCACGAGGAAAACATGGATGCAGTGAATGGGATTTTCGGTCTTTGACCACATGCTGGTGAGCTGATCTACTCACCTCCTACTGCTTTAGGAGCTGCATCTGCGCCTTGATCCTAAGGGTGGTGGCATCCCTACGGATGTGTTTTTTTTGTGATGAATGGAGTCACATGACCCACCTTCCACTTTACAGCTGCTGGAAGCTTCTGGAAGCCTCAAATGTCTCCTCAGGTGAAAACTCCTCGTCTGACTGGCTAGAATTTTCTCAAATGACATCTGAGCTTTTGACTATTGTGCACTGTAGAATGACTTGCGAATTTCTTGTGCAATGTTTGTGTCCTGCTTTTCCACTTAGTACGTTTCTCGGCAATCGTGGCAGCGCTCTCGTTGCGATGAACTCGAACATTACCATCTCGGGCCGCCTCAAAATGGCGAACAACTCCGGGCAGATTGGAGCGGCGATGCATGTGGCTGAGTTTGGCTCTATAAGGATGACTGGGGTATGGCATGCAATGGTCACGTGTGTCTCTGTGTCTGTGTGTCTGTCTGTCTGTCTGTCTGTCTGTGTCTGTCTGTCTGTCTGTCTGTCTGTCTGTCTGTCTGTCTGTCTGTCTGTCTGTCTGTCTGTCTCTCTGTCTCTCTGTCTGTCTGTCTGTCTGTCTCTCTGTCTCTCTGTCTGTCTGTCTGTCTGTGTCTGTCTGTCTGTGTCTGTCTGTGTTTCTGTGTGTGGATGTAGGTGAGTATGTGCATGCATTCGTGCACGCATACACGTCAGTTCTAATGGAATAATGACTGCATGTAGTTTTTGTGCATTGTTCACAATGCCTGTACTTGGTTATGTAGTTTAAAGGGGTCAAGTGTGCAGACTGTAACGTATTTGGCCCATTGGGCCTTGGTTCAAAAACTTTTTTGTGGATTTCTGTCCTCTGTTGCTTTCCCCTCGTTGCAGGTGGACGTCGATCATTTCATCGTCGAGAACAACTCTGCTACAGCAAAAGGCGGTGCCTTCATCGCGGACATCGTCTCCTCTACCCAGTCGAATGACGAGAGGCTGTTACACCTGGGAAGAAGTCGGCAGCTGTCCCAATGTCCTCTCCAGTTCCCCAAGAACCTTTCGTACGGCATCGTGGAGGTGAATAGTCGCATCGTATAACTTATTCAGTAAACCTTGCAAATACCGGCCATAGACAGTGCATGAGAAATGTGTCGTTGAGCGTGATGTGGAATTATTATGCATTTGAGTGGCCTTTAGGTCTGAAGATCGTGTCGTGTTGCCATCTATTGTTATATTCAAAGTCGGTATTCACTGAGTTGGCTGTAGATCTATCATGTGCTGTAAAGCGACAAACTTTCGCGGCGTGCAAATTTAGCGCTTTCATAAATTGGACTGGTTTACGATGAGAAACACTTGCTATTCTATCTCTTTAGTCGGATCTTGTAGTGTCTACAATCAATGTACGGAAGGGTTTGCGGCGATTTTATTCGCGAATGTGTGATGGTCGCGAAAATAGCGAAATTTGATCTGTAGCGAACGTTTCTCACTTTACAGCAACCCTTGTGTAGATTTATTGTACTTGCCTTGTGTGCGTTGAAAATGCTGTTTCAACACCTCAGTTCCACACACCACCTCTCCCCCCCCCCCCCCCCCCCCACACACACACACACAAACCATAATGTTGTAGTTGTAAGTCTAACATTACCTCTCCATCACTGCATCAGCTCAACCGCCACCACTGGACTGCCTTTTTACACTCTTTTTATTGACGAATAAACAAGAACACGGAAAAGGACTACATCTTGACAAGACGACAGGCCAAAGACTAGCTCACACAGTTTCGCGCATGCGCACAACACCACCAACCAATGACGCGTGTCCACAGCGACCAAGACGAAACAAACACGTGACACCAAATCTACCACAATATCCCGACCAAAAAAACACATACCGTCCTCGGTATGACCAAATAAAACACAATACGCAGAGACACGCAACCGCAAACAGCAAAAGTAGCCACAGGACCAACGCATGTAGCTTCCCAGAAAAAAACAGGGCAACCAAAGCCAGAAGAAAGAAAGAGAGGTGAATGTTTTAAAGAGAAGAGAAGAAACACTGCATTGCTGTCTAGCCACGCACACACAAAAAAACACAGGCTAAACCTAAGCCTAAAAACCGATGAGCCCTGCCCATCCACACAACGCCAGCCCAACCCATGACTGTCACCGAAAAAACAAAAATAAATAAAATATGACTGCCTTTTTACACTCTTTTTATTGACGAATAAACAAGAACACGGAAAAGGACTACATCTTGACAAGACGACAGACCAAAGACTAGCTCACACAGTTTCGCGCATGCGCACGACACCACCAACCAATGACGCGTGTCCACAGCGACCAAGACGAAACAAACACGTGACACCAAATCTACCACAATATCGCCGAATGCGCTCTGCACCACAATGGACTGGAGGCATCCCTCCGATTCTCTTCAGTTCTGTAGTATGTGGATCCAGCCTTGTCACTTTCTGTAGCTCTCTCACCATAAAAGCACGCATCCCTCACCCCCAGCCTAAACTACTCCGTATCATAATGGACTGCAGACATCCGTCTGAACCCCCTCCCCCTCCCCCCCCCCCCCCCAAATCCCACCAAAGACACACTCAATCACTTCGATATATATGTGAGATTCTTTCTCTTACCGGTTATTCTCTCAGCGACTGCTGCTGACAAACAAGGTGAAGGCCCTCGACCAGTCCGGCTTCTACGTTGGCAGCTGGCAGAAGTGCTTTGGCATTCTGTCCATCATCGACCATCCCGCCAGCAGCACAAACAATCATACACTGGACTTCTGCACGCCATTCAATATCTTCGACGGATGGACACTGCCCTGTCAGGGCGAAGACACGGACACGGGTGAACTGGATCAGCAAATGAACATCACCAGGAAACTGAACACCGGGCAGATCAACTGCTCCGACTTCACCAAGGTCGTCCAGGCCTGGCTGAAGTCCGTACGCGCTCTGGATCTGCACGCAGTGCTCACGGAGCTGGGCGTCGGCGACGATCAGGGTCTGAACAGGACATCCCAGTGCCCTCGCCGCATTAGCAAGCCTCCCGACTCGGCCGTCCTGCGCAGCGCGTTCCAGCGTCCGCTGTCGGCATTCGTCAGCCGAGACCAAGCGCCCATCTGCAAGTCCAAGTTCTCGGACTCCATTGTTCTGAACGAGCTGGATCTGTACAAGACCAAATTCTCTACGGACGCCGCCTGGCTGTTCTTCAACTCGACGACAACAAGCTGCTACAAGCGCATCGGGAACAAGGTCTGGTACTTTCGTGGAGATTGCCAGCGTACACAGATCTACCAATTTGCTCAAAGCTACAAGTAAGTGACTCTGGGTCAGAGTTGCACGTAAGGGTCTCTCTGAGTGCAGGAATAGTATGAGAAACCAACTTTGGCTTTAAGACCATTTAATGTTGGACCGTCAGAATGCAGTGGATACCAAAAACAGTATATCCATGGTCCAGTCGCATTGCTGCAGGGGAAGACATTTTGACAAGAAATGTTTTCTGGTTAAGGGAAGGAGTTGAAAGGGAATTTGTTTTGTTCGGAATGGCATGACAGCACATTACTGTTGTGCGGCGAAGAACGACCAGGCTGGAATTTTACCAAGCACAGCATACCAATGCATACACAGTGACTCAACTGTGTATAGACTATAATACGTGAACTTAAGAATGGTCTACGCTAGGAGGCTGCCCTCTCCTCCAGTTCTTCGGCGACCGACACTGCTGTAGTCAATCCTACAGTTACGGCTCATGCTGCATTCTTCCTTCTTTCTTTGTTTTCATCCCCAGTGAGTCGAGAAACAGCCTGCAGTTGCTGAGCAGCACGGACTTCTCCTTGGTGGGCCTGGCGGTCAAGCACTACCGGTTCCGCGCCAGCTCTGTTCCCGTCTTGCCAGGTCCTCGCCTAACGCTGACACCGTGGAGCGATGCCCTGCAGAACTCCGAAGACGCGTTCGACCTGCACATGGAAGACACGGACGAAGACGTGCCCAACGACAAATGCGCGGAAGAGAAAGCTGTAAGAAAAGGGATCTATACTTCACGCCTGGTTGTTGGGTATTGTTTCATAAGGAGAGCTATGAGCAATAGCTTCATACACCAGGCGTATAGCTCACTCTAGACAGCGTAGACGGCCACCACACCTGCAAGTGGCTGCCATAGGTATTCTATTTTATTCCCGTAGCTATGCAGAAGACATGACTTCAGTAACGTCTGGCGCTAGCCAGGGTCAACACAGCTTTAATTCCCGTAGCTATGCAGAAGACGTGACTTCAGTAACGTCTGGCGCTAGCCAGGGTCCACACAGCTTTAATTCCCGTAGCTATGCAAAAGACGTTACTTCAGTAACGTCTGGAGCTAGCCAGGGTCCACACAGCTTTAATTCCCGTAGCTATGCAGAAGACGTTACTTCAGTAACGTCTGGCGCTAGCCAGGGTCCACGCAGCTTTAATTTGGTATTTGTGTGTTTGTTTGTTTGTGTCACGCCTGGCGCTATCCGTATCTGACGGCGAAAAAGCATAGGATGTTATAAATTTTTCAATTCTCCTATTATTTTTTCAGGCATATCCTGGGATTCGAACCCGCACTATCGCCCTACATGCATTCCCCCATACACTTTGCATTCATACCCATTCTTCCAAGTTGCTTCACGTTATAATCTTGCGTTTGAAAGCCCTATTTGAATATTGCGGGCAGCTGTATGTGGCCAGCTGTGTTTGATGGTACGGTACGGTACGGGAGACGGTGTCGTATTACCCTCGATCGTACCTGTCCCGTACCTATCCCCTACCGTACCGTGCCATCAAAGACGGCTGGCCACAATGCATATTCAAATAGGGCTTTCAAATGCAAGATCATAATGTGAAACAACTTGGAAGAATTAGTATGTACGCGAAGTGTATCGGGGGATGCATGCAGGGCGCGCGCGATAGTGCGGGTTCGAATCCCAGGTTATGTCTTAAAAAAAGGATTTTTTTAAAGAATTTATAACATCCCTATGTTTTTTTTTGTCTAGGTCATCAAGGCAAAAAAGCATAGCGTAGGGCCCTGAGCTTCCAAGCTCTCTCGTTTGGTGTTTGTTTGTTTGTGTCACGCCTCGCGCTATCCCGTAGCTGTCCCGTACCGTACCGTACCATCAAACACAGTTGGCCACATACAGCTGGCCGCAATATTCAAATAGGGCTTTCAAACGCAAGATCATAACGTGAAGCAACTTGGAAGAATGAGTATGAATGCGAAGTGTATGGGGGAATGCATTTAGGGCGATAGTGCAGGTTCGAATGCCAGGTAATGCCTGAAAAAATAGGAGAATTGAAAAATTTATAACATCCCTTTTCTTTTTTTGCCGTCATCAAGGCGGTAGACGGTGTCGTATTACCCTCAACCGTACCTGTCCCGTACCTGTCCCGTACCTGTCCCGTACATGTCCCGTACCTGTCCCGTACCTATCCCGTACCGTACAATCAAAGACGGCTGGCCACAATGCATATTCAAATAGGGCTTTCAAATACAAGATCATAACGTGAAGCAACTTGGAAGAATTATTATGTATGCGAAGTGTATCGGGGGATGCATGCAGGGCGATAGTGCGGGTTCGAATACCTGGTTAGGCCACCCTTTGTTAATTCATTGTGTCGCGTCCCCGGCTCAGAGTGACTGGACCCCGAAATCACTACGAGCGGCGACTGAATATAGACGTGTGGCCTCACGACAAGCCCAACACAACCCAGGGGCCAACCAATATAGCTGGCTTGGTCCAAGTTCAACCCCACACGATCAACAGACAAAGACTGTTAGTTTTACGTTGTGAGTTGTATCAAATCCGAGCTCAAAGTAAACGAAGACAGAGAGCTGAGACCGAGTCTCGACTGCTAGACTAGACTAGACTAGACTAGACTAGAACTGAAGTAAAAGAGAGAATGAGAGCTTCTTTTATAGGGTGCTTCAGAGATATAATGGCGTGATCATGGCGAGGTAATTCCAGGAAATAGCAGAACAAGTCAAACCGGAATGTGCGCAGCCAGTCAGCAGAAATGCAGAATATACGTACGGTGATCATTCGAGAAGAAAGAGAAAGAAAGACATCGAGAGAAGAAAGACCAAATTGGGACGTGGGGAGCCCGCTCACCCACGTCAGAGTACAATGTGAGTATAATTATGAGGGTCACGTTGGGGAGCCCGCTCACCCAACGTGCCATAGTTCAGCGGCTTCTTATGGTAAGTTCTGCTGCATTCTTGGTCTTGCTTGCGTGATACTCTGACCTCTTGCGCGGTGACGGTTTTGGTTCTTGCACACGTCTCCTGCCTTGCACCTAGCTCTTGATATACAATGTCATATTAGTCTTGGCTCTTTGCACGAAGCACCGGGGCATCGTGGAAACCTGTAGAACGTCGTAGTGACGTGGTTTTGCACAAAGCCTGGGGTCACATTTCCAGGAAGTGAAGAACTTCCAGGAAACGTACAACGCGAGAACCTACCTGACCAGGTTCCGGCCTTGGATCACATGATGTGTCATGCCAAGAAGGCATGTCACCTACGTGGGAAAGCGCGTGTCGCTCAACCTACATGCTAAGCACGTGGGACAAGACACTGGCCAAACCACGTTGTACTAAAAGGGTGTGACAGCTCAGCACAGAGCTGCTCACTACGTAGATCCTGCTGTCACAGGACTATCAGGCAGCAGTCGTCACGTTTCTGGGACGTGACAATTGTTTAACGTCCTTTTTTTCGCGAAAAGGTACGCGGGAGGGCGGAAAAAAAACAAAAGCCCATTCCAAAATCTGGAAACCCCAATCAAACATTTTGACCAGTAAAGCATGTGATATATACAATATTTCTGGGTCTAACGGCACTTGCAGGCATAGAACAACACTCTTTGATGGTACATTGGAGCACATGCCTGTCATTGCCTGATGAATCCAACAAAACAGGTACATAGCATGGAGTTAGCCTGTCATGAAGTCATTACATCTGGATTTTTACTAGGACACACACCGTACGATATTTAAAAGCCAACATAAAAAAGAAAAAGAACACAAGACAAAGGCATGCCCGGGAGGCAAGATTATAAGTTTAAGGTCATGATCGGCACACTGTGAAACTACACAATCATGTATTTACAACTTCGCATATTATTGGTACTATCAAGAGTACATAACCCCCCAGAGTGTGCAACGCCTGATCCAGCTCTGCATAGGGTCTTGGTCGAGCGGAATCGGATCTTTGCGTCATAATACCGTACACATCTGAGTGGAACCCGGGGAGTCGCGGGTACTCTTGGATCAAAAACAATGGTGCCCTGCCTCGAGACCGGCCTTACGCTGGTGCGAAGTGTACGCATGATATCAGAAGATCCGATTCCGCTCGACCAGGACCCTACACAGAGCTGGATCGGCGTTGCACACTCTGGGGGGTTATGTACTCTTGGTACTACTACTTTCTTGTGTTTTTTTCCGGTCGGAGGCCAAAAGGTACGCGGGCGCGGACGTTAAACAACGAAAAAAGAAAGGGTGGCCTTATGTCTAAAAACAAAAAGTAGTTTTAAATTATTAGAATTTAGAACATCCCTATGCTTTTTTTTGTCTAGGTCATCAAGGCAAAAAAAGCATAGCGTAGGGCCCTGAGCTTCCAAGCTCTCTCGTTTATTCACAATCACGTGGCACTAGCCAATGAAAAGGTGATCGGTGGGTGATAGGTAATAGAGGGGAGAAAGAAAAAGTGAACTTAGGTAAACATGGCGACTACGAGGTACATGGTTACCACATCACAGATATGCTCTCTAGTACCTCAGACCTGCCCACCGCGAAAGCGATGATAGCGAACAGCTATGTTAGACATAGCAACTTGTGCTGGGATTACACCATTCAACAGCTTGCAAGGCTGATGAATTGACCTCTAGTACACGGTCACAACATCAGAAGATGTGCGAGCTACGCCCCCGTACACACAATGGCTGGGTTGATGCTGGTGTCTACCTGAGATAGCTGCTGTCTGTCGTGTGCACAGCACTGCTGGCCTCAACACCTGATATCCCAATGTTGTCATGACGATGGACATGGAGAAAAAGCGAAGAGATAAGATCGCTATTGCTTGGATAAGTGAAGCGTAGCCTAGGAATCGGCGAGCATCGAGATCTCTCGGGATAGGAACCATCCCAACATTTGCCATCCTAACATTACCCACGAAACTTTCAATAGACGCTTTTATTAATTGGGATGTGGTAGACCAGAAAGTAAATAGTTGAATAGGGCGGCAGGGTGTTGTACAGAATCAAGAGTACATGAAAACCAGAGTGTGCAGCTCGGATGGGTTGCTGTCACGGCGGAATTCCGTGATTACATCATTTTAGTGATGTAGTGCGTACAAGCAGGATTCAAGCAGGTCTCTTTCTGCACAACTGCAGCTCAGTTGTACGCACTACGCCATTTCCCGCCTCAGATCTGTGCCAACTATGATGTAATCACGGAATTCCGCCGTGACAAACACCCATAGTAGAAAAGATCCCAAGCTGCACACTCTGGTTTTCATGTACTCTTGACAGAATAGATGAGAAAGCGTACTTCAACTTGACTGCCCATTTTTTTTTCTCTGTTCTTCTCTGGCTCAGAGCCTGACGCGTATCTTGCTGCAGAGCTATTCCGATCTGATCCTGCATCCCGCCCCCGGCGAAGTGTTCGACCTGGACATCATCGTCACCGACGAGCTGCTCAACGTCCGCAGTGCCACACTCAGCATTAAGGTCAGAACAATGAATGAAAATAGCATGTTGAATTCTGTACGTTTGGTTTTGTTTGAGCTAAGGTGTTGCGACATTGGCGGTAAATGGTGAAGAAAGTGTTTGCTTCGTACGTCACAGCTGGCGCTTCCTGCCGCATGACTTGACACAGAGGGTTGCAACCATGTCAACTCCTAAATTGGCAATGCATTGCACAGCACAGCACAGCACAGCATGGTTGAATTGCGTTACGTGTCTGTTGCTTGGCGCAGGTGAAGTCTAAGAACGGAGATGTTCTTCTGGGACACGACGACCACCAGTACAGCCCGGACGAGTTTGTCCTGTTCTCCACGGGCCAGACCAACTGGGCACTGTCGCTGCTTGGCCTTCCAGGTAAGACAGGAACATTACCGCTGGTTGCAGCACTGTCGGGCGCCGAAGAACGAACAGCCTAGAATATCACCCAGCACAGCATACCAATGTATCACGGTGACTCAACTGTGCGTAGACCGTGATGCATGAAAATAAGAACGGTCTAGGCTACGAGGCTGAAACCCCCAGTTATTGGGCGACCGCCAGTACTGTTCTTAACCCTTTACTGTCCGATTAAAATGTATACAAGCCCACGCAACCACAAAATCTGAAACTAAAATTAGACGTAACTTTGGTTTGAATTTGACGATTTCCACGATCTTGGGCATCCTGGAAAGGTCTTGACGAGACGAACGCAATGAGCCCACACTCGGCGCCACAGGATGCACTGGTCCAGCGCTGCAAGCCAGGGAACGCGCAAAAGCGCTGAGCTCATGCTCCAGATCGATCTCAATCCACCATGTCACCCCTGTTGCTCGTATCGAGCTCAAATATTTTCGTAGAGACTCCCGGGAACCTACTTTTGAATTTGAATCGGTGTAGCCTTGCCAACAGGTGACGTAAACAGGGAAAATCCCAGCCGTTGACATGCGCGTCGCGCTCTGAACGCACATTTCCCGGGACCAGAATTACGAGTGCGATAACTCAGCAACCGCTCTTCGTATCGCTTCGGGAATTGTTCGAGGCGACAGCTGAGACTTTTCTCTTCGACCTACATATTTCGATCTCTCCAAAAGACCTAGATTTGAGCAAGTTACGATAATTTCAAAATGCCTACCCCATCGATCCCATTGGATCGATGCTTGTATGTACGGACAGTAAAGGGTTAAGTGCTAGTAGAGCCTGGGCATGTGTGACAGGAGCTCACAGTGTGTGTCATGTCTTTCACGTCGTACGCTGAGGGAATAGATGATGTGCAAATTAGTGTAACACAGCTAATTTTAGCGCCGGTGATATTTTAGATTCCTGACTCTCTGCTCCACCGTTTCCCTCCTGCTATGGCAATGTGTATGTTCTCACCCAGGTTCTGAAGGTTACCTGACTATCAAGGCCGAAGGTGATTACAACCAGCGGCCGTCGGCTGACGAGCAGCTCGAACTGAGAATCCCGTTCCGCCTGCGTAACTGCCACTTCGGCTTCGACCAGCCGATCATTCGTGATTTAGACCAGGTAATAACCACTCACAACCTGTGCAGGAGCGTAGCTGGTTCCTGCCCCCCTTTAGGGTGTGTGTGGGGGGGGGGGGGGGAGGGGTTGCACAGCCGCATATGTGTAGGATGGCTGGTGCATTTCATTCATGGTCATTATGTGCATGCTGAACCTAGGTCGAAATTTTTAGGGGGAGAGGGGGGCACATCCCCCCCCCCCCCCCCCCCCCCCCCCCCCGGTGCCCCATGCGGGCTACACGCCTGACCTGTGCATTGTAGTAGCCTGATCCCGAGCAACAGCCTCGCAGGATTTTAACACCGTGATCTGAGTGAACATTTGTTAGCAGGATCTAGACCGGGTACAAAGTACAGTATTGTCGGCCGGCCACAATGAAGGCTGCGTGCCGAGCAGAGCACCCATGGCTTGGAGGTCAGAGTTGCACAATAGCCTAGGAGAAGTTGAGATGCACGGTATTTGTGAGGTGACGCGAAAGTTCAGATCGCCTTATTTCGCTCGCGCGTTGGAAAACAAGCGAGTGACACGTCGAAATTTGGAGTTTTACGCCAAATTTGACGTGAAGTTGAGCGTCACGTCAGAGATAACATGCATCTTAACCTCTCTACTCTGGAAGTTATAATAATATTACTCTTGATGCTATGTATCTCATCTGGTGATGGTTAACACAGGCACAGCGCTACGTGGACGATCTGACCCGCTGTCGTAAGGACAAGACGCTGGCAAACTGCTCTCAGCTCAGCTCGGGTAGCACACAGCTGTCGCGGCTGACCTGTCGCTGCCCGCGCGACCGTCAGGGGGTCAAGGACTGCGAGCTGGGACGACGCATCAACATCCGCAGCGACTACTGGGCGGGCTTCTGGGAAAACAAGTTACAAACGGAAGTCTGGCAGCGCAAGCACATCTCCGAGTATCGCACCGGCGAGTTTCGACAGCAGGACCGAGACCCGTTCGGTCGCTACGACAACGATTTCAAAATCGCCCCGTGCAACGGCCTGTGCTCGGACCACGGGCGCAACACCTCGTGGCCGCTGGACGAGGTCAGTCCGTGCAACACCGACATGGGCCGCGTGGGACCGCTGTGCGGAATGTGCAAGGACAACACGTATGTGCTTGTGTCCTCCGAGGTAAGCCACCGCCGCCGCTATGCTGATAATTCTGGATTTTCCTTTCAATAGTTTGTGCGTATCATGACAGGGACGTCACAGGGCAGTGGGGAGTGGTGCTGCCGGGGTACGAGGGGGTCCCATGTGGGAAAAATCGGGTTTTTCACCCAGCAGGGCATGTTTTAGCACTCTACAGGCGCTCTGAGAGGACCATCCTGGACGCAAAGTGGTACAACCATGGCCGTACTGTTCGTACCGTGTGTGATGCCCCTGCATCATCGGAATACATGTTCATGTTGATTCACTGATCAATAGTTTTGTTGTGACCTTTTACCACTCTGCCGTAAGCGAACTGAGTGATTGCTACTCTTCTCGGCCCTGTGTGTGTGTGTGTGTGTGTGTGTGTGTGTGTGTGTGTGTGTGTGTGTGTGTGTGTGTGTGTGTGTGTGTGCGTGTGTGTGCCTGTGTGTGTGTGTGTGTGTATGTGTGTGCCACTTGTGCCGTGTGTGTGTGTGTTTATGCAGTGGTGTAAGCCGTGTGACCAGCGTCTGTACGGTGGCATTGGCCTGTACGTGATCATCGTCATCATGGTCACAGCGCTGGTCTTCTTCGTTCTCGTCTACCTGGAGGTGCGAGTCACCGCCACACTCGACTCATGGCTATTCTTCATGCAGGTATGTTGATGAAACACTTGAAGTTTGTGCCCCGAAAAGCTTTTTTCAACACAACCATAGATCAGCAATGCACTGTTCAACGCCCCCACACAACCATGCCCAGGTGGCTGTGTGGGGTGTTTATGGTACAAATGACGTCATTGCGCATTGGGCGTATTGCATTTTGTACTCGGGATTGGCTGATGTGTTGAGACTTAGTACAGGTGAAACTAACCTTCTTACATGACACGTACGTTTCAGTGCAGATCTGAATGCAAGAATGTCTTTCTGTCTGTCTCTACTGTACTGCGTGATAATCAGGCGGTGTTTTGCCTCTACCCGGATAATTTGATCGTGGGCGCCATCTCCTACAACAGCCTCACCTACGGCCTTGGGCAGCTATGCCTGTCCAAGCAACTGCAGCGCATCGAGGCTAAGATGCTGCTCGTCATCCAGCCGGGCGTTCTGTTCACCATGCTGGGCACGTTCAAGCTGCTCGAGCAGACCGCCGTCGGAATTCGCATGATGGACTGGCTCAGCAAAGGGCGCGAGAGCGAGCGCATGCTGCCACGCGTCCTCTGGCTGTGCGTCCTGTACAGCAGCAGCTCGCTTGCGTACGTAGCCTTGACCATGCTGACGTGCGTGAACCTGGACAACCACGGCCTTAAGGTGCTGTTCGTGGACGGCTCGGTGGAGTGCTTCAACAGCGTCCATCAGCCGTACGCCGTCTTCTCCATTCTCATCCTCATGCTGCTCATTCTGCCGCCGCTGGTCATTCTGGTCGTGGCGCCCAACTGGTCCAGGTCCAAGCGTGGCGGCACGTTTGTCAACTCCTTCATCGACATTGCCAAGTCGATCTACCGCCGCCGCTACCACACCTGGCCGGCCATCAGTCTCGGCCGGCGGCTGATGTTCGCCGTCTTCCTGACGGTGATCACGGACGGGCCGTCGCGCCGCCTCGCCATGACGATACACGCCCTGGTGCTGCTGGCCCTGCACGCCGTGTTCAAGTAAGCTACTCTGCTGATCATGTACATGTACAGTACTGGCCAAAGAAATCCAACCTCATGAATAAAATAGCGTTGCCGGGCGCTGCGCAGCCCTACAGTCCGGCATTTCAAAACTATAGACGCGTACCTAGGCAAAAACCGTTATGCCAGCATCTATACCACATAAAATCTGTGATCTCTTTGTGCATAAATTTTTCCAAATTGGGCGTCTGTTATCCAATCCTTTAGAAACTATATGAGAGTAATTGTGGAGCGATCCTGAGCAATATTCCGAAAACTATTCTCAAAAAGTTCCAGCCAAATTTGAAATATTTCAAAAACCCTACGCGTCTATAGTTTTGAAATGGACTGTAGCACTACACGTACACTGGTCTGTGCACTCGAACGCGGCGCTACTTTATTGATGAGGTTGGATTTCTCTGGTCAGAACTTTAGATTCACGCCCTGGTGCTGCTGGCCTTCCATGCCGTCTTCGAGTAAGCTCCTCTGCTCCATGTACGTGTAAAATAGTGAGCATGAACTCGGTATGATAATTCTTGATATGCACAAAGCAGTCAATGAAAGGAAGAGACAGAGAATTACAGAAATGGGGAGAGAGAGAGAGATAGAGAGATTATAACGATACACGCACTGGTGCTGCTGGCTTTGAATGTCGTCTTCAAGTAAGCTACTCTGCTCCATGTACATAGTTATAGGAGTGGACGTGAACTCAGTATGGGAAGTCTTGACCCACACAAGGTAGACTATGGAAGACAAAACAAAGAAATAGAGAAAGGGAGATAGAGAGATTAAGGAGAAAGGGAGATAGAGAGATTAAGGAGAAAGGGAGATAGAGAGATTAAGGAGAAAGGGAGATAGAGAGATTAAGGAGAAAGGGAGATAGAGAGATTAAGGAGAAAATGAGATAGAGAGATTAAGGAGAGAAAGAGGCACAACGGGACAGTTGGAGAGGGAGAGAGAGAAATAGCTTTTAGCAAATCAAACATATCTTATCCCACTATGACTACATGTTCGTGTGTGTGTGTGTGTGTGCGTGTGCGTGTGCGTATGTGTGTGTGTGTGTGTGTGTGCGTATGTGTGTGTGTGTGCGTGTGTGTGTGTGTGTGTGTGTGTGTGTGTGTGCGTGCGTATGTGTGTGTGTGTGTGTGTGTGTGTGTGTGTGTGTGTGTGTGTGTGTGTGTGTGTGTGTGTGTGTGTGTGCGTGTGTGAGCGTGCGTGTGTGTATATACAATGGTGTGCATGGGTGCATGTGCGTGTATGTATTTGCGTGTATCGACACACTTTCCTCACAACACACAGGCCGTACAAGAAGGAGGCCAAGCGTCGCCTCTTCTTCTTCTCCGACATCAACAACACGTTCGAGGCGTTCATCCTGCTCGACCTGAGCATTCTGGGTGTGCTGCGACTGGTCGTGTCCGACTTTGGCATCGACGATCCGCGCCAGTTTGCTCAGACTGCCGTCTATCCGCTGTACGCCGCACCAACAGTCATCATTCTTGCCCTGCTCGCCGAGAAGCTCATCTTGCGCTTGCGTGCCCGCAGCAAAAGCCAGGCATCGCCCGGTTCCAGCGGGGACTCGGCGTACGGTGACAGTCCCGAGGAGCAGGGCAAGCATCATCTCCTGCAGCATATGGCCGGGCGCCACGTGGACGAGGACAGTAACGAGGAGAGCGACGACGGACAGGATGACGCGGACACGCCGGAGAGTCCCGGCGAACACGTGCCCATTGCCGGAAATGTAAGCTGCACGGGTGGTGTGTATTCAGATGTTTGTGTGCGTAGGCTTGTGTTCGATTGTACGTACGTTTGTGCATGTGCATTTGTTGTCTCTATATTAATCCAGTTCCGGTGTGTATGTTGGGAGCTGCATACAACAAAATGAGATATAAATCTTGCACCAGTACAAAATTGACATTAAAACGTCACCGGCACAAATCCGGACCGTGACTACAATTGTACACGGGATTTCCACACTAAAATGTCACGTGGGTTCTCCACACAAATATTGTACATTGGATCTCCGCACTAAAGAAGCAGATAGGATTTCCTTACTGAAATTGTACGTCATGGGATTTCCACATTAAATTCATAGTAAGTGAAATTGCACATGGGATTTCCCCTCTAAATTTGTTCACGGGATTTCCACTCTAAATTTGTTCACGGGCTTTCCACACTAGAATTGCACGAGGAAATTCCTCTGATACCGACCGACATGCTGTCTACTCTCTGTCTTGCGTCTCCTATCTGCCTCACCAGGCTGGTCGAGGACCCATCAATCGCATTCACGGCATTGCAACACCACTTCTCATGGAGATCCAGGACATCAGTGACCAATGATAAAATACTGTTTTTAAAGGAAAAGGACAGAGAAACTACAAGTTACACTATAATGTCCACTAACACCACCAGTCCTTTTTCTTTACTATAAATTTATCCTTGGCTCTCCATCTGAGTCCATACATTTTGCATCTTTGCTTCTTATACATGGCAGCACATCTCATAAAGATTGATTTAGCATCTTTGCATGGCAGCACCGTATCATGGAGGTACAGTCAGACCTCGCCTTTTAAACCGCACACACCCGTTTTACACAAAAGTACCATAATAGGCGAGGGAACTGGATAATCGAACACCGGTTTTGTTGGATGCATCACGTATGTTGTACATCTGTAACCAGCTATTTTCTTCCGGATGGCGAGGGATCCGGATAAAAGAGGACCGGATAAGCGAGAGGTCTGTGACCATCCGTGTGTACTATTTGCGCCTAAGTGAAGCACATTATCAGCACAATATGCTTTCCCGGCACGTTACTCCCTGCACGATATGAGCAGTTCTAGCAATTAGCCTAGAGTCCTTCGATATTTCAAACTGAACATTAGTTGTATCACATGTTTCTACTTGACTAATGTGACTTAGCTTATCACATAAAGGAAGGAATGATCATGCGTAAGAAGAATCACATAAATAGAGTAGGAATGAAAGGTCAAGGGTGAAACGTTTCAATATCGATTTCAATCTCAACCACAAGAATTTCACGTGAATATCTCAAAGTTTTCAATCCCACTATTTAGCCTATTATTGATTATGCTAAGATTCAAAGCAAAATGGTTATAATACAATTTTCTGCAGTTCTCTACGACGATTTCTTGATCAGTGATTTGAACTTTGATAACCTGCCGCTAGATGAGCGCTTTGGTGGTAGCGATGTGGTGCGAGAGAGTGTAGTGTTATGGGTAGCAGGCGGTTGGGGGTACGGTGGAGGCGGTGGGTCTTCCGGTGGTAGCGGCTGTTGCCTGCTCACGGAACGATTACGTTCTCCCTCCACATTGCCGCTGCCTGTCTGGTGGTAATGCTGCTGGTACTCGCCATCCCGTTCTGGCTCGTACGACCCATCGTCGTGGCCTTCCTGAGCGTTTCCGTGGTTACGGTGGGTACGATGCTGCGCCGCGCCGTCCGTCGGTGCTGTGTGTGGTGGTGCCATGGCAACCGGTGTGGACTGGTAGTGACGCAGGGCCTGCTGTCGCTGGCGCTGCTGCTGCTGCGGGTCTGTCAGGAACTGCTCCATGACGGCAATGCACTCGGTGTGCCCGTACTGTTGTACACAACCATGTAGAACACACACAAGCACGCGGGGAACACATACACATGGACACACGAGCACGTGGGCACACGCGTTCATGGACACATGAGCACATTGTTACACAAGCACATGTTCATGCGGACACACGAGCACATGAACACATGGACACACACCAACACATGGACGCACACAAACATCATAATTCATCCGAACACGCATGACCCAGGGAACCTACATACTCCTGTTTCCGGGGAAATCGCGATTCCGCGGCTGCCTTTTTCCATTTTTTTGCGATTTTTTAAAAGACCGCGTTTTCCGCGTTTTTTGAACTTTTTTGTTGCACTACACGTACACACAGTGCACTGTTCAGTCAGCAACGTCTCATCGTGGCGGCTTTGTACTCAAATATGACGAGTGCTTACACCAGAGACTTGTAACTGGTTGATTTCACTACATACTCACTGAAAATTGCCTCATATCAACTGCAAACTTGCCGCATATCAATAATATACACTGCATATTTACCGCAAATTCACCGCAAATTATGCCATATTTACCCGCAAATTACACCGCAAATTCTGGGATTTATTTCCGCGATTTTCCCCGGGGACAGATACTTCCAGTGCTAGCAGTACATGTAGAGTCCTGGAAACAGAAACCCGACATCATTGATAAAGTAGCGCCATGCTCAAGTGTGCAACGTGCTGCACGTGGTGCTAGGGCCGATATACACACACACACGCACACACACACGCATGCATGCACATAAGCATACGCATGGACACACGCACACACACATTGACACACATTGACACGGACACACATGCGCACAAATTCACACACACACACACACACACACACACACACACACACACACACACACACACACACACACACACACACACACACACACACACACACACATCTCCTCACTCACCATGCTAGCAAAGTCCAGCGGTGTCCTGCCTTCAGCATCAGGAATACCACAATTTGCTCCTCTCCTGCACAAACAACACGCGGCATACACAGTGACCCAGTAGGTAATGGAGTATACGTGTACCACGATAGTCAAATGAACAGAGAACACACAGGGTAGATTCAACTTGGACTCTTCAACTCGCACTCGCTGACTGTATAAGATCTGGTTATGTTGGTGGACAGTTTGTCATAACTTGTAACATTTTGTCTTGCTCCTTTAACACAGGGTAGACGTCTGCAGTTCGTGACAAACAATCTGTGTGCGGCTTATACTCCAGTGACGTTGACGACAGTGCTGTCGTGCATTCATCCGATAGGCAATCCAATGGTTTGTGATTTGACTTGCTCTGTATTCACCTTCAGCAGGGCTTATCATTAAAATTATTATCATTATTAGACGCTTGTTTGCGTTTACATCACCAAGCAAGCTTGACTAGTCTTCGCATAAGCCAAATGAACAAAAGAAATGAGGAACGAGCGAGGCCAATGAGGTGAACACACGCTCCGGAGTCTAAGCCTTGCCTATTCAGCAGGGCTTAGACTCCGGAAAAAAAGCGGTAGTAGAAACAAATATTCTCACCTAAGAAGAGCCGTGACAACCTGAGGCCGATTTGCAGCTAGTGCCCAGTGCAGTGGAGTGAAACCTTTGCCATCTTGAGCATTGACATCACAGCTAAACATTGCACAGCAGTCAGACACAAGATGGCCAACAGGATGTCGATTACACTCAAATCAGAAGGAATATTCCACCTGGCCCACCGGTGTATGTGTGTGTGTGTGTGTGTGTGTGTGTGTGTGTGTGTGTGTGTGTGTGCTGAAGTGGCGTCGGTCTCGGCTGTGGCATCGGCAGACTTGGTCCGGAAACAGCGGGTTGCCCTGCCCTGCTGCAGAGCGCATTGTCTCGGCTGCGGTCGCTGCTGCAAGTCATCCCGTGGTTTCGACCTGCATAGCTGTGCTAATTTCCTGTCCAGGAAGTAGAGCGGCGTTTCTGGATCCAATGCTGAACTCCGTGCTGTCGACCCCTGCACAGGGGACACGTAACCATTTGATGGCAGTGTTACCAAGGACCAAGGTTTGTGTATGTGTGTGTGTGTATGTGTGTGTGTGTGTGTGTGTGTATGTGTGTGTGTGTGTGTGTATGTGTGTGTGTGTGTGTGTGTGTGTGCGTGCGTGTAAATTATACAAGTACAAATATCAGGAAGCACTCACTGCGGATAGGGTAGCAGAGCCATGACTGTATCCAGTTGACCGTCTGCACTCGCAAAGTGTAGTGACGTACGCCCATTCTCATCAACAGCACGCAGCGCTTCCGGGAAGTGTTGCAAAATAGTCTGGAGTGAAACAGTGCACACACACGCGATCGCGCGCACGCGCGCGCGCGCACACACACACACACACATATACATACACACATACATACACACACACACATACACACAGACACACAGACACACAGACACATACACACACAGACACACACAGAAAACAGCAATATCCTCTTTGTCCACCACCTCGCCATTCTACACAGAACTACCAACAATGGATGGGGGGGGGGGGGGGAGGGGTCACCACTACTGACTGAACACCCACTATCAGACTCACAGAGATGCACTGGACAGAGTTGCTGAGCACGGCGTATGTGAGAGGCGTGCGCCCGTCGTTGTCCACGAGTGCTAGATCGGCGGCTACTTGCAGCAGTATCGTGAGGTGCTCCACGTGTTCACAAGCCACACACCAGTGCAACGCTGTGAGACCATCTGGGTCCTGCAACAGTAACACATCAGGCAAGAATTGCACACAAATTAGCTAGGTGTCAGGGCGTCGAATGACTCACTACTCTGTCAGTTTTGTGCCTAGTTGTTGCACTTTCTGACTGTATATAGTATCTAGTTACAGTGGTGGGCAGTTACTCTTAACCCGTATCTATATGTCCTTTTCCTTTCTTTTTTTAATATTGGCTCAACATTCGAGTTTCGAACTAATTAAAAATTAAAATTTCACGGTTAGTTTTCCGCATCCGCAGGAACGCCACCACCCTCTTGGATCAAGGCGCAAATGCAGCTCCTAAAGCGGTGAGAGGTGAGTAGATCAGACCCACCACAAAGTGATCAAAGACATAAATCCCACTCACTGCACACTTGTTTCCCTCGAGCCAGGCCACGACAGACTCATGAAAAATAGCGTAAGGGCGTCCAGATCCTGACCAACGCCACACACGTAGCAGTCCGAGGTCCATTCCTGCATTGCCCCGACATTGGCCATGTCCATAGAAATGACACCATCACCCCAGTATGCGAAACAAGAAATCTGACATGGCCGCTAGCACGGTTAAAGAGGTGTCCAGTGAACGTTAACATCAGATAGATCTTCGCTGGCCAAGTACAGTAAAACCTGTAACTAAAGACCACCGTGACTAGCGACCAGCCTGGTACTACAGTAAAACCTGTAACTAAAGACCACCGTGACTAGCGACCAGCCTGGTACTACAATAAAACCTGTAACTAAAGACCACCGTGACTAGCGACCAGCCTGGTACTACAGTAAAACCTGTAACTAAAGACCACCGTGACTAGCGACCAGCCTGGTACTACAGTAAAACCTGTAACTAAAGACCACCGTGACTAGCGACCAGCCTGGTACTACAGTAAAACCTGTAACTAAAGACCACCGTGACTAGCGACCAGCCTGGTGCTACAGTAAAACCTGTAACTAAAGACCACCGTGACTAGCGACCAGCCTGGTACTACAGTAAAACCTGTAACTAAAGACCACCGTGACTAGCGACCAGCCTGGTACTACAGTAAAACCTGTAACTAAAGACCACCGTGACTAGCGACCAGCCTGGTACTACAGTAAAACCTGTAACTAAAGACCACCGTGACTAGCGACCAGCCTGGTACTACAGGCCACTTAGCCAGGCACGGACGGTCTCACATTCACGTATGGTTGTGCGGTGCAAACCTCTAACTAAGGACCACCTGCCACTAAAGACCGCTTTCTCTGGCCCCAAGGGGTGGTCGTTAGTCACAGGTTTTCCTGTACACACATACCTACAGAATTTCACTGAATATGAGTCTTAAACCTTTTTACACTCAACTTCACGGCCAACGAAGGGGGGGGGGGGGGGTTCGACTTACAATTGAGCATGATCACTACTGAAGTGAATATACCGAACCGATATGACATAGACCTGGAACTGGGAGTGCGACTTACAATCGACGAAATACTGTACATGCATGCAAAGCACAGCATTCGAGCCGCTCTCACCCGGTGGTTGACTATGTCCCGGGAGGTCAGCTGCACGATCAGCCGCATGCACTGCGTGTCCTGGCACCGGATGGCCCAGTGCAAGGCGCTGCGATTCTGCGTGTCCAGCAGACTCATGGAATGATTGGCGCCGTGCCTGGGACAGCACAACACATGTTATCACAGAGAGTGTCATACGTCATGGTGGAGAGTGCCTAACACGCAGCTTAGAGAATGTACTGTAAAACTGGATAGTCTAGCGATTCACAAAGTCTCTAACGTTTTAACCACCAATTTTTGGAAAAGTTATCGCGAACCCGATGTGAGATGTCTGCGTAAAGATGCGAATACAGATGGGTGGCCAGGTAGCCATCGTTAAACTTCCTGCACGTTACCATGCCAACATTACTGTTAAACTTTCCGGTTTTACGTATAACACACGTCACAGAGAGTGTGTAACACGCAAGTATGATTTTTTCCTGTTCCTGGAGTGGGCCCGTGACCAGTAGAGATCAGTCCAGTCTCTACCGGTGGATGTGTGTCGCTATGCTGTGAAGGACAACCACCCAGACCTGTATGGATCCATACAAAAAAGCTGGATCCAATTGGATCCAAAATTCAGCGTTTTCCTGACTCCGGGATGGCTGTGATGTAACGCTTTCAAGCCCTTTTTTACAAGTGTCCCAATACCCAAGGTTGCCATTATTATCAAGAGTACCTGAAAACCAGAGTGTGCAGCTCTGATAGGTTGCGGGAAATTCCGTGACAACATCCTTTTAGTGATGTGGTGCGTACAAGCAGGATTCAAGCAGATCTCTTTCTGCACAACTGCAGCTCAGTTGTACGCACTACGCCACTTCCTGCCTCAGATCTGCGCCAAGGCAAATATGATGTAATCCCGGAATTTCGCCGTGACAGACATCCATAGTAGAAAACGTCAGGAGCTCCACACCATGGGTTTCATGCACTCTTGTTGTTATGCATGTGTGTCCCGTATCCCAAGGTAACTGGAGCAAGACGACTCACTTGAGTAGTGCTTGCAGTGCCTGTGGCTTGTCGGTGTAGGCAGCCCAGTGCACAGCTGCCAGCCCACACGTATCCACTTTATCAACGTCAGCACCAAGCTGCAGCAGAACCTGACAGGTGGAAAAGGAACACACAGAGTAGCAATGCATGGGAGGTATGAATCTAAGATGGTCGTCACCCTTTTTAGCGGGGCAAGTTGCCCCATACTTGGCAGGTACAACCCATTCTGGTACAAAGTTTATGACCTGTTATGCAGAGTTGGTATCAAGGTGTGCACGGTTGTAGTGGACTTGCCCCGCAAAACCTAACGGCGGGAAATGGATGCATACCAGCACCGCCAGAGGCAGCTGTCGACTGGTCCGGTTGTACCATATTCTTTCATACAGTTTGTGTATAATATGGTGGGGACATCTCATATGCCCTCCTCAGCAATACACATCTGTTGGTGGTTACAAAGTTGGTCCGGTGTTAACCTGACCAACCGGACCGGTTCCGGCAGGCCTGCTGCACATGTCCCACTTGAGGAGTCGACACGCAAAACCTGATGATCGCCAAATTTGAGAAAATCAGATTTTCAGCTCAGTATGATCGTAAGGGGATAAGGCCTCCAACAGGCAAAATTTCGCATTCAAAATCTGACTAGAACCATTTCAAAACTGGAACCCAAATGAAGGATTTAGATACAAACAGCACATAAATGAATCCGTTTTGGCCATTATCCGAAAAGTGATGACATGGATTCAGCGAGCTATGCATCCCAGCTCTTCAGACATACTTCTATTTTATTATGCAATAGCCTTCTAACGTAGAAGTAAAACCGAGGTTCTAACTTCACCAGGAGTTTCGTGCAAATAGATTGCCAGGTAAAAACTCTAGTATTTTTATCACAATACTGAAGTTTCTTAGCAAGAACTTTTCTAAGAGTGCGTTGCTCGCGTACCTGACATGCTTTCCGACTGTCACCCATCGCTGCGTACATCAGCGGTGTTCGCTGGTCTTCGTCGCAGATGTCCACGCCGTACTGCTGTACCTATACACACAGTGGATGTCGCAAATAGTTTACAACACCAAATTCACGTATTATTATTATTATACGCATTCCCGCGTTGAAGTGTAGCAGCAGTATGCTGCGTCCACAGCTTCGCTTATGCAGAATGGCTTGGTTGAGAGGAGAGGGGAGAGAAAGCAACAATGCAACCAACATCTATGAAATTGGTCACAATAACATGAAGAGAACCAACCTACATATGCATGATTGCACAAGAATGGAGACGACCAAATATAATGGCTATAATCATTGTGCCACAAAACCGGTACACAGGAGATCTGTCGACAATGTAACGAAACATAAAACTCAGTTACTCAATACAGGTTCCACTAAATTACAAGAGCACAACGCTACAACGTTAGAATTGCTGCTAAATTATCGCAAGTGTAGAGAACGAGTCCAATACATATGAAAACCATGAACAGACTGTCCCGAAGTTATTTTGGGAACAAATTGTACCACATGTACTTGCTGATACTGACGCTGACGGAACACGAATTTGAGTTGAATACTCACGAAGTCTTGTACATGTACATCATTATGCACGTGGGAGGTTTAAATGGAAATTCATCAAAAAAAAGAGCTTCGCCCAAAAATAAGTCCTACCCCCCCCCCCCCCCCCCCCCTTATGATGCTGCGGTTAGCATAGAAACGTTCGACTTTTATGGGGGGAGGGGGGGGGGAGAGATACAGTACATAGATATGGGTTCGAGTGTGTGATGAGGCTGCATACTTGAATCCTCAGAAACATGGAAATGTGTCCATAACAACTTTTGTTCACCTATCCACCTTATCAAAAATTCACCATGCACACAAAAAGGACACAGCACAGACCAACAAATCATGTGGTATCTGCAACAAAGTGTTCTAGTGCCTACAGTGTCTGATGCTTCAAAACATAGAATGCTGGTCCAGAACAAAACACTACCGACTCTTCATTCGAAAATGGCGTTTTGGTGTCTCTCATGACTCACTAGTTTCTTGAGTTCTTTGATCTTTCCAGCCTGTGCCGCTTTGTGGACTTCCTGATTGCTGACAAACTTGGTCTCCTGAACGATTTCAATGTCGCCAATCCGCGCTTGCTCGGGATCGGCATACTGTTGCTGTGCCTGGTGCTGCTGCTGCTGCTGTTGGTGAAGCAAGAGCTCTTGCTGCTGCTGTTGGTGAAGCAAGAGCTCTTGCTGCTGCTGTTGGTCATATTGATAGGCTTGCTGCATATGCTGCCCGTTCACCATGCCATCCTGTGTATGCTGCAATGGAAGCACACGGTAGTAATGTACACGTCATATGCAGAGCGTAGCTGGTCCCTCTTTCAGGGGGGGGGGGGGGGGGCACGACCACATACGTGTAAAATGGCTGGTGCATGTCATTCGTGGTCATTATGTGCATGCTGAACCTAGGTCGAAATGTTTGGGGGGAGGGGGGCATGTAATTATTTTGAATATGCAAACACACACGAAAGAACGCACACGCACATACACATACACGCACAACACACACAACACACACATTCCATGTATTTGAAAAGTTAATGATGAACCCCGCACACACACACACACACCTGCACGTCAGCTTGATATTGCATATGACCTGCAGCCGCAGCTTGTGCATCTCCGCCGTATGCATCCACATATTGTTGTTGATGATACTGCTGTAGCTGTTTTTGTTGATGTTGGTCGCCGTTGAGCATTTCCTGCCCCTGCTGCTGTTGCCACTGGAGCTGCTGTTGCTGTTGCTGCTGCTGAGCTAGGTATTGATAGTCTGCGTATTGTCCTCCCTCCTCGTGAACAGCAGGCAACGCACCCGCAGCTTGACCATGATGACCGTACGGACCAGGACTACTGGCTATGTGTGCATACACAAGAAAGTAGGAGCACACATGCATACGCACAGGACAAGGTGACTGAGTGTGCAGACGTTCACGTCCCCAATATGATCTATTCAGGCAATTGCTGACCGGGGTGGAGGGATCAAACCACTTCAAATCATATAGCGTACCAGACATCGAGCTGTTAAAGTGAGAGGACACGCCGATAGATCTGTGATTGTTACAAAATAGGACTAAATAAGACTAAAGAGCAAATCTACTGAAAATACCATCATACGTTGGACATACCTCTCTCTCTTATAGAGGATCTAGAACTGCTACGCGAGACTTCACTTTCCGAAGCCGACGACGAAGATGAAGAACCGACGACGTCTTCCGAGCCGCTGGCCCTGCGCTGGCTGTGGCGCGACGCTGCTTCGGCGGCCTTCCGACGACTCATGCGCCGCTGCTGGCGAGACCCGGAGCTGGAGGACGACTTCGGTCGCTGCGCTTTGGCAGTACCGGAGTCAGACGACTGTCTGCGTTTGGTCTCCTGCACGTCCTTCGCCTCCTGCATAGGAGTGGATTCGGTTGCCTTGGCTTCTGGCACCGCACTGGTGGCGACTGTATACGACGAGGCAATTGAATCCGTTGTAACGGACCAGGCATTGTGCGTAGGCAGCAGACTGTACGTTGCATCACTGCGGAACGTCCTGAAGTCAACAGAGGCAGAACAACGCAATACAGGGCTTGAAGCCAGCTCGAAAACAAAACATGGGTAGCTGAGTGAGCTAAATATACATAGCTGCGCAATTCGGCATCAATCGCGCTGCACCATCTTCATGTAGGATGCTAGATAGTAGCTGCACAATGGAAGGTGTGCATCGAAGATGACCGTCACCTTTTTGCGGGGCAAGCTGCCCCATTTTTGGCAGATACAACCCATCCCGGTACATTTATGAGTATGGCCTTGCAACGTTCACGATCTTTTTTGCAGAGTTGGTATCACAGCGCGTACGGTTGTAGTTGACTTGGCCCGCAAAAACCTAACGGCTGAATGTCACAAAAAGGAAATGGATGCATACGTCCCATCGTGGGTTTCATGTAACACTGCATGCACAGTGTACCTGTGCTAGAGGAATGTGCAAGCATAGAACAAATAAACAAAGGCGCTGGAATCACAAATAATACAAATACAGCAAAACCTGGAACTAAAGACCACCGTGACTAGCGACCAGCCTGGTACTACAGTAAAACCTGTAACTAAAGACCACCGTGACTAGCGACCAGCCTGGTACTACAGTAAAACCTGTAACTAAAGACCACCGTGACTAGCGACCAGCCTGGTACTACAGTAAAACCTGTAACTAAAGACCACCGTGACTAGAGACCAGCCTGGTTCTACAGTAAAACCTGTAACTAAAGACCACCGTGACTAGCGACCAGCCTGGTACTACAGTAAAACCTGTAACTAAAGACCACCGTGACTAGCGACCAGCCTGGTACTACAGACCACTTTGCCAGGCACGGACGGTCTCACATTCACATGTGGTTGTGCGGTGCAAACCTCTAACTAAGGACCACCTGCCACTAAAGACCGCTTTCTCTGGGCCCCAAGGGGTGGTCGTTAGTCACATGGTTTACTGTACTGTTAGATTTTCCAAAATGGCCATTTTGGTGACATGTTGGGGGGGGGGGGCGATATCACCTTGGATAGATCCCTGAATAGCGTTATCAAGCACTGCAATGCGTTCGAGCTACAGTCGTCGCCACTACCATGCTTGTTGTACTGTATATGGCCATGGGCAGCACACACTTCCACTAATCTTTTTTTTCTTTTTCTTCTCTTGCCATGGTTGGCTAACGCCCCCTCCTTTGCATTGGCTACTGCCACTGGACGGTGAAATAAAATAAAATAAAACAAAAAATAATACTAATATGCACTGCACATGCAATGTCTCTGTCCCTGAATACAGTCAGTGCAGTGCTGGTACAGTAAATTCATGCATGCATGCGTGTCCATGCCACCATGTTGCCCCCAACCCCCCCCCCAACACACACACACACACACACACAAACACACACCACCACCACACGCACTAGACGTACATCATATCGTCATCGTCATCGAGACAAAGGATGAGGGCGTTCTCCACGATGCGTTGCGCAAGCGCTTGACTGCCGTTAGCGGACGAAACACACGATATATTCATATTCGCCAGCAACCAATGAAGCAAGTTGGATCCAGAGAAGCTGGAGTAGCCCTGTGAAATAGAAATCCGCATAGAGCACACAACATCTGGCCATCAGCAAGTACTACTCGGAGGAGACTCGGCGAACTCCAATTGGAGTTCTACGAGTCTCCTCGTAACATTCATGACCACCGTGTTATACACGGTGATAATCGTTCTAATGGAGATATTCCGTAGGCAATCTATTCAGAACCGCCAAGGGGCTGAATATATTGCCTACAGAATATCTCCCATTGTAACTATTATCATGATAATGAATGTGGAGAGGAATGATGTAGAACTGTGGTTCAGGGCAGTTGCAACATCATGAGTTTGGAGTACGCTCAAGCTGGATTGTTGTCTGAAGACGGGCCGAATAGCCGTGAACCTCTCCGAGTAACACAGCAAGTCAGGCATAGCCTTAGGGCAGTTGCAACCATTGCGAGTTCTGAGTAGGGACAAGCTGTATTGTTGTCTGCAGATTGGCTGAATAGCCATGAAACTAGAACAGCAAACATATATTTAAACTATTGCTGACTCCTGTAACTTCTGAGCATTTCCAAGAAGGCTGTAGGGTTCGGGGGAGGGGGTGGCAAGAGAAAAAAGAAATGTAAATATCTGAACAATTCGGGGACACTGTAATATTCGCGGGATCCGCGTCGGCATCGCTTGAATGTTCAGAAACACACAAACTAGCCTTCGCATCCGCAGGCCACCACTATGCCTGTTAACCTTAGTGGCGAATGCAGACCTCACAAGTGAGTCAGGGGAGAGGAGGTTAGTCTCTCAACCAATCGGGCGTGTAACGGCCCAGAACCCTGTGACACTGTGGCAAAGAATATCCAGTTAAACGCCAGGAAGTTCAATTAATTAATGAACAAGCTAAGTGTTTACTGCAGTCCTGGAGTTGGCGACACATATCAAAATGCTCCTTCAGGCTTACCGCCTTCAGTATTCCGTTGCTCGGCTCAGCAAGAGCTATCATCAGCGGACAATCCAGTGAGAGGTCAATAGCATCCTGCAGGAGACAGAACAGTGCGCATTGAACGATAAAAACGGGTTTCATGCACTTCGTCCATGGCACTATGTTAGTACAGCAGGATGGAATCTCACCTTTGTTCCCATTTTTGACAAAAATAACAAACACACCCATAACTTATCAAATCTTGGTCACTGGGTACGATATTTTCGCCCAGAATACGAGGCACACAAGAATTTTCTAAAGACAATAGCAGTTACTTGTATCAAGACGGATGATCACCTTTGTTCCCATTCTTGTTATCAAAACGCACACGCAACGTTTCAAATCTTGGTCACTTGGGTCAATGTTTTCATCTAGAAAACGAGTTATGCAAGGATTTTCTTAAGAGATTGGCAGTGATAGATTACTGCGGGGATGTTTATTTCCAATTTTCTTGGAATGGGTGGGGGGCGGGGGGAGGTAGGTGCACCTTTGTTCTTTCACAAACCTTAATTTAGATCAATGTGTTGAAAGAGTTTTACGGTTTGGGCCGGAGGAAGATAGACGTGCTCTTCCGCATCCGCTGGAAAGCACCCACCACTAATCTTAAAAGAGCAAATCAAATTCGAGCAATGAAATATCGATAATCGGCTGGTGGCAGCAATGAATTCTTACCGCGTTGTCCTGATCGATGGATGGAGAAGCCGAACTTTTGCCCTCGGATGCCTCTCCTTGATCCACGATGTCCTCATGTTTTGATTCACTGACTCCTTCAACATCCTCTTGAGGAGATGCAGTGCTCGGTTGAGTTGGTGCGGCATCTACCAGCTGACTTGAAATGTTATTTTCAACTAGTGACTCTGCTTCCTCAAACATGGCTACATCACTGACGCCTCGCTCAGACGTTCGATCCTGAGAGATGCTGGGAGCAACGGATGTGTCTGCTGTTGCTGCTTCGGGGTCACGTTCCTCCGGCGAGGCGGTGCCCTCCGTGTTCCGCGTATCGCCAGCCATGACCGGGTCAGTCTTGGCGACTTTGTCATTTACCAGTACACCGCTCCTGGAAGAGCTGATGCTTTGGCAATCATCCACTCCCTGTGGTGCTTCTTCTGCTGTGCCCGCATTGTCGCAGTCTTGCTTGTCATCTGTTCTTTGTAAGCTAGAGGAGGACATACCCTGTACACCCATCACACCCACACTATCCGGCTGTGCGTCAACGACTTCCTCAGTGGACTGGTGCAAGTCAATGCTTGAATTGACTTCCCCGCCACCGCTTGCTCTTGGACTCTCATGTGCATTCTCCTCTAAATGACTGCGATAGTCTTGCTGCTGCTTGAGTGCTGCATCATCCAGCCGTGTGTTAGAGACTTCATCAGCTGAATGCTGCGCGCCAGAACCTGCATTAATGTCGCTACCATTCGCTTTCAGATCCCCAGCACCGTTCTCTGCCACATTATCCAGTTCCTCAAGATCCACAGTAGACTTGGCCTTGGAGTCATGCCGTATGCTGTGTTTTTCTACGTCATTATTCTGTTGAGTGTCAAGTGATGCTGCCGATGATTTCCTCTCCAGTGTTGCGCTGCTGTCCGTATGTTCTGCCAATGGATCGTTGTCAGGACGATGGGAAACGCTATCAGCGTCCGTGCCGGAGCTTGAAGCTGACGTCGTTGCTGTCCTGCGCGAGACGTTGTCTTGGGTGGCGTGAACGGACGGAGTTCTCGATAGCGACGTCCTGCTGCTCACACGCGACCAATCGTCATCATCGTAGTTGTAGTCATGGTAACTGCGGCTATCCTCCGAGTCTTGGTCCGTCTGTGCTGCATGCTGGCTGTGCTGGCTTTGGTTAAGGGATTCAGAGTCGGCGTTTTCGCGGCTGCTCCGATCCGACAAAAGGCTGGCGGTGTCAGCTTGCGAAGCACTGGGATCATTCTGCGATGCTGTGTTAGTAGTTGCCCCTTCCTCTGTGTCTTTCAGCTGCTCTCCACGCTTTGATTGGCAATCTAGGCCTGATATGTTGATTTCAGATTTGCCCACACTTGCTGGCACACTCACATCAGATTCCAACTCATTGGACGTAATATCTGCCGTGGAGACGTGACTTAACTCAGTATCCTTACTCATACTCCTGCCCAGAGACACGTCACAGGCGTGGGCTTGATCCGAATTTCGCTCGTCATTGGCAACACTGTCTACCTCCTGTGCGATCTGGTTCTCTGCAGCTGCAACTTCACCGGTGGTGTTGGCTTGCTCTGGGGGCGGCTGATCGGACGATGCAAGCTCGTCATCACCGGGCAATGAGTGGCGGCTCCTGCGGGCTACGTTGCCCGTGGCGGTGAAAAGCGGTGCAGCGTTGCTGGACTGGACACTGGCTACGCTGCTGCTGGAGCTTGGCCGTGACCCGCGCCTTGAACGCTGAGTGGCTGCCGAGCGACCAGTTTTGATGAACAGTGGGGCAGTGGGTGGTGGTTGATTTCCACCCACAGCTGTTGCTGAGGGTGATCTTTCGAGTGTCGTCGCACTCGCTTCGGGTTCACTGCCACTATCGCGTATGTTGCCAATGCTGGATTTAGACTTTGCTTCAGTGAGCGCCGATCCATCATACCTTTCAGAGATTGGCTTGGTTTCAGTCACTGATGAGACGGAGTCAGAATGTTGGTCTACATCATTCGTGGAGTTCTCCTGGTTGACAGCCGAGTCGTTATCTCTCCGTTTCACTGTGCCAGCTTCGGCATCAATTTCTTCTAGCAAGACAACTGGCTGGTTGTCGGTTTTCAAGTCATTGCTAACTTGCTCCGGTGATTTCTCCTCCTGTTTAATATCCAGTGCAATCCGGTCCGGTTCAACCGTGGAAGGCTGATCACCATCTGCTGTAGTTGCTGCATTGGGCAGCTCTGCTTGCACTTCTGCATGTGATGTGGATATGTCGGATTCTGTTGTTGCAAATGAAACAAGTGGATCCCGTAGTAGACTGGGCGTACTGGACTCTAATGGCCTGGTGGCGTCATCCACGGGCAAAGCACCAACCTGAATGCTCTCTTCCTTCTCAGAACCTTCAAGAGATGCTTGCGGACAGTCTTCTAAACCCTCAGTGGTTTGCACTGCTGTAGTCAAGTTTGTTGTTGGCCCAGCTAGTGGGTGTGCCTGTCCACTTGCAGAGCAGAGTTTCTGTGGAGGGGTGGCGTTCTCAGCTGGAACATCGGATCTTATTCCGTCCTCGATTTCAATTTCGCCGGCATCGGAGTTCAGACACTCGGATTTCTTGGCCGCATCCGGCGTTGATTTGTCCACGTTGGGTATAGGTTCTAGGACGCTGGGAGCACTGGTCTCGGGAGAAACGACATCGGTCTGCAAGTCTTGTCCGGCGTCCACATCTTGATGCTGTGAGGTGCTTTCAGGGAGGTGATATCCGTCCAATCTTGCCTCGTTCGTTATTGGCTGTTGCTTGTCAATGACGACAGACTTAGTAGAGCGTTCCGCAGCGTCCTGATGCATAGACGTATCCTGTGGCATTCTGTCCACGGATATAGCGTGATCATTGTACACCGCATCTGGTTCCTCCTGGGAGAATGTCGGCATAGGCTCAGCTGACGAGGGCCGCTGTTCACGGGACAGGAACCTGAAGAGCCTGAACAGAGCACACAACATGTACACAAAAAGAGGGAAAAGTAGAATGTGAGCAAGAAAGGTATAGTGTGTGTGTGTGTGTGTGTGTGTGTGTGTGTTTGTTTGTTTGTGTGTGAGCATGTGTATGTGTGTGTGTATGGGGGGGGGGGGGGGAGTATGTGTATGTGTGGGTGTGCATGTTTGTGTGGGTGTGGGGGGGGGGGTGCTTGTGTGTGTGTGTGTGTGTGTGTGTGTGTGTGTGTGTGTGTGTGTGTGTGTGTGTGTGTGTGTGTGTGTGTGTGTGTGTGTGTGTGTGTGTGCAATTATGGTCACACACGACTTTCTTCTCTTTCTCAGACTCCTCCTGACTTTTCTTTCATTCTCCTAGGTGGTTACCAACAGTCAGTGCATGCCGGAGTATGTGGTGTGATGTGTGTGCGTGAAAAAATGAAAAAGACCAAAAAGTAGAGATTCACCGGCCAGAAAAAGCCATTTCATAGCCGTGTGGTGTAGACCAGGCTGAATAGTGGCGGTCAATTCTTCAGCCTTGCAAGCTGTTGAATGGTGCAATCCCAGCACAAGTTGCTATGTCTTCTGCTGTAGCATCGCTATCATCGCCTCTGGCGAGGGGCGTCAAATGGTCAAATGGTGTGTGTATGTGTGTGTGTGTGTGTGTGTGTGTGTGTGTGTGTGTGTGTGTGTGTGTGTGTGTGTGTGTGTGTGTGTGTGTGTGTGTGTGTCTGAGAGAGAGGGAGGGAGGGAGAGAGAGAGAGAGAGAGAGAGAGAGAGAGAGAGAGAGAGAGAGAGAGAGAGAGAGAGAGAGAGAGAGAGAAAGAAAGTGAGAAAGAGAGAGAGCGAGCACAATTTTGCCAGTCACGTAAACAGCTGTGCCCTTCCATCGCCCGCTGTTCGCCAATCACCTGGGCCTGGAGCAGGGCAATATCCAACACTAGCTGGCTGGCTATTCCCGGATTTCACGGAGCAGGGTTTGACAAGGACTTTGAAGACTGAGTTTTCCGCGTCCACAGTAATACCACCTACTTCTATGGATCAAGGCAAAGATGCAGCTCCTAAACGGTGGGAGCTGAGTAGATCAGACCCACCACAAAGTGATCAAAGACCGGACAATCCCATTCACTGCATCCATGTTTCCCTCGTGCCAAGACCAAACAAGATACAAGCAGGTTCCTACTGCGACAAGAACTTATGCGGAATAGAAATGCAATGCAGGAGGATATAGACACTGTGTGGACCTGCAGTGCAATAGAGCGCAAACCTTACTTCATTCGGTCATTCGCTCCCAGAGTCCTACTGAACATCCGCTGTTGATGCTGCCGAGTCGGCGTGGAAACCAGGAGAGACTTGACGTTGCGCACACTGTTGAAGCTGTTCTTGCGCTCGTGGCCGCCGCTGGCTGGTGTGTGTTTAGTCGGGTCAAAGCTAGGCGTCTTGTCCTGGGTAGGAGACGTTGGCAGTGAGGTGCTCCAAACCGGAACGGGCACCTTGCTTTGGGACACGGTCGTCACGGCTGGCAACTGCAGAGGCTCGTGGAGCGTAGCTGCAGATCCAGTGCCTTCTAGGGTAATACTGCTCCCGTCGCCGATTCCGAATGACTCCCGCCACTGGGCCGACAGTGGCCGTTTAGCGGGCTCTGCTACGTGCAGGCTCCCGCTGGTGATCTGTTGCAGCGAGTGCCGGCGTTGGTTTCGCTGCCAAGACGGAGCGGCAGCTGCACTCTGTGCTCTCTTCTTCCTCGTCATTGCTTGGCTCTCCGTTACGGGTGGAGCAGATGCTGGTGAGTGAAGATGCAGTGTCCTGAGCTGCCTGGCAAACGCTATCATTTTCACAGTGTCCTCGGCAGTGTGATCAACGGGTAGAATAAGTGACAAATCCGCCTTTCCCTGCAACACAGAACATACATCATACAATAGTGATTATAAGAATGCTATAATACGAATCCCAGGGTGGTGGCGTTCCTACGGATGCGGAAAACCCGGCTGGATCTCACGCGAACCGTGAAATTAATTTAATACAAAGTTATACAATGCTACCTCTTTGGGGGGGGGGGGGGGGGGATGAAGTTGAAGACACCACTGCAGCTGTACTTATGCTTGAATTATAATTATGGTGGTAAAGACACACCTGGCAATATGGCAGTAAATACACGCCAACCATGCATCGACTAGTCGCCAGGCGCGAACTGATGGTCGTGGTGGTGGTGGTGGTGGTGGTGGCAAGAAGGAGAGGTCTGTGCCAGAACTTTGCAGCCTAAAGAGCGTGTGTGGGCAGGCGTGTGTTTACCGCCATATTTCCAGGGGTGTATTTACCACCCTGTACCTCTTAGGGAAGTGGACTTTATATATTTATCTAGAGTACAGCCCTACTGGAAAACATGTGGAGAATGAAAGAAAAACAGGACAAAGGGGACGCAGGGATGACGAGTTGATGTACTAAGAGCAACTCAACCGGCCAGGGGCCTCCGAGGCAGGTAACCGGAAAATAGAAAATGGTCAACTCCACCAGCATTCAAAGCCAGGATGTTGCTTGCCTTGAGCAATGCCCTAACCACCGGAGCTGTTAGTTCAGGTCATAGCTAGCAGTCGCTGAAAAACGTTTCACTCAAGTGGCAGTTCAAAATCGTGACGTGCCAGATATACAAATGGTACTCAGGTCCTTTCCCCTCCCCGGAAGGACCGACCAACGCGGTTAATCTCTGGAACGTGCTACCAGAGGTGAACGAAAGAGATTAACAAGGATTGGGAGAGCTACTAATACAAGAATTTAAACTTGAATTCGAAACTTTCCCAATCATTCGCATGCTACAATAGTCTGCAGAATCACCTCAAAAAAATGATGCACGGTTCTAGTCGGAAAATGCAGATCTGCTAAGGTGTATACACCATATCGCACCGGTCCTAGGAATGGGAAGTTATTTTTAGTTGAAGCTTGAGTCCTCCCCTTCACACACCTCACAGGAAACGTGTATCTGGCATTCCAATTTTCCTGCCTTTCAGCAGACAATCAGGAAGATGCTTAAAAATCAAATTCTTGGTTTTATATTTTTTAATGAATCAATGACTGTAGTTTGCACTGACCTGCATAGGTGGCTGAAGAATGGCGGTCAGCATGGTGGACAAGTAGTCGACGCTCAACCGTTTCACCAGCAGCGCGTGCACCAGCTGATACAGCGAGTGCGTCTGCACCACGTCGGAAGGGTAGTCGTTGTCGACAGGCAGCGGCACCGACCCGGGATAGAGGTTGGCGGCGGGTATGGACCGGGCGGTGATGTCGACGAAGTGAAGACAGCCCGTGTCCGGTGCGTGCAGCATGTCTACATTCAGAACAACATAACATCATCATTATACACAACCAAATAACACAGGAAGCACAGAAGCCACTGGAAATGTTCTACAACGAGACCATTTGTACCATTGCCCTTCGCACTAATCATATGCCCAATTCATTTCTCCAGGAACTTAACACATTCGTTCATCTCGGGCACCCTGTAAGAAGACCTCAGGGTCTGTTGGAAATGACCAAGTAAAAAAATATAGTAGTTTAAAAGTACAATACAATACTTTTCACAGTCTTTACAATGGTGAGATGAACAACTGCAAAACAAAAGAAGAAATTTCACGGTTCGCGTTAGACTTGGCTAGAGGCGTTGAAATGCACTGCTGATTCCAACGCACTCACATAGATTACTATATATTGAAAATTTGGCATTGCGGCAATGCGGCCTTATGCATCCATTGCAAGCTGCCTTGAAAAAGCGAATAGAGACCAGTTGTCTCTGCACTGTGGGGAAGCCACCGAATACAGATATAAAAATAGAGTGGTTTCACACCTTTGGCATGTGACTAAATCTGTTTAGAAAGTGATCACGGCATGTGGACAGTGGGTGCAACATGGCCGACACCATCATGCGACCCATAGATGAACGGGGATTGAGTGGAGTTGGAACAAAGATGGCTGTCCTGTATGGTCATGTGATAGATGTAGATGTGGAACAAGTCCATTGCCAACACTGAATATCACATTCCACATGACAGTACGGGTTGGGTGGGACTGTACGCCTCCAGGGGATATCCTAACCCCATATTTATCTTTAGCAGTGCCGTGGTTGGCTACCACCCACTCCCTTCACATTGGCCGATGTTTTCCCTAGAGTCTTGAGATCTGTTGTAATACATAATAAATATTTAATTCGGATGGTGAGCCAATTAAATTATAGTGAAAAGAAGGACAAAATGTTACGAATTATGACTAACTGTCCACCAACGTAACCAACCAGATCTTATACAGTCAGCGAGTGCGACAAGATGGCACAAAACTTTCCTTCCCCTCTTGGACCTTTCCGAACCTGAGCCTTCCAAGTTGGAAGGTTGTTGGTTTGTGCCTTGGAGAAGTGTTGGAGCTAGGTGTCAGGTCGCCGAATGTCTCAGTACTCCTTGTCAGTTTTGTGCCATTTTGTCGCACTCGCTGACTGTATAAGATCTGGTTACGTTGGTGGACAGTTAGTCATAACTCGTAACATTTTGTCCTTCTTTTCACAATAATTTAATTGGCTCACCATCCAAGTTAAATATTGCACACCTGATGAGCCGTCATGACCTATACGGAGAAATGTACGTCGTGTGGAGCTACTTGTTATTGTACATAACTAGTCCATCATACATGATAGTGGAGTCCGGTAGGATGTTGGCGTTTCGGTTTGTCACAATTCGTCTTCGCTTAGCTTCCCCTTTCTACGTTTATTACATAAACTTGAGCCTCCCAAGTTGAGCCGTCTGTTGCTTTGCGTCGTCGAGTTGTAGTAAGGCCGGTGTGTCCAATAGTCTTACTAGTTTCGTCATCATCCAGTAACTTACAGCATTCTTTGGTGCCGTGATGCGTAACTCGTGCTCTTCTTCGTTGCGCTTTCCTTCCCCTCTTGGACCTTTCCGAACCTGAGCCTTCCAAGTTGGAAGGCTGTTGGTTTGCGCCTTGGAGAAGTGTTGGAGCTAGGTGTCAGGTCGCCGAATGTCTCAGTACTCCTTGTCAGTTTTGTGCCATTTTGTCGCACTCGCTGACTGTATAAGATCTGGTTACGTTGGTGGACAGTTAGTCATAACTCGTAACATTTTGTGCTTCTTCTTTTCACAATAACATAATAAATAGATTAGAATATATAAAGAGTCGACAAGGAGACAAAAGTTTTAGAATCGAAATTAGTGAGATACAATGCCCTGCCATCCTATATCCTAGATGCATGGATATTGGATGACAGTGCACTAAATCTTACTAATAGAGATTTTAAAACGAGAGAGCTTGGAAGCTCAGGGCCCTACGCTATGCTTTTATGCTCTTTTGCCTAGCTCATAGTACATGTTATTGGAACTGATGGAAATTTTTTTCGTTGATTGGCCACATAATTGTATTGCAAAAACGTTTCAATCAGTTTGAATATGAGTTAGGCAAAAGTATTTGCAGAGTTTTTTGTGGATTGTTATTTTTCTCTAATTTGATCCACTTTTGGTTTGCCCCTTCTTTTCTTTTTATCTCCTTATACTGTAAATCAACAAATTTTGGCCGATGAGAAACTTTGGCCGATCTCGAAACGAAACTTTTCGCCGTCATTAAACTTTGGCCGATTGGAGTTTTCAAAAAGAAATCGATCGGTATTTTTTGCTCTCACATGCATCCATTTCTCAATCATGCATCATTTGCCTCTATGACAAACTTTGGCCTGCGATTTACTTTGGCCGGTTGGTACCAAGCGGCAAAATCAGCGAAATTAAATCGCCAGCGAAAATTAGTTGATTTTAATACAGAAATCTGATTTTCTGGCCTTTTTGTAGTAATATATTGACCTGTTGAGCCAATGAGGTAAAATTATATTCCATACAATACGATACAATACAATAATACAAAAATACGTATCCTGTCCGACCGCAAAAGAGGCTGCAGATTTAGTTTTTCTGCGCGTCGACGGGATGTCTGTCCTGACGTTACCTGGGACCGGCGCTGACTCTGCCGATCACGGGCGTTCTGGAGTCGACGGGATGTCTGTCCTGACGTTTCCTGGGACTAACGTCCATTCTATTTTCATTTCCTCCTCGTCACCCTATTTCTTTCCAAATCTCCCTCTACATCGGGGAGTCGTATGTTAGAAGAAAGCACAGAAAATTTGGTGCAATTCCTATGAGGGAGACTGAAGTTATCATCCCGTGTGCCAATGCCGGTCCGCGAAGGCATAGTCCCACCTTAAAGAAAAGGGAGTCGTATACATAATACGACGAATATTGCGGCCAGCTGTTTGTACGGGACGGTACGGGACAGATACGGGAGCCAGCAAGTGTTGTGGCCAGCTGTCCTGTGTAGTCACAGATATGGGACAGATACGCGACAGATACGGGATAGCTCCAGGCGTGACACAAACACACAAACAAACAAACAAACAAACAAACAAATACCAAACGAGAGAGCTTGGAAGCTCAGGGCCCTACGCTATGCTTTTTTGCCGTGATGACCTAGACAAAAAAAAGCATAGGGATGTTATAAATTCTTTAAAAAATTCCTTTTTTTTAAGACATAACCTGGGATTCGAACCCGCACTATCGCGCGCGCCCTGCATGCATCCCCCGATACACTTCGCATACATACTAATTCTTCCAAGTTGCTTCACGTTATGATCTTGCATTTGAAAGCCCTATTTGAATATGCAGTGTGGCCAGCCGTCTTTGACAGTACGGTACGGGATAGGTACGGGACAGGTACGATCGAGGGTAATACGACACCGTCCACCGCCTTGATGACGGCAAAAAAAGCATAGGGATGTTATACATTTTTCAATTCTCCTATTTTTTTTTCAGGCATATCCTGGGATTTGAACCCGCACTATCGCCCTACATGCATTCCCCCATACACTTCGCATTCATACCCGTTCTTCCAAGTTGCTTCACGTTATGATCTTGCGTTTTAAAGCCCTATTTGAATATTGCGGCCAGCTGTATGTGGCCAGCTGTGTTTGATGGTACGGTACGGTACGGGACAGATACGGGATAGCGCCAGGCGTGACGCAAACAAAAAAACAAACACCAAATTAAAGCTGTGTGGACCCTGGCTAGCGCCAGACGTTACTGAAGTAACGTCTTCTGCATAGCTACGGGAATTAAAGCTGTGTGGACCCTGGCTAGCGCCAGACGCTACTGAAGTAACGTCTTCTGCATAGCTACGGGAATAAATATACCTGACTGCTGCTGACCACTTGGCAGAAGGCGAAGTGACAGCACGGCATGATGTGTTGCCATGCCTTCGCTGCTCTGTTGCCGTGGTGACGGAGACGACGATGATGATGGGGATGTAGCGCTCGAGGAGGTCCTGTGTCGCATCAGTCTGGCGCGGTGGTAGAGCTGTAGTAAGCGACGGCCGTCCTGTACTGTATGCCATTGGGTGGGAATCCTTGCACTGCTTGTGCTTGCACCTGATGTCTAGGACACACAATACAGTGCACAGGAATCAGTACAGGTTGGAGGAAGATACGAAAGAGAGTGAGGGGGAGGGATGATGGAAAGAGAAAGAGAGAGAGAGAGAAAGAGAGAGAGAGAGAGAGAGAGAGAGAGAGAGAGAGAGAGAGAGAGAGAGAGAGAGAGAGAGAGAGAGAGAGAGAGAGAGAGAGAGAGAGAGAGAGAGAGAGAGAGAGAGAGAGAGAGAGAGAGAGAGAGAGAGAGAGAGAGAGAGAGAGAGAGAGAGAGAGAGAGAGAGAGAGAGAGAGAGAGAGAGAGAGAGAGAGAGAGAGAGAGAGAGAGAGAGAGAGAGAGAGAGAGAGAGAGAGAGAGAGAGAGAGAGAGAGAGAGAGAGAGAGAAAGGAAGAGAGAGATGATAGATTAGAGCGGAAGAGAAGAAGAGAGGAGAGGCCATGGAATGGGAAAGAAGAGGTGGTAGGGTAGACATGGCCAGGAGGAAGATGGAGGGAGAAAGGCAAGAGACAGGAGGAGGAGGAGGAGGAGGAGGAGAAGGAGGAGACAAAGAGGAAGTATATACACCCTACCGTGCGCAAGCACACAATAGCTCACCTCCGACACGGAGCCGTCATAGGATAGCGTAGGCGACCTGGCGGTTAGCAAATCCTGTGCCTCGCGCCGTCCGCTTAGCTGAATGCAGCTAACCTGCAGCGTTCCCACCTCACCGTCAACCTTCTCCTTCTGCTGCTGCTGCTGCGCCTTTGCTAGCCAATCCAGTACGACATAGCCAGTTGTCAGGAACAGCGACATAACATGAACACCTGGTGACAACACACGGAAGGAAACCAATAAAAACTTTTCACTAGTTTGAAGAAAATATTGCTGCGATGCAGATTTCGAGCCTCATATCGTCATCATCACTTCTCCTATCGCAGAAGCGATAAAAAATTCACGGTTCGCGTCAGACTCGGCTAGAGACCGAGTTTCCCGCATCCGTAGGAACGCCAACACCCTTCAAGGATTAAGGCGCAGATGCAGCTCCTGAAGCGGTGGGAGGTGTGTAGATCGGCTCACCAGCAAGTGGTCAACGATCGAAAATCCCATTCACTGCATCCATGCAGAAATGCAGAAGCGATAGAAAGCTTGGAATTCAGTTCCAATTTTGAAACAGCCCGAGAACCAACGGAATTATGAACGTTTGCCGGTATGCAAAATGATAATAGAGAGGTTCCGGGGTACGATTTTCCGTGCCAAAATCCGTATGGGCGGTACGGATTTTTTCCAGGCGTGCTCCATACGATTTTTCGGCACGGAGAATCCGTGTGGACTGGCTTTCACACGAACCATGTTTCGTATGGAGATTTTGCGTCATCGGGTGCAGAAAGATTTTTCGCGTACAAATTTGGTACGAGAAACATCGATTTTCCGCGGGAAGTTTTGATTTCGGTACAAGTTTTCAAAATAAAAAGGCATAGCGCGGGAATGTGATGTGTTTGCGATCGTAACCTAGGCAATGACGGCAAACACATAAGTTCCGTACTCCGGAACTTTTCACTGCTCAAAAACGACGTATAAAAAATCCGTAGCGCCTCTCCGGATTTTGGCACGAAAAATCGTACTCCGGAACCTCCCTAATCATCGTTCGATATGGAGCGATGTAGTTGGGGGGGGGGGGGATTTGGGAGGATGTAGGGTACACTCACCTAGCTATGAACCAACAGTAGCTGCAATTCACAGTGCTCTCTTTGTCGCCATTTTCCAAGAGCATTGTACACTGTGCATTCAGGACGGTGGTTGAAGTAAAAGGAGTCTAGGCAGCTGCATGATTTTCGTGCATTCTGAACGCAGCGTCACACCTTCGCAAACGGTCGAGCATATCGCTACTGCTATGTGTTGATGTTGTTAGCGAGTCGTGTGCGGTGCTGCGTGTAATAGTGCCACATTATGATGACACAGATACGCGTACAACATGCACTGTCATGCTGTACATGTTTCCGCCGCTGTAATGGCAACAAATATAGGTAGCCCCTCAAACATAAACATGGATTGTAGGCACGTAGCCTGCATGGGACACGGGGGCAAGTGCTACCCCCCCCCCCCCTAAAATTTCGACCTAGGTATGACCATGAATGACATGCACCAGCCATCATACACATATGCGGCCCTGCACACCCTCCCCCCCCCCCCCCCCCCCACACCTAAAAGGGGGACCAGCTACGCCCCTGGACTGTTCGGTTGATTAACTTAAGAGATTTTCGCTCACCGGAATTGGGCGCACGTTGACCGGCAAGAGTTGTCTGCGTGCCCGACACGCCGCACTCCCTGTCGTCCACGCCGAACAGCACAATGCACGACTGGCGACGGTGTTGGGTCATTGCCAGCAGAGCCGGATCCACAATGCGCTTCATCACGGCGGAGACGGTACGTTCGGCCGTCCCGTCGAACTGTGCGGACGTCGCCTTCGATGCAAGGTTCTCGGCCGAGACCGAGACCGACGCATCAACGGTGGCCGGGTTCACAGATACTCCGCCTGAGCTGTCCACCTGGAGGAAGTCTTTCGACGCGCCGTCTTCCGGTTTGAGGAGGAACACCTTACAGCGCTTGGTCTTGTTGCCTGTAAAGTAAGAGTCGGTCTTCAAAGGCCACGGCATGTGGTCGCCTGGCATGTGGTTTTGCTCTTGTGTTAGCCCATCCTGCGACGGGGACGACCTCAGTGAGCTGCGGCTGCTTTGGCTGGTGCTTCCCGCTGACATCGCGCGTCTGCCTCGCTCCGCGATTACTCGACGTTGCCTGCCATTGTCTGGACGTCCTGTTGGTGCGGTTGTCCCAGTGTTGTGTAAGCCTTTCTCACGGAATTGCTCCTCCTGCGCTTGTTCTCCTGGCCCAGTCGAGTGTGCACCTGTTGTCCGGTGTGTGGGCGTCGTTTGTGCGACGGTGACATGTTCGCTTTGACGATATTGATTTCGTTCAGGTGCAGCCGAGCCTGGCGCTGTCTGCTCCGATGAGTTTCGGCGAATGCGCTTGGCGAAGTGTGCCGGCGTGTGGCCTGCGTTGGCGTGTTGCCGGATCAAGCTTCCAGTGGACGAGTCGCTGCGCAGCGAGTCGAAATCCACTGGTTGCTCTGGATGGGGTAGCTCAGGACGCAGGCGAGCTGGTGAAGCAGAAACGCGTTCCGGCTGAGCTGCGAATGGTGGCGTAGACGAACTTGGCACCGCACTGGCCAGCTGGGGGTGGAGACGAACTGGTGTGCTGCGAGCGGCTGCCTGCTGCTGCCTGACTGGAGGTGCTGCCGACGAAGTATTCGGCGAACCCATCTCGGCGAACGGGTCCGCATCGTCCGCCAGCAGCTTGGGCGCAGCCCACGTATCTGATGTGTTCCGTTTTAGCATCATGATACCAGGCGAGCTCACCTCTACACACTTGTACTAAGTAACAGTTGTAGTGTCCCACATGACCGATACGAATTATTTAGTCTGTTAGTGTTCAACAAACAACATTCTTCCAACCGCTAAACTACCTGACAGGTCATTCAAACACTTGAAACAGTGTCCTCCCCTCTGTGTGTTCCGGCCTTGTTCTGTTGTTTGTTGTAGCTACGAACACAATGGTGTGACGACCAACCTTTGATTCTGCTTTCGAAGAGCTGAGTCTCCCTCCTATAATTGGTCTAAGCACAGCGCGCCGGTAAAAGGAATAAAAAGGAAACGAGTTGCTGTTAGACGTCTCGACCCATTGCAGAGACATAGCTACATGTGCCTGCAAATAAAATAATTATTATAAGCAGCTGTCAAGTGTCATTCTCCGTCATGCCTAGTCCTGGTGTCGACAGCTTCGAGGGTACGGTAGAGCTGAACATTCACTCGCCTTCGTCCCGTGCTACAGACTACAGTGTAGCTCAACAACATAAAGACTCTCACACTCTCAGTCAGAGTCAGAGCCGGAGCCTAGCCAGGGCCTAGGGCTAGGGAGACATAATTGGAGTGATGAGTTTACTACTCCCCGGAAAGAACCGTTCATTATGATTGTGTGTAACCATGGTAACTGGTAGACCTAGCTACACAGACTACGAGTACGAGTAGGTCTACGACTACGAGTACAGTCCAGAGCTAGGCCTTGGCCCAGACCTGGTACATGTACATGTAGAGGGGACGGTTTCAAATAGGACATAGGTTGCAAACCGGAACGGACTCAATATTCACTTTCTCTCTTGGTATTTTGATTAGAAGACATATGTCACAGTGAGACTACGATGTGTTATACTCCGAGCCAAAATTTCATGGCTCTGCGATGACCAGAAGCGCCATATCAAGCAGGTGAGTTTTTGACGTGTTGCTTCGCACTGCGACTTGAGTTTTACGACTTTCGAAAAATCAACTTCTTGTCGCAGGTAAACAGCGGCTCGCCTCTCGCCAATAAAGCACCGCATACCAATCAAAACTAATGGAAGCACACACAAGGCTTATTGTTACTCTGTACTGGCCGTCGTGGAGCGATAGCAATTACCTAATTTCAGACCCAGAGTGAATTTGACGTGCACTCTAAAACGTGTCCGGTTTGGAGCCACCTCTGATTTGAACTTTTTTGAAGCGAAAAATTGGGCAACTTGGAGGCAATGGGTCAACACAAAGGAGTGGCTCAGTTCGATTGACTCTGGCCCCAGAGCAAACTTCAACATGCCAGTTTCCTTCCACAAACATATTTCGAGTGAAAAATCAACGCTGATGATCGGTTTGGGTCTATACAAATTTGGCTGTCAAAGCGTCCCAGTATCGAGCCGTCTCCTCTACATGTATGTACGAACATAATAATAATAATTATTGACCTCGTACTCACTCAGTCAGCTAGAGCAGATGCTTGTACCTAAAAAGAATGTATTATTACGCGTGCTGTGGTACTAGTATTATTGTTGTGTTTTCAAAGCAATGGATGAGAATCCTGAGGAGCCCGCCGCTCCGCCGCCTTCACTGGTCAAAGCTAGAGAGAAGTTGTTGGAAGAGGCCGAAGATTCAGGACTTCAGCTGAGCGGCGGCCTCGCTTCTGATGACCTCATTCCGCTCGACCAGATTTTCGTCAATTTAGCGTTGGTGTCAGAAAAGGAATTGAAAACAGACTTTGATGTAGCGTTCTCGACGTACGCCGAGAGACGTGAACACGCAGTGCAATTTAGCAAAGCCGAACGAATTGAATTGGAGGACCTGTTTCGTGCCGCAGGTTCGAGTGTTGACGCCGTTTCCCATTTAACAGGAAACGATGCACAAGCTGCAGCAGCTCCAGCTACCGGGTCGAGAAATCAGCAGCTGCGCGGCAAGGTGTTACGGAATGTACTGGTGTACGGATCTGCTGGTAGTGGTAAGACCACTGTATTTCTGCTCATGGTTCTATACCTGTGGAGCCGAGGCGAACTATGGCGGGGGAAATTCGATCTGGTTGTGGGACTGGAGCTTCGTGAAAAAGAGATGACAGCTGCCACTAGTCTTGCTGAGCTATTGGCTGTGAAACTGGCGAGCCAGGGTCTGTCGCAGGCTGAGATATTGGAGCTTGCAAGGCACTTTCAGCATGCTCCAAGCCGTCTATGTCTTGTCATGGACGGCTTTGACGAATGTGAATTCTCCAGCTGCAGTAAGTTCATGCGAGACTTGCTGACACGTGAGGGCATGGCGAAGACACACGTGATCGTCACAAGCCGTCCATGCCTGGATGCATATCAACTATCGCAGTGTGGCAAATATCAGAAGAAGATCCAAGTACTGGGTTTCTCACCGGAGAACGTGAGGGAGTATGCTGAGAAGGTTCTGGGAACGGAACGTGCTGAAATTCTGCTGGCAGAGCTGCAGAGCAAGCCGGATGTGTCATGTCTTATGGCAACACCCATGTTTGCAGCCCTAACATGTGAGCTTTTCAAGAGCGGCGAAGCCGTGTGGCAGTGCAGCGCATCCCTGTACGAATCGTTACTGCGCCGAGTCGTAGAGCGTGCTGGTGGTGCGGTTTGCGACTCAATTTCACTGGCACCCAGCAAAGTGGTCCAGTCGCTACAGGAACTGGGGCGTTTTGCGTTTCGCATGCTGCTGCTGAAAAGGATGGTGTTCAACAAGTCCGACATGATCAACTCCCACTTGAGCAGGGATGCAATGAGCTTGGGTCTTCTGCAAACATGCCAGGGCACATTGTCTATGCACGCTCGGCAATACCGCTTCTCTCATCTGTCACTGCAGGAGTTCCTGGCAGCTTGGTACATGACGGAGTGCGTGGTGCAAGAAAGACATCACGCCATTGTACTGGCACGGCGACTGGGCGCGTACGATGGCCATATGGCAATGTTCTGGAAGTTTCTCATTGCCCTAAGCCCAGAAGACGTGTCGCTGACCATCTTGGAGGAGCTATGGCGTGTGCAGTGTGCGGATCCCATACCACTAGATCCTAGCGGTGAGGCCGACCAATGTACCAAGGATGCTAACAAATTTGCCAGTCTCAGCGAGGAATGGGCCACTATTGCATCTACTGAGGCAAATGCATATGTTGCTATTGCCGCTAGACGTGCTGTCACCGCCGCTACGCTAGCCGAGGAGATGCGCAACGATTCAAGTGTCCTGACTGGCGAGATGGAGCTGGCAAAGGTCCATGACCATCTTTGCCAGGTACTGAAGGCTGAGCACATGACAGTACTCGCCGACATTCTCCTCATTCCCCGGCATCACCGTGGCAAGGGCCATGGTGGGCAACGTGTGCGCCGTTTCATGCCAATCAGCCGAGAGCCCACCGACGCGCTATTCCTGAAGGTTCTCCTGACGCTGTGGATGGAGAATGGCAGTGTTGCCAATGGCACTGTGCTGTTGGAAGCGCTATCCCAGGTGGATGCCGAGCTGGCGCAGCCGTGTGAGAGTCTCCTTCATCCCGTTGCTATGCTGCTGAGTCCTGAATCCGTGCAAGCTGCTCCTTCTCGCATTGTAAGTCTAGCTGATGTGGCCCCTGCTAATGTATATTCTCCAATACGTAGATTGTTTGTTCATCTTGTGGTGGCATACCGTGAGCACGCAGAGTATCACGGTGTGTCCTGCAAATGGACATGCCGTTTCTTTAGTTCTGTGCTTGCATCAAAGCTCAATCTCCATCACGTTTCTCTTTCTTCCCATGAATGTATTGCCCTCAGTTCTTTACTGCGTGGCTATCCATGGTTTGATTTGGAGGAAGTCCTTCTGAGCTGGTGTAGCAATGACAATGAGGCATTTCACACCTTATCAGTAGGCTTACGGAGGTGTAGGCGTGTACGTGTACTAGATCTATACGGCAATGCTATTCATGATGGTCAGGCATTGTCCTCCGTGATTTCAGCCATGTCTGCTAGTCTTGTGGTAGTTCGTGTCAGTTTTAACCTTGTTGGTGCGAGTGGTTTTGTGTTGGTGTGCCGTGCACTCAGTCAGTGTAGGAATGTTCGCTTTGTCAATGTCAAGTACATGTATAGTGATGGCGCTGTACCGTTATGGGTACTATGTGCTATGTTAGAGCAGTGTACACAGCTGGAAGTGCTGTGTTTGGTTGGCAATGTGTTTGTGGCCAGTGAAGATGATGAGGTGAGATTCATTGAAGCAGTGAAGGCGTGCACACAGCTACATGCTCTGTCGGTGCTTGGCTGTGGCCTGAGTAGGAATGTCTGTTCTCAGCTTGTCACTGTGTTCGCAGAGAGGAAGCGTCTGAATGGCTTGTGTGGTGTGTGAGCATGTAAACAGGTTGTGCGAGTGGAAGATTTTGACAAAGTATGCTGTGTTGAAACTGGATCGCACACCGTTTTCTGAGTATATGCCACACTAGATTATAAGCTGGACCCAAGTTTTTGTCACGAAATTTAAGTCTATTTTCCACCAATCATTTGACCATCATAGTGTAAGCTGCGCCGACTTTTTTTGGGGTGATTTCCTAGAAATTAAAGTGCGGCTACTACTCCAGACAATGCAGTTGTTATGTAAACTCCGTAAATTGTGTCAATTATTGAGACCATGTAAAGTTTTGTAGTGTTTTGGTCCCCTGTATACCCCCTACCCCTAAGCCCTGACCATCCATCGATAGGTTGTCTTTGCCTGATTTTCTTCTTTTATATAGTATCATGTTTTGCTTGCTGCTTGCCTGCTTACTACTCTCGAAGACGGATGTGAAGACATTTCTGATGCATTCATACCTATATCATTGGTTACAATGGTGTAAATTTACAGCAATTTTGTGTGTATGTGTTGTCATTGCTTGTGCAATCGTGGAGAATTGGATATGATGATGATGAGAATAGAGGTTGCTATGGTGTGTGTGTGTGCATGCGTGCATGTATGTATGTGTGTCTGTATGCTCGTACATGCGCGTGCATTCACACATAGATTGCAAGGTGTGTGTGTGTGTGTCCCCACTGTCTGGCCTGTGGTCGGTGCTCCCGCTCTACTGGTGGCTTCCGAATTCATAGCTGCCGGAGATGGCTCTCTTGTGGTGCCACTTGAACATGGTCCCTGACCTCTCAGCGGACTGCCGACTTTCCAATGTTGCCGTATCTTGTCGTTCCATATTGTCAGCCCCGCGAGGGGACACGTGACCGTAATGGCAGTATTTACCAGGGACCAGTGTGTGTGTGAGTGTGTGTGTGTGAAAAAAAGACCAAAAAGTAGGGATTCACTGGCCAGAAAAAGCCACTTCATAGCTGTGTGGTGTAGACCAGGCTGAATACTGTAAATATACAAATTTTCGGCAGCTATTTAATTTCGGCTATATTCGGCACCGACCCAAAACGCCTAAATTAAAACGCCGATGAAATTTTTCACAGCATCTGTCGCACTATACCATGCCCTCTACCCCACGCCGAAAAAAAATCGCCGCCGAAATGTCAAAAATCGTGAAGTGCCGAAATTTTGCAGCGCCGAAATTTTGTATATTTACAGTAGTGGCGGTCAATTCTTCAGCCTTGCAAGCTGTTGAATGGTGCAATCCCAGCACAAGCTGCTATGGCTTCTGCTGTAGCATCGCTATCATCGCCTCCGGCGATGGGCGTCCAATGGTCCAATGGTGTGTGTGTGTGTGTGTGTGTGTGTGTGTGTGGTTGTGTGTGTGTGTGTGTGTGTGTCAAGGCATTACAGTCCATCTCTTGTGCGATGTGCTCAATGAGCAGTCTGCATGGTCTGACTCTGTACTTGTCTTGACGGACTACGGGATCGCGATAGTAAACCCAAACATGGAAATTGTGTTTGTGTTCCCACTTGTTTGTGATAATGGTGCTTGTGCGTGTGCGAACACATGCACACGTCGTGTGACGTCGTGTTATAGTGTCTGTGCGCGTGCAGCGTGAGGGTACCATTTGTGTTGTTTTGCGTACATTCCCGGACGTGTGTTCGTGTGCATGTCAAGTATGAGCGTGCACTAGCACCTGTCCTTCGTATTTGGGGCTGTTTGGGAGAAGGGGAGGTGGTGGGAATGTGTGGGGGGGGGGGGGAGGGGGAGGTGGTGGGAATGGGGGGGGGGGGGGGGTGGGAGGTTGGAGGGGGTGTTTGTGTTTAGCATTATTTATTTTTTATTCTCGTATCCGTCCCAAATTGGACTCACAGCGGCAGAATTGGCTGTGAGAGAGTGGGGAAACAAAAGGAAAAAAGGGTAAGCGCATAGGTGTTTTCCTCTTGCCTTTCCCAATACAAGTCACACCTGTATTATTCAAGTGCTGTAGTTTTAGGTGTCATAATCTCTTACTTTGGTTTCCTATAATAGTTCAATTGTATTGCAATGCCCTTTAGTATAACGAAGAATCCTGACGAGTGGTGTATAAAAACTTGTTCGAATCCTAATTGTTCTCTTCACTATTATTTTCCTACTTTCATCGTTTTATTGCACATTGTCTCCACCCCTTTACACTGCATGAATAAAGTATACACAAATGTCGATTCGGCTTGAACTTATTGTTTGCGATACTAACAATTGTTGTCTCCTCGCCGTTAATTAATACAAAAAAAGAGTCTAGCACTAAGGTCAAATTTACGAATATATAATACAGCTGTACTGGACTAAATGGCTAAGCAGATGTTATTCCATTGTTTTCTGTCGCAGGTATAACTGCAGAGGACATTCATAGCAAAGTGATTCAAAACATGTGATGCAAATTATAGGTTTTTGAGAGTTCGATGAGATAGTTGTCAGCTTTCCGTTACTGATCAGTACCATTCGTCCTGAGCCTCTTTCGATCTGCACGAGCACAGCAGGAAATGGAACAGAAGACGTCAAACACTACTGCGGGCTGTAGTCTAATAATTATGACGTAGAGGACTTGTTTTTTAAGTTGAACTCGAATGGAGAGCCAATTTTATTATGGCAAAAAAAGGAGAACGACGAAATGTTACGAGTACTTCAAGTAATGACTAACTATCCACCAATGTAATCAGATTGGAAGGTTGTTGGTTTGCGCCTCGGAGGAGTGTTTGGAGCTAGGTGTCAGGTCATTGAATGTCTCAGTACTGCTTGTCAGTTGCGTTGGTATTTGTCGCACTCGCTGACTGTATAAGATCTGGTTACGTTGGTGGACAGTTAGTCATAACTCGTAACATTTTGTTGTTCTCCTTTTTTTCTTTTCTTTTTTTAATGTTTCTAACTTCAAGAGCACTGCCCCTTATCCCCAGAAAGGGAAAACTGGAGAACAGTGTATGCTCGTAGCGTAAGGTCCCCATCTCCCGTACATTTCCTCACATATCCTTTTCCCTCCTGGCCCCGTAGCTACCCGTGTTCCTATAGGACACCTTTGTTCCATTGGCCAGGGTAGCTGCTCACGCGCCCATTTTTTGCCATAGCTACCCAGGCCAGGCAAATGCTCTCTCTCTCTCTCTCTCTCTCTCTCTCTCTCTCTCTCTCTCTCTCTCTCTCTCTCTCTCTCTCTCTCTCTCTCACACACACACACACACACACACACACACACACACACACACACACACACACACACACACACACACTCTCTCTCTTTCTCTCTCTCTGTCACTCGCTCACACTCTCTCTCTGTCACTCGCTCACACACTCTCTCTCTCTCTCTCTCTCTCTCTCTCTCTCTCTCTCTCTCTCTGTTGCGATCTCTCATTCTCTCTTAGTTTCTCTTTCCTTTGACACACCATGACTCCTTTCGTCTCTCCATCTCCCCTTGTCGCCCCCCCCCCCCCCCCCCCCTGATAAAAGCCTTCTCCAACCTAACTCGTCCGCGGCTCAATGAGTGTGGAGATATCGGGGCCCCAGTTTTGATATCTTCACAATAGAAAAATGGGCTATGGTGAAGGTTTACTGTGTCAACAGCGGCAGAAGGAACGTGATCTGCCTCATCAAATCTTCTGTCAGATGCTCTAACTTTCCGCACCCGGAACAAGTGCTCAAAGAATGCTATGAATCATGATTCTGAAGAGGAAGAGGCCTCAATAACAGCACGAAAGCCAACAATCGTAACAGATAGAGAGGAAAATTTAATCACAGGTGCACTTGAGCATGCAACTTACTTTGTTTGTTCTTGGGTCAAAGTTCCCACCTTTGCCAACAGCTGCGGTGCTTCGTCGATGACAAGTGCCAGCAACTTATTCATGTATGCCTCGCTCTGAGTCGCTTCATCCTCTTTTTCTTTGAGAGCGGCGACTAAATCGCTCTGCATCACACACAAGCCGACAAACAAAACGTACGAACAAATGCACACCCACACACACACACACACACACACACACACACACGTGCGTGCACATGTACACCCACCCATACACCCACTCAAACAAAGAACCATACACATACACATGCACACACACACACACACACACACACACACACACACACACACACACACACACGCCCACAAACACACACACACAGGCGCATATACACCACAATACACAAGTACCATGTTCAACAATTTCATGACATGTGTGCCATACACCACTTTGGTACCTGCTTCAGGATGGAAAAAGAGCCAGGAAAGGGGACACGAGGGAAAGGCTAGGTGTGTGTGTGTGTGTGTGTGTGTGTGTGTGTGTGTGTGTGTGTGTGTGTGTGTGTGTGTGTGTGTGTGTGTATGTGCAGTTGCTGCCGATGGTTCCGTAGTAAGGGTGGGCTTGCAGTTCATCGCTGCCAGCCAGCACTCCCTGAACATGCAGATACCGCATTGACGGCGTCTCTCGCTAGTTGCTGCTTTCAGCATTGTCAACGCTGCAATCGCTGCTTCAAGTCCCGGGCTGGTTTTAACCGCCATAACTGCAACCGTGGAAAACGTCTTGCTGCAGCCGATAGGGAATCACTGCCGCTGATCTGCATGCATTGCCCGAAGCGTTTCCGACGACAGCAAGATTTGACGAGGCACCAGAAGTCCTGCCAATGACGGTGCCCTCCAAACTCTGGCCCCCTCCGGGGGTGACATTGCCCAATGGGCAGTCATGCTATAGTAGTAGTAGTAGTAGTGTGTGTGTGTGTGTGTGTGTGTGTGTGTGTGTGCGTGTGTGTGTGTGTGTGTGTGTGTGTGTGTGTGTGTGTGTGTGTGTGTGTGTGTGTGTGTGTGTGTGAGTGTGTGTGTGTGTATGTGTGTGTGTGTGTGTGTGTGTGTGTGTGTGTGTGTGTGTATGTGTGTGTGTGTATGTGTGTGTATGTATGTGTATGTGTATGTGTGTGTATGTGTGTGTGTGTGTGCGTGTGTGTGTACGTGCATGTGTGTGTGTCCGTGTGTGCCTGAGTGCCTGCAGGGTGAGGGAATGAGGAGATAAGGAAATTACGGAAGGCTAGCCTAAAGAGGGAAGTAAGAAGGAAGCAAGTATTAGGAACCTCCCATAAGAAAAGTCTGTCATCAACAATCCGTTGACGCCATCTTCATCAGGTCCGTCCTAGGTCCGTCCTACTACTTCTGTCATCAATATCACTTACATGGCTCTTTGAGCTGAGATCACTCAAGTCAATTCCTGCTGCAGGGAACCACACACACGCACAAACAGAATCCAAAACGAGTCGGTCAAGTCCACAAACCCCAAATTCTCTCTCATTGCCATCCGAACGAAAGACGTGTACATTCCCGGTTGACATAACGCACATACATGTAAATCTAGATTTCTGAAAAGCACAATGCAAGCAAGCACCATAATATCTTGCTGAGTCAGGAACTATCAACGGCTTGTGGAAGCTTTTCGACATGGGTGCACTGCACTCCAGACAGCATATTCCACAACAGAAACTGGCACTCTCTTACTCCAAAAAAAAAAAAAAAAAAAAAAAAAAACAGTCATGGTAGTCCCGTACACGATAGTCAGCAACAACCTTGAAATGGGATGTACAGTCAACTTCGCTTATAGCGACACTCGGCGGGGCACCAAAAAGGTGTCCTTATTCGCGAAGTGTCGTTATACCCAAAGTCTCATTATATGTATTACAGTGGGATGGGACTTTGCTCTGGGCATGGAAATTCTGTCGTTATTCGCGAATTGTCGTTATATCCGCAGTCGTTATTAGCGAAGTTGACTGTATGCATCAATGTCCCGCCATTAGGTTTTGCGGGGCAAGTCCACTACAACCGTACACACCTTGATACCAGCTCTGCATAAAAAGTCATGAACTTTGTGAGGTCATGAACTCAGAACAGAACAACAAGGACAATCAAGGCTTCTGTTCTGTTCTGTTGTGTATTACGCTCTGCCTGCGCGGTCTTGAGCACTGTCAGCACACTTGGTACATCCTCCGGTGAGGTCATACTCCTAAATGTACTATAACGGGTTGTACCTGCCAAGTATGGGGTAACTTGCCCCTCAAAAGGTGACGGCCATCTAAGATGCATATCTCCCATTGTTCGTAGCCTTTTTACCACATCCAGAAAAGTAAAAGATTGGCGAACGTAAAAATTAATGGCTCATGAAAAAGTTGATTAAAATAGAAGAAAACGGCTTATGAAGCAACTATATTGGCTCAGTATCCGAGTTAAAAACGTTGATTCACAGTGTTTGTATCAGATCAGCCAGGAACATGGAGTATACGAGACGGCACGGAAAAGTACACCCTACGTGTCTGTTCTTACCTGCTGAACTGCCGCTGCTCTTGGCACCGATGCCGTCGCGGAACGATCGTATTGCGTTGTCTCTCTCCGTCCTTACAGCGAGCAGCTCTTTGTCCTGTTAGTAATCACCCCCATGGACAGAAGGCAAAACGCAATGTGATGAATGCTCCGAACAGTTTGTGGCAATGATAATACGAGCTCGTAAAGTAAAACATGTCTAAGAGAACAGATCAAGAGACCCCAAACTGTGGCGCCTATTCACAGGGTAAGGGTCGTATTACCCTTGCCGTTGACTTGTACTGACCCATTGGTCTTGGTCGTGTAGGCCCTCTGGGACAGGTGGTGAGCGTGACAGCTGGATGCTCCCGTTCACTCCTTTCACTTTTAGACAACAACAGTAGTATCACTGTATGAGTATTCGCAAGTTGAGATTCGAAGTTGTCAGACAGTTGAGCTATCCAAATGTCCCCCCCCCCCCCCCCCCCCTCACCCATGCCCAGGTTGCGCAGTGATCTATTCGAGACATTAGCATCACTGCTGCGTCTCGGTGCAGCCCCTGCTCAGCAGTTGTCACGTTTGTTCTAATCTCAGTAGCATTGTCTCTCACTACAATTTTTCGAGTTGGGTATGTGAACATAGTAAAAATAAAAATAAATAAAATTAGGCTTGTACAGACGCTGATAGATAGCTTCCAACACGTTTAACTGTAGTCCATAACCATGACGACCACGGCACAATGCAGTGAACGAAGAGTCGGAATACGCACCGCAACAATCAGGACTAGCCAGCAGATGATGCGTATTCCGACTCTTCGTTCACTGTATTGTGCCGTGGTCGTCATGGTTATGGACTACAGTTAAATAAAATTAGTAAATAAAAACTATAATCCATGTATGTGCTCCAAATTCATATTTCCTCTCTAGTGGCTACAGCTGTACAATGCGGACTACCTTCTCTGCCAGTTGGGTGCTGAGCGTGGAGATACGACCGTCCTTCTCACCAGCCGCCGATCTCAACACCGACCTCTCCTCCTGTTGGCCGACAACAAGAGCAGCGAAAACAGAACCACTAGTTTGATTGGTACCACAACACAACAAACTGTTCAGCTCAAACACTGCCCCTTTTGACAAATCTTCCCGACAGCTCTGGTGCAGTACTGCCGGGCGCCGAAGAACGGAGCGCCGAAGAACGACCAGGCTAGAATTTCACCGAGCACAGCATTCTAACGTATACACGGTGACTCAACTGCGCATTGACTGTAGCAGATGATAATAAGAACGGACTAGGCTAGGAGACAGACTCCCCCCCCCCCCCCCATCCCAGTTCTTGGGCGCTCGACAGCACTGTAGGGTAGTGTATCTGTAAGTTTGTGTGTATACATTCCCTTCTCTGCACTCATATCCACCAGCACTGCACTACTGTTAAGTGAGAAACTTTCGCTAGAGATTAAATTTCGCTATTTTGGCGACTATCACACATTCGCGAATATAAATCGCCGCAAACTGCTCCGCACATTGATTGTAGACAGTACAAGTTCCAATTGAAGAGATAAAATCGCAAACGATTCTCATCATGAACCAGCACACTTCATGCAAACGCAGAAATTTACGCGCCGTGAAAGTTTATCGCTTAACAGAACTCACCTCTGACAGGACCAGTTTCTTGCGTATGGACGCCAGATCCTGCTCGAGCGTTGCCATGGGAATGTTCTGCGTGGACGAGTGCGGAGTGCCGAGGGTGTTGAGCGAGGTCCGCAGCTGCTCCCTAGCCATCTCCGACGACACAAGCTGGCAGCAAGAAAAACACATAGAAGAGAGGTAGACTTTTCCGTTTTCCATTCTCTCAGCTAGTGAATGGATGAGGTGCACACCCTTTACAAAAACCGCTCAGCGCCAAAAACTCAAGACACAGGGACAAGCTGAAAAGCACTCAGCGAGCTGATTCAGATTCGGGATCAACCGAAAATTAAAAAAATGGATTTGATGAGTTTTGCAGTCCAGCTATTCATCTGCACAATAAGCAAAATAGGTAAAAAAAAGAAATAAATAAAAAGGTCATTGCAGAAACACTATTGTCACCTGAACTTATGGGCTCAAAAGATACGGCATTAAATGTAGTGAAATGTGCTCTAAGTGACCCGCCAATGGTTCACAGAGAGCTGGCCGGGTGAGGTGAGATGGCAAGCAAGTATTACGAGGTGAAGGAACTGCACTGCCACCGTTCCCATCTGTACGACAGCGGCCACTTCTAGCTTGAATGTAGAGTCATACAGTAAAACCTGTCAAGGTGACCACTCTGGTAAGGCGACAACCTGTCCTAGAAGACCACTGCAGCCAGGACAAAGGGATGCTATTTCCAGTCAAATTACCCTGGATAAGGAGATCATCTGGTAACTGAGACCACATTTTGAAGGTCCCTTGAGCGGTCGTCTTAGACAGTCTTCACTGTATATTACCTGATCGCGCAAGTCACGTGTTTGCAACTCCAGTCGACCCACGGCCTCACTGGATGTCTGTAAGGCAGAGAATAGATATACAATGCAAGTGACAACAGTGTTATAACGTTATACGAAAGTGAAGCAGGGTCGTAGCACCTGGTCTGGCAAATCAGGCTTTAACCTCCGGACCTTATTTCTTATTTCGAAAACGTTAACCCACCCCGGCTGTGCAAAACAGGTTTGTTCGCCAAATGGTGTTCATCTCCAGCCGAGTATCCTATTCAGCCGTGTCACCTGAAATCTCTGCACGACCACCCTGCCAAGGGTTATAGTTAAGGGGAACCTGATCCTTAGAGCATTAGGTACTGCAGTACAGTCGAGCGCCGAAGAACAACCAGGCTGGAATTTCACCATGCACAGCATCCAATGTATACACGGTGACTCAACTGCCCATAGACTATACTACATGAAAATAAGAACGATCTAGGCTAGGAGGCTGACCCCCCCCCCGCAGTTCTTCGGCGACCGACAGTACTGTATCCAAGATGACTGTGATAGAGTGACAAGTTTAAGGTGCAGAGTCACTTCATGGCCCCGTCAACATCTTTCACACTTCAAAATTCTTACCTCAGCCTCCTCCAACTCAGTTTGCAATCTGAAAAAAGCAGGAAAGAAGACGAGTAAAGGTGATTGGTAGATTTGCATGATCAGGCAGGTTATTATTTTTTTGTAAAAAAAAGTTAAGAAAAAATTACATTCGATTATGCTTGGTGTCACAAACATCACATAGCGACTAAGCCTCGGAGAGCAGAGAAGCGGGAACTGAACAGCTTGCAGACGCTTAGCCCCACCCCCCATTGCACTTCTGCATAGCCAACCGTAGTGCTTTGAGCAGGACAGTCCTGATTAGGACCAAACATTTGTATACATTTACATGGGAGACAATTGCCTTTGTATACATTTACATGGGAGACAATTGCCTTTGTATACATTATACTGTGGGTGTCCTGCTTTGGAATGGTGGCAAGGTTGGACAGACTGTATTTGTCTTCACCAGACCAAGCCTGGCATCCAATCCTGGATGGGATATATGCATCTTTCTCAGTAATCCTCTTTTTGAATGCGAAACTTACGCGTCTACTTTTCCTTGCAGCGCGAGGCACTCTTTCTCCCTCTCATGCACCTGGCTCTCCAGCGTCTGCATGAGCGCGTGCAGCGAGTCCATTTCCTCGGCGTGCTCCGAGCGCACTCGTTGACACGCCGACGCCACGGCGGTGTCGATATCCGCCTGCGACGCCTGTGTCACCTGCTGCTGATCGATGGTTGTGGATGATCCCGCTGTTGCCGCGGAAGGCTCCACCGGGTTGTCGGTTATGCGCGCCACGACGACCGTTGCCACGCGCTGTGTCTTCAGCGCCATGGTTACGTCCTCTTCCTTGGTGATGGGATGGTTGTTGACTTCGACGATGCTGCGGTGAGTGGGAGAAACACAACACAAGAATACACACGTACACACGATGATAATAATCGACTTTTTCATGTGTTTGCTGTACGGGCTACGTGTTGTGTACACGAGCGCTGTAAGACCATGACATGCTTGGGATCAGCAGTGCACAGTTCAACAGCCCACGGACAACCATGCCCAAGTGGCTGTGTGGAGTGTTTATGTGCAAATTCCGTCATTGGGAAATGGGTGTACATGTGTTGGGATAATTATGAATCTATGATTGATACTGTGTCATTTCTCACAACATTCAGGCAACATTTAAATGCAACATACGGTCAGTGAGGATCCTACCTGTCACCAACGCGCAGCATGCCGGATTTCTGCGCCGGCCCACCACTTTGCAGTGCAATGATAGCGACCTGTGTGACCTCGTCCGATGATGTGGGAGAGAGCAGCCAGCCGGGATCGCGAGATGAACGACAGTCAATGTCGGCCGTGATCAGCTGCATGTGTTGACTATCGCTGGCTTGCTGTGCTAGCTGAGCAAGATACACCGGTCTGTGTAGTTGGAATCATACACACAACGTGCACGCACACATGGTTTCGTAGAGTGGCTATGCATAACGACATCATTGTATCTACCGGTAGTATGTAGGTAGTGGCAACAGCAGTGCTGGTGGGACAGAACTAGGGATGTCCAGATTCTGTTTTCAATTTTTTTTGGCATTTTGGGGTAAATCTACCCCACTTTTGCATTTTCGAATTTTGCCTGTTTCTGCACGGTTTCGACCCAGAAAAGGGCGGTTTTCCTGGGGGTTTTCGCTCTACGTCACGAAGTGAGAAACTTCGCAAGAACTTTCGCAACTTTGGCCACGAAACTTGCAGGGAACGCGAAATGAAAATGTGCAGAACACAAAGTTCGTGCGAAAACTTTCGCTCTACGTCACGAAGTGAGAAACTTCGCACGAACTTTCGCAACTTTGGCCGCGAAACTTGCAGGGAACGCGAAATGAAGCTGTGTTGTCATGGTAACGAACGCATTTTTCCGCAGTTTGACTAAAAAAATTGAATTTCTTAGAAAATTTTAGAAAAGCATAAAAAAGACGATATGCATTTTGATAAGATTTGGCCGCATTTTGCATTTCAATTTTTCCACAAAAAACGCGCAGAATCGGGCCAACCCTAGACAGAACACACCTCATGATGATTTTAATGGTGATGTCACTCCATGCAAAGTATACCTAAGGATGATGTCATTGCATAATCTCTAGGCGAACCTCTACCAGGAAATCAGAATACTTCGGAGTAGACAAAGGAATCACAGACCCTGAGGATAGATGAAGAAAATTACCACGATTCTTGCAAATTTTGTGGATGAACACACGGCACGGTACAAGGCATTTTTGAAAATTAGAAATTGTTCATCGACTAGAAACACAGTGTTCTTACCTTGTCTCCACTTTTGGAGCCGAAGCATCACTTCTACGCCGGTCCTGTATGTTCACAGAAATACACCCATGTACACACGCACACATACATACACACATACACACACGTGCGCACACACACACCATGACACACACACACGCATGCACACACGTGTACACACGCACACACACACACACACACACACACACACACACACACACACACACACACACACACACACACACACACACAAACACACACACACACACACGCATGCACGCACACACACACACACATGCACGTGGTGTCGGATGCACATTTCCAGGGATACAAGAGAGCCGACATGCATTTACTTGAAGTATGCACGTCTGTTCACATGCCCCCATCCACATTTGGACTACACATGTAAGACACAAAATATACATGTTTCAGTTTTTCTGTATTAAATTTGCAAAAAATAGCCAAAAACCATCATAGTGCAAATGCCAGCAAGAGACATCAGGGAGGTATATAAAGATGGCGGCCGAAGCAGTGGAGGCAGTTGTACTTGCAACAACCCCAATCCTAACCCAAGGTACTTACCCTCACGGAGAGGCGGCGAGGTTGCCCTAATTCCTCCCGGAGCTGTGCAATCTCCTTCTCTTTGGCAAGTTTCTCGCTCGTCAGCTCGGCCAAGGTGTCCTCCATTTCGCGGTTTACTGGGTTGACGCCGCTTTCCCTGAACCGGACAGCGCGGGTAAAAGGGCAGACAATTCAGGCGCGTAGCTCGCACATCTCTGGTGTGGTGATCATGTACCAGAGTATATCTGTGGTGAGGTGACCATGTACCACCGGCAACATCATAGCTACCATTTCGCGTACGTTGACAATGCAGTACCTATGACAGCAATGTGCTGGTGTGGTCACCGCACTACACTGACTGCACTGACTGTATACGAGCTACACGCCTGGACCTGTACAAAAGTGTTCCAATCTCGATAATTGCCTGAATCCAGAGACCAAACATGTCTCAAAATAATCTTGTCTTTCACAGGCACAGGCAGGGCATGCACTAAGGATTAAAATATGCTCTGACACAATGTCCTGCCAGTTGCAAAAATGGCCGGACATGTCCGGACATGCAAATTTTCACATCAAATCACACAATGTGCAGTGTAGAATTAATACTATCGAAATGTTATCACGACGATGCATTTCAGAAGCAGCATGATCTTTGAAGGCTGACGTTTTCAGGTTCCTTGAGTCAACGACGAAGGAGTCAGAAAAATCCTTGCTGCTGCGAATTTTATCAACAAAACGGGAACACATCTTACACTTCAAATTTTCGACAACGCTACGATCTGAGGGACTGCGCTCATAGCTCAGCCAAACAGAAGTTGAAAGCTCCCTATCAAGTATCATACTCGGCGACCCACTTGTCACAAGTGGTCGTCTTGACTCCTCTGGGCTTCTTTCCAAGAGGAGCACCCGCATCAGCGGTGCTTGGCTTTCTCTTGCCAGACGACATCACTAATGACTATGAGACAAAGGATTGAAGTGCCTTTTCTTTTTTGTACTTTGCAAAAAGTGCGCGGACACTTTGTCCGGATATGTACAAAACATCCGGAAACTGACCGTAAACGGTCGGAAATTGTCCGATGTCCGACCGTTATTTCGCGCCCTGCACAGGTATTACCCAGAAGTTTATGATTGCCGTGCAGTAGGTCTACCGTGAAGCTTGCCTCTTGGACATAGGGGCCTAGCCCCGGGGTCCTGGCCCTGGGGTCCTAGTCCCGGGGTCCTAGCCCCGGGGTCCTAGCCCCGGGGTCCTTTGGAAAGGGGTGCCCAGCCACACTACAGTGAAACCTGGCCTAACCGGACACCCTTGGTACAGCGGAAACTGCCCTGATATGACAGGACCCCGCTTGATCCAGGGATGCACGTTCGACCCACATCACTTCACACTTTGGTGCATGAAACATTGTCCGGTCAAAACTGGTTTCCACCTGGTACAGAGTTCGCCAAACACAGGTTTTACTGGACGTAGATGCTGCAGCCCGGGCATCAGCTCACAACGTATTGGCACTGTTTTGGTGACAGGATTGGCAGAATATCCTGGTTGCAGGGCAGGGTATGAACCAGAATGCCTACAGCTACATCACTAGAGCATCCTACCAAGGGAGGACCATTGAACAATGGCTAATACACTGGGGATGCCGATGGTTGCACAAGAGAGCTATCATGGCAATGTGCATACTCACCTGGCTGCCTTGTTATCCACCGATAGAACCTCATTCTCTCTTCTCAGGTAGGTGATGGTGTTTTCCTGGTAGCAAGCAATACAACAGACACACAAGGAGAATGCGCAGATCAAGCATTGTAGAACCTGTCAAGGCGACCACTCTAATAAGGCAACCACCTGTCTCAGAGGACCACCACAACTATAGGATCAGGGGATGATACAGTAAAACCTGTGACTAAAGACCACCCCTTGGGGCTGGAGAAAGCGGTCTTTAGTGGCAGGTGGTCCTTAGTTAGAGGTTTGCACTGCACAACCGTATATGAATGTGAGACCGTCCGTGCCTGGCGAAGTGGTCCGTAGTACCAGGCTGATCGCCATTCACGGTGGTCTTTAGTTACAGATTTTACTGTATGTCCAGTCGAATGGCCCAAGATAAGGAGACAATTTGTACATGGTGACCACATCGTAAGGAGTCCGGTCTCATGATCCCTGGATTCGGGGACCAAGCGTGCACAATGACCACATGTCGGAGGTCCACTGTGTGCACATCTCACTTAGATTACCCTGTATAATTGAAACTGTGCTAGGTAAAATCCTGTTTTGTAGGATCCCTGTCTTGAAAGACCACCTGCGTAGAGAGACCACCTGTCCTGCCTTTAGAGACCAGCCATCCCAGGACATAAGAACATTATCCAGCATACAGTGGAACCCATTTTACCCAAACACACATCAGGCCCGGCGGAACCAATTCGGTTGGTCTGGTCGTGGCCAGATCAACTTTTGGCCACCAGCGTGTGTTTACTGCTGCGGAGGTCTTGCCTACCCGTCACACATACAATACACAAAGTATGAACGGCTAGGGTATAGCCGGACCAATCACAAACTGCTTCCGCCAGCCCTGCACATAGAGTACTGGCAACTGAAATCCGACCCCCTGAGCGGTGCGCTCACATCGCAAAGACCCAACACAGGATAGTAAAATTACGAAATAGAGACCGCTAGAATGTGAACGCATCGCTCAGGGGTTGGATTTCAGTTGCTAGCACTGTAGAACTACTTGAAGTAAACAAATCCAGGCACACCTGGTCACTGCTATGCCCCTGTGCAATGCTGGTGCTCATTGAGAAGCAAGCCATACGAGTACGTACCTTTGTGGAGAGTTGTTCTTCGAGCATCTCTTTCTGCTCCAGTAGTTTGTATAGTTGTGTGGTGCGCTCCAGTTGCTGAGACTCCATGCTGGAAATCTTCTCTTTCAAACCTAGATAGCCAGGTGAAATGTAAGCGCAACAACACAGCAATGCTTATATGAACTCTTTTAATGCACCCCGTGTGCGTGTTTGTTTGTTTCGGTGGGTGTTTGTCTGCGTGTGTGTGTGTTTGTCTGCGCATGTGCATGTGTGCATGCTCGGGCGTCTGTGTGTATGTTGGCTCGTACACTCAAGCACACACGCACTACTGTGTACATCAGGTTACCGTAAGTCCACAATTATTCGGCACATATTCATTTTCGGCTATTTTCGGCCGTGGTCACGTTTTGCCAAAAATTTGTTGCAGGCAAAATTTTATTTTGCCAGGTTCAGTGTGACAGTGTATACAGACGGCAGAAGTACAGGCCGAAAAGTTGATGCGGCCGAAATGGGTTTTAACCCTGGGAGGCCGAAATTTGAATGGGCCGAAAATGTGTAGACTCACAGTATCCTATAACAAGTGAACATGCGCTGCAGTGTCTGCAGTGCTGCTCACTGAAATCCAGTCGATGCACTCATGTACACGCCGGGCGTTGTGCAGCGCTAGACCTGCGAACACTGGGCTGCAAAATGGTGCAAGGCGCAAACTTGAGTGCCGCGACTGGATTTCATTGAGCAGGACTGTAGTTGTTGTGCAGATTCTAACCCTCTTCAAGGCATTCAACATTCTGCACTTGTAGAGCAATTCAAACCATTTGACCATTTGACGCCCATCGCCGGAGGCGCTGATAGCGATGCTACAGCTGAAGCCATGCCAACTTGTGCTGGGATTGCACCATTCAACAGCTTGCAAGGCTGAAGAATTGACCGCCACTATTCAGCCTGGTCTACACCACACAGCAATGTAGAGCAATGCAAACACAACCATCCAGAGAATAGGCTCCTTAATCCAAGGTGCTGGTACGGCAAGGCCCGAGAAACTATATTCAGAAAACGCAGCATGAATGCTATGAAAGGAGACGGAATATGAATTTTAGTACTCTTACCAACTACTTCTTTGGCTTTCTCACTGTCCACCACTGCCACCTACACACACACAAACACACACAAACACACACGCACGCACACACACACACACACACACACACATACACACAAAGACAGCAATCCGGTCATTCAATGCACAAACACGTTACAGGCTTGCAGTCTGGCACTGGGGAATGCAGTTGAAAGGTGAATGCCGTAGGATCAGAACACAGAACAGCTCCATGGAAATCTGCCCAAATGATACAGACTGAGCGCAATCAATTGCCAACACATTGTGCCCGGTGTAGAACAACCCTGCTCAATGAAATCCAGTCGCGTCACTCAAGTTTGCGCCTTGCATCATTTCGCAGCCCAGTGTTCAAAAGGTCTAGGGCTGCGCAATGCCCGGCGCGTACTCGAGTGACTCCGGCTGGATATCATTGAGTAGCAGCACTGTCCTATGTGAAAGAAGACCTTAGGGTCTGTTGGGAATGTCCAAGTAACATCAATGCCCAACACAGTAAACCATGGTGTAAGCGACCTCTGGGTTTAGCGACCACCTGCTCTTAACGGCCGTCTTTCCATGCACCGACGGTTCTACACAGACACTGTGGGACCTGGTTCTAAAGACCACCTGGATTTAACGACCGCTTCTGCTTGCACCGTGGAGTGGTCGTTAAACCAGGTTTATTGTACAATACAAAACTGTACATGTAGCAGAGGTGGAGGTGTAGGCTGACTGGCTCCTGATATGCCCAGGAACTAGGTAAATCTTCTCGATTTTTTTGTCAGACACGACAACCAAACCCACCTGCAGCAAAGCCGCCATGGCAACTAACACACACACACGCGCACGCGCGCAGGCACACACACAGACACACACACACACACATACACATACACACACACATACACACACACACACATACACATACATGCACACACACACACACACACACACACACACACACACACACACACACACACACACACACACATGCACACACACATGCACACACACACATGAACACACGCACGCACGCACACACACACATACACGCACATACACACACAAGCTCACACACACGCATACACACACACACACGGACGAGCAAACTAACCCTTTCTGCGTGCACCGTAGTTTCCTTCAGACGAGTGGCATAGATCTGTGGTGACCACACACACACACACACACACACACACACACACACACACACACACACACACACACACACACACACACACACACACACACACACACACACACACACACACACACACACACACACACAAACAATGGCGTTACTATGACAATCACATTGTATGACCGTGGGCGGCCGATGGCGTTACCATGACGCAATCACTGAGACGTTGCTATGGTACCAAACATGCTATTATCCACGCTCATTACCTGCAGTTGTCCTGTGATGTGGGATATTCTTTCTAGCGAGTCCTCGTCCAGATCAGGCAAATGCTGCAGCAAAGAGCACATTGAACGGTGCACACATGATAAGGACAAGTATGCAATGGGTTATTTTGCTCAGATCATCTAATTTTCATTTTTTTTTCATTTAGACTTTGTTTGAAGAATTCTCCAAAAAGTAAATGGATACTTATCGGGGAAGTTTCCTGGAAGGGTGGATGAGATGAAAGGGGAGTGAAAAGGGACAAGGGAAAACACTTATCTACACATGAAAGTTGTAACATACTACGACACATTCGCCAAAAACTGGCACCACGACCTTTTTGGTATTTTCGGACATGACAGTGGTATTGTACCGGTACCATGGCAACACTGAGCAGTACCATGGCAACACTGAGGAGCACACCCTGCATTGTGTAGCCCGTGAAACTTTCGCCCTTGCCATATTTGACACCCGAAAAGTAAAAAAGATAGGGAGTCCTTGCCCCCTGCCCTGTTGTTGGCTGTTGGAATGGGCGCTTCTCCAGCCTACAACCTGATACTGCCGCATCCACTCCCTATACATATCATTGTTACCTTTTCGGCAATCGGCGAGACTGACTGCTGCGTTTGAAGCCGTTTGATTTCCTCCTCCAGGATAGTACGTTCCCTCTCAGACTCCAGACGTTGTCTAACAGCCTGGCTCACTAGTCGGTTGTAAGCGTTCTCAAACTCCGGTGAAGTGATCGCGCTGTCTGTCTGGTGTTTGAAATCAGCATGGTGAGGTTGGTTGGTTCTGCGTTCGAGAGTGGCCAGACGTATGTTGTACACACACACACATGCACACACATACACACACACACACACACACACACACACAGACACACACACACACACACACAGACACACACACACACACACAGACACACAGACACACAGACACACACACACACACACACACACACACACACACACACACACACACACACACACACACACACACACACATGAATGACACACGCACACACACACACAGGCAAACCCAATACGTGCAGCAGTATTTCCTTCAAACTCTATAGGCGAAGTACCACTCCAAAACCGTGTATCAAGCAACAACACGTGAGTACCAATATTAAATAGAAGCGATACTTTCGACCTGCTACTTGTAAAAAATCATCACACACTGAGCCCTAGCTACGGTCAGCCTTGCGAATAACGACCCTCGATCGGGCATGAGAAAAGTGTCATTAGTCACGAACGAGAGAGCTTGGAAGCTCAGGGCCCTACGCTATGCTTTTTTGCCTTGATGACCTAGACAAAAAAAAAGCATAGGGATGTTTAATAAATTCTTTAAAAAATTCCTTTTTTTTAAGACATAACCTGGGATTCGAACCCGCACTATCGCACGCCCTGCATGCATCCCCCGATACACTTCGCATACATACTAATTCTTCCAAGTTGTTTCACATTGTGATCTTGCATTTGAAAGCCCTATTTGAATATGCATTGTGGCCAGCCGTCTTTGATGGCACGGTACGGTAGGGGATAGGTACGGGACAGGTACGATCGAGGGTAATACGACACCGTCTCCCGTACCGTACCGTACCATCAAACACAGCTGGCCACATACAGCTGCCCGCAATATTCAAATAGGGCTTTCAAACGCAAGATAATTATCCATATAAAAATCGCTCTGTGAGCGGTTCTGAAAAACCTTTACTGGTACTGCCCCGTCGTAAAAGTAAGAAATTAGAACTGGCCCATTGTCCCCCCAAATGCGAACTGATCCACCTAAATCGCGAATGACGGGACCCGAACGCACCAGTAGCACGAGGTCGGGAAGGCACAGGATCACGGCAATTATCATAGGGTAACACCAGTAGTAGCAGTAGAATTTATTATTTTGATAGGGAAGCCTACCGCTAGTACAGTACATGGCCTATGGTCCGGACCAACGTCCCCATCTGCATCCACAGGTAGGAACCTCGTGCTACTGGTGCGTTCGGGTCCCGTCATTCGCGATTTAGGTGGATCAGTTCGCATTTGGGGGGACAATGGGCCAGTTCTAATTTCTTACTTTTACGACGGGGCAGTACCAGTAAAGGTTTTTCAGAACCGCTCACAGAGCGATTTTTATATGGATAATTTCAGCTCTTTTTCCGTTCCCTCCCCACCCCAACCCCGAAGGTAAACATGATGACCACGCGCGCGATGTACTGTATGTAGCCATGCGACTGCAATAACACACTGGAACATACCAGCCCTCCCTGCCTCGCTACCCCGCACACAGATACACAAACATGTGTATGCACACGGCACACACACGTGGCCACGCACACAACACAAACAGGAAATTCTTCATGTATAATGCCATGCAAAGCAGTGGCTACCGTACTTGAGGAAGTCAGTTGTGAAACAAAAAGGTAGGTAAACATGATGACCACGCGCGCGATGTACTGTATGTAGCCATGCGACTGCAATAACACACTGGAACATACCAGCCCTCCCTGCCTCGCTACCCCGCACACAGATACACAAACATGTGTATGCACACGGCACACACACGTGGCCACGCACACAACACAAACAGGAAATTCTTCATGTATAATGCCATGCAAAGCAGTGGCTACCGTACTTGAGGAAGTCAGTTGTGAAACAAAAATAATTCAACTACAGCGTGTAGACAAGCTGACGGCCAAAGCACAACATAGCAAACATGACATTTGCCCAAGGATTGCAGTTTGCAGACCATGCCATGGAAGCAGCGAATACAGAATGTAATATCATACAAAGTGACAAGCAAGGACATGGCCATCATACACCAGAAACTTGCAGAAAGTCACATATCCAACAGATTGAGAAGTGAACAGCAATCTGATACAGCCCACACAGGACAAAGCGGACCTGATACTCGTCCCAGGATCGCAAGTGGCAACCCCTTTTCAATGCATAACATGCAGGTGTACGTTAGACGCATGAACATCTGACCGTGTCGCCAGCATACAATGTCATCACATGTTTACCCCACAAGTTACACACATGCACAGTAGAAGCACAATGAAAGCAATGGAAAAGTACGATGTGGTTGCTGAAGCATCTTCACACTTCAAATTCAGACTTCAATGTGGACGTCACGGGATGAATACCTGCAAGATACAAGTGATGAAGAAAGAAAGCAGAAGTTCGTGAGGTAGGCTATGAGACACCACAAACGGTTCACCTACATGTCTGTTCAGGGCTAGTGCACTCACACGGAGAATTGTCATAATCGAGCATTTCCCAAACTGAGAAGTGCAATGAAATCCACTTGCATGCACAGGAGCAATTTTGCAATATTATGATGCGCAATTCGACACGATCTGCGATGCTGCGTGCGATGTGCCCTGCTGTCATGATAGTGACAGTCACCGCGGTATGTTTTGTCAACGTCGCCCGTGCACTCTTCTGTCAAATCCAAAGTGCTCACATACTTGGCAATGTTTTTGCAGTGATTAACTTTTATCCTAGTTATGTCACGGGTAACTTTAATGAAGTACCCGCAGGCCGTGTCGATCTGCACATCGTCCACTCTCTCATGTACTTGGCCTGCTTTGTCTGTGTATCCATTTCATGTGCGATCCACAAAATCGACTAGACAGTGGGTGCAATACGCTCTCTACCTGAAGACGTTCTTCTGGCGACATCTCGCCATGTACTTGGCCTGGCTTTGTCTGTGTATCCATTTCATGTTCGATCAACAAAATCTCAATGCACCACAGAGACTAGACAGTGGGTGCAATACGCTCTCTATCTGAAGACGTGAACCATTAAATTATTTGGAAAAGTTATACGTACACCTGAAACGTAATGAAGTACAGGAATAGAGAGAGTGACTACAATACGCTGTCGACCTGATATAGTGATAACGTGAGTACAAGACACTCTCCACCTGATAACGTGGTAGAAGGTAACATGTCTACAGTCCCACCGTACCCTTCCGACACGACTGTAGACCATTAAATTTTTTTGAGAAGTTATACGTACACCTTGAACGTAATGAAGTACAGGAATAGAGAGAGTGACTACAATACGCTCTCGACCTGATAACGTGAGTACAAGACACTCTCCACCTGATAACGTGTTAGTAGAAGGTAACAGGTATACAGTCCCACCGTACCCTTCATCATTCCTCATTCACCATCGCGCGATACCCTGGCACACACTGGCAACATATCAATGGGGTGCGCCTTACCGTCGTCTAGAGGAGACGTCTTCGCAGCAATATTTTCCCTCCTGCGCATTCAGTCGCCGACGCGACAGCGTTCACGGGGCCGTTCCAGTTGCGGAAGACATTCGATTCATCGGGCCAATTCAGCAACAGGGCCGTGGACACACAGGGGGCAGAGGAGAGACATTGTTAGTGAACAAGAAATATGCAGTGGCAAGTGGCGAGTGCCGCATGGATGTCAAGTTGTCATGCACAATTCAGCTATTACTTACGGTCCAGCTAGTCCTGCCATTGCTCGCTCGTCCTGGTTCCTCCTCGTTCGTCTTCCTGCACGTCTGCACTTCTCCTTCCCCACCGTTGGCTTTGCGGCACGGGGGTGGCGGAAGGAATTCCCACCATGTATCCATGTACATGAAGTCCCACCATGACTCTCCATGTACATGTCCACGGCCACGTCAGCAGTTTGTATAGTACCGGAAGGAGTTCCCACGATGTCTCCAAAGGCCTAGAGCGGACGTCTTTGCAGCAATTCTTTTCGCCCTGCGCATTCAGTTCGCCGACGATGTCTCCAAAGGCAAAGGCCTACAATTGTAGAGCCTAGTAGAGGGGACGTCTTTGCAGCAATTCTTTTCACCCTAGTACCCTGCACATTCACTCCGCCGATACGACAGCGTTTACGGGGCCGTTCCAGGTGCAAAAGGTCCACGTCAGCAGTTCTCAACTATTTCGCGTACGGGATAGTCGCCGCCACAGCGTTTAAGGGGTCGTTCCAGGTGCAAAAGGTATCCATCAATGGCACTTTGCAGTATGGGGTACGGAAAAGGGGCCTCCTCGTTCGACTTCGTCGACTTCTGCAGTTCTCCTTCCCGTCAGGGGTACCGAAAGGGGCCTCCTCGCAGTTGTCCTTGCCGTCAGGTCCACGTCATGCAATTCTCAACTATTTCGCGTACGGGATAGTCGTCTTTGTCGTACGCGACATCGGCGTTTACCGAGTGGCATTGGCACAAAGCAGACCGTTGACGGGGTCACGTGTCAAAAAAGTATCAACAACGTGTCGACTAAGTGTCGACCACGTGTATAGCGGTACACTCAGCGGTACACTAATTCTCGTGCCATTCTCGTGTCACAAAACTGGAACATCGAGTACCAGTATGGAAAGGCTTCAGACAGGAAGCCTTTCCAATAACGTAAAGCAACTTGGAAGAATGGGTATGAATGCGAAGTGTATGGGGGAATGCATGTAGGGCGATAGTGCGGGTTCGAATCCCAGGATATGCCTGAAAAAAATAGGAGAATTGAAAAATTTATAACATCCTATGCTTTTTTGCCGTCAGATACGGATAGCGCCAGGCGTGACACAAACAAACACACAAACAAACACCAAATTAAAGCTGTGTGGACCCTGGCTAGCGCCAGACGTTACTGAAGTAACGTCTTCTGCATAGCTACGGGAATAATCGTTATTCCTTAGGCTGAAAGTGTGCAGTCAAATGGTCACTAGGTCTGGAAAGATTGTGCCGTTATTCATGAGTTGTTGGTTTGGACAGGAGGCTGCACTCTTGAACATTATCCTTTCATGTTGTCACATGTTGCACGTTGATACTATTAGTGTATTGTAGTTACGAATTGTGTACAGAACTGTCACATGCTGCAAGGGCAGTATTGTCAAGACATGCTAGGTCGCTTGCAATATTGGTGCGGTGCGTATTACTGCTATGCATTTCGCGAGTGTAATAATTATTTTGTTAGTCTGTTAGAATTACATCACGAGTGCATGTCTGTTACGTCTACGTCGAGACGCATTTTACGACACAGTAATTGCTATGCGTGTTCGTACCACGCCATGTTCACGAGCGGAATATCTTGTGAATTGTTCTAATGTATTATATAAGTAGAATTGTTGACACACTAATTGGTTGCAATGTACATGTACTTACTAGTACTTGATCCGTTGCATTATCGCCATCCGCGGCAACTCCGCTACGGTCTACAGTCAACTTCGCTAATACCGACTGCGGATATAACGACAATTCGCGAATAACGACCGAATTTCCATGCCCAGAGCAAAGTCCCATCTAACTGTATACATTTTACTTCGGATATAACGACTATCTGAATAACGACAATTCGCGTATAGCGACATGCTTTTAGTGCCCCGAGGTCATATTCACTGCTTGAATAACGACTTTCTGGGCTTTTGACAGCTATTTCAAGTACCTGTCAGTCAAGTACATGTACCTGTCATGCAGAAGTACCAGAACCTATGGTGATGGATATAATAATTATTAATAAAGGCACACATGCAAGAGAATGCAGCCAAGGGGGCGGGGGGGGGGGCTTTTTCTTCCTTTTATAATTATGTTGGCTTCAAAATTGTTGGATTTACCAGCACACCTATATGTATACAATGTACATGTAGTTGTACATGATTGTACAGTAATCATCATACATGTACATCATCATACATGTACATGTCTCTGGCCCTGTAGATGGCTCAAAAAGGCATATTTTTCAATTGATTTCCCTTGCATATTGAATTTTTAGTTCCTTTCAACTGCAATATGAAAATAAAGTACACATTGACATAGAGCAAGAAAAGAGCTTGATTTTGATATGCATGTCATACTATACAAAATATGGGTTCACATACATTCAAATGGGACTTCGGTTATAAGGACACTTCGCGAATAAGGACACTTTTCTGATGCCCCGCCGAATGTCGTTATTGGCGAAGTTGACTGTACTTGGCGAAACTTACTCTCGCTGACAGGGTGTGCTGTCACCCTGTCGCTGGGTGCAAGCACCCCTTGACAGACACTGTTTTCACCTCCGTAACCAACAATTCTTTATTCTTTCACTCCAGCACATTGCATGCAAATCATTATTAGTTTCTGCTTGTTCTGCATTTCAAATTATTGCTTTTCTTTTCGTTGCATGCACTCGTACGATCGTACTCGTCCGCGCTGCACGCGGACTTTGGCAGTCGCCATATTTAGTATCTCTATGGCTACGATGATCATGCATTTTCTGTACGCTGCATTTTCTCTCTATGCCACGTCGTTGTGTGCATGCATGCAGCGCAAGCCAAATGCACGCACGCTGCACGTTTTGCCCAGGACAGCGATTTGGCGATCGTTGTTCGGTGTGTTCTTTGGTGTTCTTGTTGGAAACGAGTGGTAATGTCGATTAAAGGAGTTTCTGGGTTTTTGTGGTCTGCCTGACGATGGTTAGTTGCGGGACCAAGTCGCACCGCAACATGGTTAATACCCGAGGTCGTTACTGACGAAAATTGTCTGTAATTGCTGGTGTGAATTCCACCTCAAACTTACCGTGAGAAAGACGGTCTGGCACGCAGCCACAGCGTACTCTTGTGTCCGCAGGCAACGGAGCGTAACAACGGGTACTCGCCGTCAGCGACTAGACCTTCGCCTGCGCACAACGGAGCAGAACAGCAAACGGAAAAATATATGATCCATGCTCTCTTGAGGGGCGTTGGACACGCTACGGTCACTATGGTATTGACCGCAGCACTCTTTACCCCAAGTAGCCCGTGAATCAATCAAAAGCACTGATTTGGGCTCGAAATTTCAAAAAATTGTCATCAGAGCCACCCCCTCCCAACAAGTGAATTGTACCTCAGACGGCTGAACGTACCACCCATAAGATTACCTTCCGACGCCCTTGCGAGCCTTCAATGCAAGTGAACGCACATGACGTATTTGCCGTGGACCTCAGATTTCCTCAACACACATTCAACTTGTGCAAAATGCGACCTAATTTTCAACCATGCCATGCAACACAGTGTACAAAATGCATTTTTGGACCTGGAAACCTGGTTTACCGAAATTTTCGCACTACCGAACCGTTGGTTTGGGGAAAGAGAGAGGTTAAGTTACACGTTCTTTGCCTTTTTCAAAGCATGGTGAAAACCTCGTGTTACGTGTAAAATTTAGAGGTTAAGTTGCACGTGCGGCGTGAAGTGAAATATTGCCCTGGCAACCCGAATGGGTTTAGTTCAAACAGCAGAATTTTATCAACACACAAATATCAAATCTTCCAACAAACTCTATAAAACTACGGATACTCACACAAAACCGATCGGGATGACCAAACGAAACTTCCATAAACCCACGTCATGTAACTACGTGCGCTACAGTCAACTCACGTAAAACACGTCAAATTTTGCGTGAGTTGTTTTAATTTTTGACGCAAAAGTTCACGGACGTAACAATTTTACGTGAAACCGAACCCCTCTAGTACCAAACATATTACACCACCAAAAATTCATGGGTTTACAGTTGGCAGGACAACTGCTCTTCTACGCAAGGTGGAATGTTCACTAAAGAAATGTTGTCTATATACCTTTGGTTGGGCTGTTCTCTGCCAGACAGTAGGACACCGCATCTCGGTCGTTCATGCCCAGCTTGCGAAGCAGCAGCTTGACGACTTGGTGGGTTGACGTGTACGGTGATATCTGTACGATGAGGTCCGACTTAGCCACACCGCGTACTCCCATGCATACCTGTACGGGAACACACAACAGTGAAAATTCAATATTTGAACTCGGGTCATGAGCGAGAAGAAATTTGGAGGCATCTTCCACCTTCCTCTGTAGTTAGTAGTTGAGCGGACACACCGGGGCATAGCATTGTACTGGTAGGGACCACAGTAGGTACTTGTACCAGCGGGGTCGACCCAGCTTAGCAGACAGGCAATACCGGACTCATCATGTGATATAATTATAGTGTCAGATACGTGGCAGGGCACTGTGTGCACCCTCCCTCCCCCCCCCCCTCCCCTCCCCTCCGGTCCCCTTCTCCTTCCTCCACCCCTCCCGCCCCCACTATACCAAATAACTAACGTACAGAGAAGACTGGCCACGTAACAAAGCCCACCTTAATGGTTCCGACCGGCTGTCCACGTAGACCGAAGTGAAACTCGTTATCGTTGTGCCAGAGTGATTGCAGAAGCAGCGGGCACTCGAAACTTGCCACGTCTCTGTCAGGAACTGAAGAACATCGGAGAGGGTGAGAGAGAAAGAGAGTTGCAAACGGAAAAAGGGAGAAAGCTCTGTTATATAGCCCACATAAGCCCATTAAAAGTTTACTTTCAAGGCCAATGTTAAGATGATCCTTACCCTGAGAGATTCCTAGGCTCACTGTTTTCTTCACTCCACTTATCCAGGTTATCCAAAATAGGGTCTTGTTCTTAAATCTCTTCTCACTTTCCATCGTCATCATAACATTGTGTCGAGAACGGTAGGGGAAGACAGACTCATCAGACTCATTCTCATACCACAGTTTCCTTTCTAAAAACTTCACCTTCAACCATAATCAAAACTTGCCAACCACCCCCGTATGTGTGTGCGTGCGTGCGTGCATCATGCAAGCGCGGATCATGCGGAATGCAATGATGCAACTACAAGAAAACAAATCTCGGCAGCTAGCAACGAGTGCATTCAGAGAAGAAGCAAACAAGTTCAGATTTAAGTAGTTTGTGATGAGCAGCAGAGACAAACATGCAGGAGAGTATAATTATATGATGAGATGGAGGCGACATTGGGAATACTCGGATTCACAATGTACGCGTGCCATCAGCTGGGTAATCAGAGTCGTCGTTGGACATCGTAAGTAGTCTTCATGATGTGGTGACATTCATGACATTCCCGACAACGAAAGTTATCTTACCCACTCTGCGATACGCTCACGGGCCTTCTCTGCTGCTTTGCGATTTGCCCGCCTAGGCTGGAACATGGTTGGAGCAGCTTCGTCCGCCATTGCCTGTTCCATAGCCGTCGCCGGTGCCGGGCGGTGTTCCATATCACCAGCCTCCACTGCTCCGACGTCATCCACAACGTGCAGCTCGAGCGGATAGAGCTTGCTGATCGGTCTCGACAACACTGCCTTCGATTTAGCCGTCTTCAGCTTGACAGCTCTGACTTGGCCATCGACTCCAGGTAAGATTTCTACCACTCTGCCGAGTCTCCAACTTCCACGTGGCTGGCCGGTCTCTTGGATTACGACCACTTCTCCGACTGTTGGTGTCCGAGAGACGCTACTCCGTGACTGTCGGTGTTGACTCATTGATGCTTCGCGCAGAGCAGGGAGGTACTCATCTTCCCACACCTTCCATGCTACATCCAGTTGTATCTGTTGCCGTTTCCACATCCTCGTGACCTTGGCTGCTGGTGTCTCCGGACCGTCCTCCTCGTCGCTGTCCGTCTGAAAACCGGTTGCCGTTCTTCCTCCACAGAGGAAATGTGACGGTGTCAGGGGTGAGAATGAGGACACATCGTCGTCGTCAACATATGTGAGCGGCCTCGTATTGATCATGCCTTCCACTTCGGCTGTCAGGGTTGCGAGCTGGTCTAGAGTCAGGAGGCACCTTCCAAGACTCTTCCTCAAGGCTCTCTTGACAATGCTCACCAGCCTCTCGTACACACCGCCCTTCCATGGCGCAAACTCTGTTGTGAAGCTCCATTCGATATTCTCCGTTGAGAGATACGATAGCAGGTCTGGGTTGGCAAGAATCAGCTTCAGATGATCGTCCAGGACAGAGCGTACCAACTTGAACTGGGGTGCGTTGTCACACACAATAGACTTTGGCTTGCCTCGTCTCGCTGCGAACCGTCTCATGCTGTTCAAGAAGGCTGCTGCAGATAGGCCAGAGACTATGTCCAGGTGTACAGCTCGTGTGGTTAGGCAGGTTACTAGGTTGATCCATACCTTGCCTTTCTCCGTGCCGGTGCGGATCAATAGCGGTCCGAGGTAGTCAAGACCAACGTACGTGAATGGAAGTGCTCTGGTAATCCGTTCCTTGGGCCATGGGGGTATGGACGGCAACTTGAACGGACGCCCTTCGTGTCTTCGGCAAACCGAGCACTGATCCAGGATACGGCGAACGATAGCACGGCCACGTATGATCCAGAACTCTTGCCTTGTCTGGGCCAGGGTGTGTCGAACACCTGCATGCAGAAGCCGTCCATGGACTTCGCTGATGACATGCTTCGTGAACGCGTGATACGTTGGTAGCAGCTTCGGTAGTTTCTGGTCAGTTGGTAGTTCAGCGTTGCTCAGTCTTCCGGCGCATCGCAGTATGCTGTCGTCGTCGATCACAACACCAAGGTTAGCAACTGAACTGTGCTTGGCATTGGTCTTGATAGCTTTGAAGATGTCAGGGAAGGCCTCGCGTTGTACCATTCGAGTCCACCAATCTCGCGCAGCCTGTATGTCTTGTGACACGATGTCGTAGCTGTTGCTGATCTGAGAGAGACGTGGTGAGTTGGGACGCAGTTTCTTCAGGAACTTCATGCACAGAGCAGTGATTCTCAGGACCTTCCTCAAACTGCTTGCTCTCGTAAGCACGCTGCCGAGACCAGATGGAATGGTGTGTGGACTAGGTTGGTCAGTAGCACGATCCTGCCACCAGTCACCAGGCTTGCGGTATGAAGCGTTGGTGCTTGCTCCTCCTTGCTGGCTAGGTCGGATTCGTCAGCTGAGAGTGTGAGGTCCTCGTCTGGCCAGTGATCTGATGTGGTACGTAACCAGTCCGGACCGTGCCACCATGACTCCTGAAGATCGGCCACCAAACCGCCTCGGCTAGCGACATCAGCAGGGTTGCACTCTCCAGGAACATGGCGGAAGGACAAGAACTCGCCGCAAGTACGAATCTCTGACACACGGTTGGCCACGAATACGGACAGTGGCTTGGATGATTTGATCCAATGCAGAACACAACGCGCGTCCGTCCATAGGGTGATGCTGGTAAGTGGGAGATCGAGTTCATCTTTGCAGAATCGGGCTGCCCGTGAACCAATCGTCACGCCAAGTAGTTCCAGCCGTGGCAGGGTGAGACCGTTAGGCTTGCCGTCCTTGGACTTCAGCGGTGCAAGACGTGTCTTGCCGAAGAGGAGCTCACAGGTTGTCATCATGGCTATGGTTGTGCGGAGGTAGACCACAGTTGCAAAGCCCAGTTGTGACGCATCGGTGAAGACGTGTAGCTGGTAGGTAGCATCGGTTCCATTAGCAATTGGGTTGATTTGCCTGGGGAACGATAACGAGCTGACCTCGCTCGAGGCTGCATGGAGGGTCAGCCAGGTGTCCAGTAGGTGTCCAGTCAAGACAGTGTCCCAGTCCATACCAGCTTGCCACAGAGAGCGTAAGAAGACCTTGATACGAAATGTGACCGGAGCAACCAGTCCCAATGGATCGTACAATGATGCAGCATACTTCAGGACAGCGCGCTTAGTCCAAACCGGGTCGGTGCTGGGTTGGGTTCGAGGACAAGCGAGCTGTAGACTGTCATCCTTGGTGTGCCACGTGATTCCAAGAACGTTGACACTGTCGCCCTGTGCCCTTTCCTTGGCATCCATAGCTGTCGTAGCGTGGCTGTTGTTAGATGCCCACTCACGTAGCCGCATGGACGAGCGAGAGAATACGGATGTAGTTCGGTTGCACATATCGTACCCTTCTTCCGGGGTGTCGACACCGATGAATACGTTATCCACGTAGATATTGCGGGACACCAAGCGACCGACATCCGCATCTTCATCATTTGCTAGATGGTGTTGGATTGTTGCCGCTAGCAGAAATGGACTGCTCACGACGCCGAACGGTACTCTCCGAAACCGATAGACCGCGATGTTGTCCGGAGTTGCTGTGGGATTAGTTGGATCGCGATACCATAGGAAGCGTGTCACGTCCCGGTCTGGCGGCCAGATGTCAAGTTGCAAGAATGCCTTCTCGATATCGGCTACCAGCAGAATGGGTGTGATGCGGAGTCGCATAAGAACTCCGGCAAGGTTGGGGAGCAACACGGGTCCACGTAGCAGACAGTTGTTCAAGCTCTTGTTGTGACGCCGTGCCTTGGCCGAGGCATCATAAACGACACGCAACTTGGTCGTCGTCTTCGTTGGAGTTAGAACTGGCTGGTGGGGTAGATAATGGAGTTGCGGACCAGTGACAGAATCCGGTGTCATCTGCTCAATGATGCCCATGTCGGCTTGCTGCTGGATCACCTTGTCATACTGCTCAAGTAGTGACGAGTCGGTGCTTAGCCGCCGCGATAGAGTCCGGAACCGGCCCAACGTCAATCCGTAGTTGTCCGGGAGAAACTGCTGCTGGCCGTTCCATGGCCAGCGAACGATGTAGCGATTATCGGTGCACTCCACTGTTGAGTGGAAATGTTGCAAGGCTACGTCATCGTCTTTCACGGGAGACGGGTGCTCTATCCCAAGCGTTTCGAGGCTCCACAAATCCGGAATGGACTGCTTAAGAGGCAGAACCTCCTCGTGTGAAACGTCGGCTGCGGCTGCGATCAGAGTGGTTGCCGGTAGGGCAGTGGTGGGAGAGGTGTCCGTCTTGCCGGTGACCACGTAGCCGAGGGAGGTTGGCAGAAGGTTGAGGCCTGATGGTAGAGGTTGCACATGGCCCTGCACGAAGTCCCACAGATAATCAGACCCAATGAGTATGTCGATCTTTAGCCGTTCATCTTCGGCGTTAATCGCATCAGCTAACTGGTTGTCGTGTTGCAGTTGCTGCAAGGTCGTGATGTCGGGGTGTGCAACCGCAGGACGGAGAACCGGGTTTGTGATGTGCGGTAAGACGCTGCCTTCGATGGCCTTCGTTGTACCATCCTTGAGATGAATGAACAGGTCGGAGATCGGTACCTGTGCTGTGTGGTGTTTGGTGGCACCAAAGGTTGACACGGACAGCCATTCATGGCGAGTATGGCGCAGGGAGAGCTGCCTTGCCAAAGCCTCCGTGAAGTACGTGCGATGGCTGCCTGAATCAAGAAGAACGCGAGCGGTGGTGATTGTACCATTGTTGCCTTGCACATTCGTTGTGGCGGTTTGGAGTGTGACAGTTGATCCTGTTGCTTGCAGGAGACACGATGACTGGTCCGAAGCAACTGTCTGGTCCGAAGCAACTGCCTGACCTGGAACCTGAGTGGGTGTGCACGTAGCGGTTGTAGTGTCAGAAGTTGCCACCGCTGCCGTGGAAGATGAACCGTCAGCTCGTCGGGTGGAATGCGAACCTACACCAGATGGCTGGCGACTCTGCGAGCAGATGGTATGGTGATGGTGACTTGGGCGCTTGCACATCCGGCAGGTCTGTGTTTGCCGTCGGTAACATTCCTGGCTGCGGTGACCGGAACCCAAGCAAATAAAGCAACGACGTAGCTCCATTAATCGTTGTTTCCTGGCAGCAGAAGATGTGTAGCGTGAGCAATCGTTGTCCATATGTTGGCCATCGCAGAATATGCAACCACGACGGGAACGTTGTGGTCGTCCTTGGGTATCAGGGTGAGCTGCCAGTGCATCCGCTGTGCTAAAGAGTTGCTTTGGCTGCACTCCAACAGCGTCAGGTTTGTTCGGAGGGCCTTGGCCAGTCCGCTGGCGGAGTTGCTCTTGTAGAGTTGTGTACTTGGCCATATACTCTCGTAGAGTGGTTAGTTTCCAGGGCTGGCCGGCGTTGCTGATACCACGCCACTCCTCAAACTTGGTGGCAACCTCGAGTGGAACCTTGCCCCACAGCTTTTGGCACAGGAGACGTTGATCTGCCAACTTCTCTCCCTGTGTTTCCAGCTGTCGAAGGAGACACTCCACAGTTTCGAAACTTCGATGGATCTCCATGGGCCTGTTGGGTGGTGCCGGTAGTGCTTCCAAACGGCTGTACAGGGATGCAATGATGATCTCCGCTGAACCATACTTCGTCTTCAACAGATCCTTGACGGTGGTATAGTTTGCACTTGTCAATGAGATGCCCGCTATGGCCTTCGCCGCATCGCCGGAAAGGCAAGATTTCAGGTATGAGAACTTGCTGACATCCGCAATGGGCTGGTTGTCGATGGAAGACTGGAATCGCTCCCAAAACTCTGGCCACTCAATCACCTTGCCAGAAAAGGACGGTAGAGTCAGCTTTGGCAGCTGGACGTTGAGGCGTGATGGCTGTGGGGCAGTACTGAGGCCAGCTGCCGCGGTTGCAGCGTGGGCTGCCGCTAATGCCATGGCCTGTATCATGTCCGGGGAATTGGTTGGTGTCGGGACAGTTGGCTGGGCCTGTGTTGTATCCGTATGCTGAGCCTGAGCCACAGGGTTCTGAGTAGTAGCACTGATGTCCGTGCCTGTGGACATTGTGCTACACCTTGCCTCCACACCCGTGCTAGGGCTGTCCAGTCTGCCTGCAGCAGATTCCGTGTCGCCCGTGCCTGTTGCCGGCAATTCCTTTGATTCCAGCAGTTCGCCCGTGGGCCTGTCCGTCCCATCACTGTCCACGACCACTACCTCCTGTGTTGTATCGTGCCGGGTGGCCTTCTGGGGTGTTGCTGCCTCTGCAGCAAGCTCCGTCACCACTGGTGAATGTGTCCCTACCCCTCTATAGTCGAGTAGTGCACGTGCGTCCGACACACTTGTGCATTCGTGGTCAAAGCCATCATCCCAGGCTTCCAAATCAATTAGTGCGTCTTCCACACGCTCGTCTGCCTCGCAGTTCTCCAGCAGGGTACCAATCTGCTCGGACAGGTCGTTCACTGTGTCAATCAAGGGTAGGATTTTCTCAACATCACTCTGAAGTGACAACAGACTAACGAATTTCTCCTCCGTTTTACGGAGTTCATGTTCGATCCTCCTCCTTACTCGCGTCACCCTTCCCTTGGCCCTGCCTCGCTTCTTGACTAGGTCGTTGTAAACCACTTGGTCCAGGACGTGAGATGTGCTTTGCTTCTCAGTCGTCTGATCCAAGGACTCCTCTCCATCGTTCGTTGTTGTCTGTTCAACCTCTCCGTCCATCGTAAAAAAACGAAAGTTGTTGGACGCGTTGGTTCCAAATCCTGGTCTCTACAGCACCATGTCGAGAACGGTAGGGGAAGACAGACTCATCAGACTCATTCTCATACCACAGTTTCCTTTCTAAAAACTTCACCTTCAACCATAATCAAAACTTGCCAACCACCCCCGTATGTGTGTGCGTGCGTGCGTGCATCATGCAAGCGCGGATCATGCGGAATGCAATGATGCAACTACAAGAAAACAAATCTCGGCAGCTAGCAACGAGTGCATTCAGAGAAGAAGCAAACAAGTTCAGATTTAAGTAGTTTGTGATGAGCAGCAGAGACAAACATGCAGGAGAGTATAATTATATGATGAGATGGAGGCGACATTGGGAATACTCGGATTCACAATGTACGCGTGCCATCAGCTGGGTAATCAGAGTCGTCGTTGGACATCGTAAGTAGTCTTCATGATGTGGTGACATTCATGACACATTGGGCATGATTGCCCATTTGACTTGCGATGTAAAATAAAAACAAATACAAAAATACCACATATAAACAAAGAAACGAGTTGGTAAGATGGCCGTCAACACATGCCGGACAATACATGCTCTATCTAGCTGCACTCCCCACCCCCCCCCCCCCCCCCCCTAAATTTTCGACCTATATATCGGTTCAGCATGCACGCAATGGCCATGAATGACATGCACCAGCCATGCTATACATATGCGGCCGTGCACTCCCTAAACGGGGGACCGGCTTCGCCCCATATCCTTACCTCCTGGTCTTAGCGAGGTCTCGACAAGACGATACCGCTGTGGGTCTTCAGCTATGCTCATCCTCTCCAGGACCATCTCAATCAGCTGGAACGCCGTTGTGGTAGAGCTGATGTGGAATGCTGCAAGAAGACAAACAGGGAAAACGACAACATTTCATCTCCTACGCACCTGGTAACACATGTAAAGAAGGACCAGCAGAAGCAGTTATTAATTGGTCCGGCCATACCCTAGCCTTTCATACTTTGTGAATGATATGGAGGGTATACACATGACCTCCTCAACAATAAACACACGTTGGTGCCTAAACAGTCGGCCCGGCCATGGCCTGGTCAACCGCAGTGGTTCCGCCGGGCCTGTCAAGTTATCACAACGATTGCGAGTCCATTGTTGGTTCACTTAACCCTTTGGAACTGCACTGATCACACGACGTCAGGAGATAGCTGCAATTGCAAGTATATTCGTTCCAATTTCCATCATAACGCTGGTTCTACTTCACCGATTTTGACGATCTTGGGCTCGTTGGAAAGCTCTTGGAACGAGGATAACAGCGAGCCCAAACTCATTCAGGAGAGCGATTGCTGTCTGCTACTGAATGCCAGGAACGCCAGGTGAATACCAAATCCAAAACGGGAATAGTCCTTGTCTCGCCATTTCACTCGTGCTAGCTCAAAATCATTCAAATTTTTTCTAACAGACTCACAAAAGCCGTGACAAAAAGCGCTGGGAGTGATGTCACACGCTGGGTGGCCAGGAAGAGGGAAAATCCCACTTTTGAACAAAATTTGCACTTCGCTGACGCATGAGAAATCGAGCGAACGTTCGAGCACTTGCCGCTCTGTTATACTAGCTTGTATCGACCCCGGAGTTTTTCGAGCCGACAGCTTAGATTCTCTGCTACCTCGTAGGTATTTCGATTGTTGAATTCGGTTGAGATTTGACTGAGTTGTGACTCGTTGAGTGCACTTGCACACATGACATTGGCATCGTTCGAATTCGAACGATGAGCTCCAAAGGGTTAAGCAGGCGAGAGCCTTCGGATATGTTCATGTGTGTTCTGTTTTATTCTGTTATCTTTGTTTTACTTCACCATTGGGACAGGCATTGCTGCCTTCTTGCTGTGGATCTTGAATGATACCAGCTAAGCCATAGTTTTGTTTACAACATAGCACTCTATGTACACCCCCAGCCATTCCAGCCTACCCAGCTGGTCAGATATTGTTTGCATCACAAGTACTCTGTCAACCAGCTTCGTTTCAAAGCCGCAATTATGACGGCGCATGAAAAGCTGCCAATCAACTATGGATACCCATAGTGTGGTGGAGTTCCTGCAGATGCGTGACAATCGGTCTAACTGAGTCTGAGGTGAGACAATAATTTTTTTCTATGGATATCCATAGCAATGGTAGCAACTCAACCTTCTCTGATGAGGTCAATATGACCAAAACAGCTGTCAGACGGCATTATATTTCAGTACTCCAAAGAAACCTCTTGTTTTCATGGGAAGTGTGTGTGGTCGGCCACAGAGCACAACAACAATGGTCAACAGTCGAATCTATTGAACAGAGTAGGTACACAGGGAGTGGCGTGCATCTGATCATACATTTCCGACTTGTTCCCGCAACACAGATCTCGTCAGACCCATTTCAAAAGGTTTCTCCCCGAACCTAAACCCAAACCTTTGCTGACCTTTGTATTCGGTGTCCGGTTGCAGGTTCCGTAGATAGACCTTGACGTTTCCCTGGACAATCTCCTCACTGCGACTGTGCGACAGTGTTCGGACTGAGGCCTTTATGGCGTAATGATGATCGCCTTCGCCGAACCACCTGGACAGCTTCGACTTGAACGGGCCCTTCCCGACCGAACGAGATCTAGGACAAGAAAGTGCAGAGACACAGAGAAGCCTTACAAGTGAAGAGTGCATGCATAAAGGCGAATACGCCCAGCCTCTAAGCATATGAACGATCACTGATTGTGATATTGGGCAAGGCTTACAGCCAGCATTGGAGGACAACGCTTGACACTGAAGAAACCAGAAGAATGTGAGCTGAGTAGGGTGGCTGGGGTGGGTTGCGAGGGCCATACACCGGTGAGGTTAGGTAGCTATATGACGAACACGACCCCCCCCCCCCCCCCCTTAACCCCCCTCAACCCCCCCCCCCCCCCCGCCTTACACAGAGAAGCCTTACCCTCCCCCCTTGCGTTACCCCCTCCTATTAACCCCCCCCCACACACACACACACACCGGTCCACACCACTCTTTGCCATGCACACTCGGTCTCGCTCACCTTTGCCCGTCAAATTCACGATGTCTGGACTTGCCGGTGGGCAGGTCCTCATCGGTGAAGGACACGTGACCATGCATTCCCTTCTTCTTTCCCTTGCCAACAAAGCCCTTGTCGTACTTCTCCTTGGCATTGTGCCGGAGCGTCGCGTCCTGGATTTCCAGCGCCAGTGGTCGGCCGCTGCCAGATCCGACCTGGGACGAAGGCGAAACCGGCCCGCCGCTACCGGGCGTCGTCGACCTGGAGAGTGTAGACTGTGGAAATGGTCCATCCAGCGCTTCGCCGTCGTGCGGCCACAGGACATCCTGCAGCGAGCCGCTCAGGTAAGTGGTTATCTCGGACACGGCGGTCGCCGGTGCCTGCGAGTCCAACACTTCCAGCATGGCAAGGAGCTTCTCCTTGTTTTCGCCCTCGCTGAGACGAAGCAGAGCTGAAGACAAGCACCAGAGTGCCAATCACACATGCAGTACCAGTAATCACATCATACATGCATTATCAGTAATGAAATCACACATGCATTATCAGTAATGACATCACACATGCATTATCAGTAATGACATCACACATGCATTATCAGTGATCACATCACACATGCATTATCAGTCATCGCATCAAACATGCATTACCAGTCATCGCATCACACATGCCTTACCAGTCATTGCATCACACATGCATTTTTTTCACACATGCACTTTTAGTAGTGCAGAAATCCAAATAATTCACCTTTACTCCCCAAATGCAATCGCATAATCAGGAAAGGCCTACGCGGGACCTGAACAACAATCCATTCGCACTTCATGACGCAACGCCTTGTAACATTGCTGAGAGCATGTCTCATAACATCATGAGTCATGGCATCCGAATAATGACATAACTAATGACATAATTCTTCATGACATCACTGCTGGTGAATGGTGACATGTCTCATTACATCACAACTTATGGCATCTAAACTGAAGACGTAATTGATGACCTTGTGCGTAAGGTTTTTCATGTAATGAAGCGGCTGCAGTGGAGCTTGTGCACATTAAGAAATAATTTGACATCATTTCTTTCTTGGGATAGTAGCATGATATACGAACTGACCTTTCACCGAATCCGTTGCGTTAGTATTCGAAGTTGCAGTGTACACCGCTGCGAGGAATGCCTCACGCTCCTCATCAGTCTCCACACCCAGTTGATCTGGATAATGACAATTCACACATACACACACATGTGCACATACACACACACCTCAGACCTCAGACATGCCCATCGCGGAAGCGATGATAGCGAACAGCTATGTTAGACATAGCAACTTGTGCTGGGATTACACCATTCAACAGCTTGCAAGGCTGATGAATTGACCGCCACTATTTTTAGCCTGGTATCCACCACACAGCTGTTTGAAGTGACTTTTTCCACACACACCCACACACACACACACACACAAATTCCACTGGGATTTTTAAAGAATCCTCCTTATTCATTCGCTCTAGCTGTCAGTCGGGAGTCAGCCAAGTGGTAAGATGGCGGGAGGAAGCGTACTCTCCCAAGGTGGAAGCAACCGAAGTTCTACGACTTGCGCCGATGCTGCTATGACATTTTTTTAACGTCATGAATCCCGTTGATCCCCGAGCTGCAGAGAGTGCTCAATGTCAAAGTCAGAGAGCTTTGTACATAGCAGACTCAGCGGCGGACGACGTTCAGGTCACAAGTTGATTGTACCTCCGAGTTTTCTTTGGTCTTTTGTCTTGTCATTCAGTTGTCTGATGATTGCCTAGCGGCACGAAACTCAGAGTTACAACCAACCTGAACGTCCTCAGCTGAGTCTGCTATGTAAAACACCTAATGTGTTTAACTATCACAGTACAAGCAGAAATATTCGTCTGGAATTAAATATCAATATAAAACTGTGGAATTTAAAATCGTCTTTTTCGTCCAAGGAGCTGTTGGACTAAATTAAGTGCCGGACTAATGTCGATTTGTCCAGCTTTTCAATACACTCTTGTGATCCATGGACGAAATTCTCAACCGGACGAACTCCCTTTCTGTGGAGTTGGATGAAATGATTGACCGACGAAACGTTCCGCCTGTACAGTATCCTACTACGTCAACCGTGAGATACTCCAGCCATCGCCAGAAGTGCGGACACTCGAGTATTTTAAATAGATACAACACATTCATCTAGTGTCTACTCACCCAGTAGGGCCAGATCCACAACGGCAAGGTGTTTTCCCTCAAGCTGGAGCTCTGAAGTCAGTCAACACGGACAAGCACAATGAGATTGAAGGAAATAATATCATTTGCAGTTGAAGCAGCCCCTTCCGGAACTGGACAGCAAAACCCTCTGCAATAATGATATGCACCACTCCGCAAGGATGTACAGCAGCCTTGCGACGCCGAAAGGAAAGATACAGCTAGAACCGTGCCAGGCATCAGGGCCACTAACGGGACCGAGCTAGCACACTCTTTCACCCCATTAGGGCATATTGAGCAGGGCTAACCTCCCCCCCCCCCCCCTCCTTATGCCCCCCCCCCATTCATGCCCCCCCCCCCCCCCCCCATCCACCCCTCTCACACATCCATCGCATTCAGGTCAAAAAATAATATCATGTCTGTTCAGATCGGTTGGTGCTGGCCCAACTCAGGAGCTTGCCCTGCCCAGCCTAATGCGTATCCCGCTGTGTAGTGTTCAGCCTGCACAGGGCGATGAGCAGGCACACCACCATGGCTGCTGCTTATTTCCGTTGCGTGCACCCCATGGCTTTTAGTAAAAACAAAAAACAAAAAATACAGCGCTACCTATCTGAAGAAACTTAGACACAGTCGTCTCGGGTCCCAAACCATGTGCATTGTGCAAACATCCTGAATCTGATCTACGCAGGTTTCGGATGCAGGTGTTAGATCTCTTTACCTTGTGCTCTATGGCAGTACTTGTGAAAGCCGCAATGCTTCAGCCAGGAGATCACGTCGGAGTGAGACCACTGGTGAATACTCTGCTGGTGGTAAAAACAAGAAGAAAAGAGCAAAGAAATACCGCGGCAGTGAACAAACCAAGTAAGTGCTTCAGCGAGACTATAGTGGCTAGAACGATAATGCTTCTTGCAAAAATCAAATCCTCTTTTGAACCAAGAGTGGTACATATGATTAACAAAGATAGAAATATTTACGATACTTTTCCAGACGTTTCGTCGTTCTGAACAGCATCGTCAGTGGATAAAGAATGGAGTGCTTTTTGCCCCTGGATTGACGTTTCACGTGATCCATGGCCTGTGAAGCTCTCGGTCGTGATGATGACCTTGGCCTCCGGACCCAAACGCGGCACAGACCAGTGATGCCATTGCTGCCATCAGGTGTAAGCCAACCCTGCCCCAGTGGCAACTTGAGCGCGCAGCCATGGAGCAAAACCAAGAGTGCATGAAATGGTGTGCAGCTCGGATGGGTTGGTGTCAAGATTATTCGGCTACTGGGTTTTGACCGTGATTCGTTTCACCACTAGTGACCACTCTGATAAGGCGACTACCTGTGCCAGAAGACCACTATAGCTATGACCAGGGATGTCATTTCCAGTCAAATGACCCAAGATAAGGAGGCCACTTGTACTAGGAATCCACATTTTGAAGGTCCATTGAGCGGTGAGCTTAGACAGGTTTATCTGCATGATTGTATTGACACTAGTCAGAAACAGCTGGATGAGTTCAATACCAGAGCGGGCGATTCTTCAGTCACTGTGGTAGCCAGGTGGGCGGACGAGAGTGGAGACTGCCGCTCGTGCGCTCCCTTCTTGCGCCCTGCCGTGGACAGGGTCCTGAACATGTCGGGCGGGGGCACCGCTGTGGGGGAAACACCTGAGCAATGAACACGTTTGCGCAGAGAAACACACACACTTCAATAAGCCCATTGCGCAAAGACGCAATTCGTACCATAAGCACACCACACAGCAACTTGTGCATGGTCGTGTGGAATGTTGAACAGTGCATTGCTGATCTATGATCGTGTAGGATGCTGAACAGTGCATTGCCGATCTATGATCGTGTAGGATGCTGAACAGTGCATTGCTGATCTATGACCGCGTAGGATGCTGAACAGTGCATTGCTGATCTATGATCGCGTAGGATCATTGCTGATCTATGATCGCGTAGGATCATTGCTGATCTATGATCGCGTAGGATGCTGAACAGTGCATCGCTGATCTATGATCGTGTAGGATGCTGAACAGTGCATTGCTGATCTATGATCGCGTAGGATGTTGAACAGTGCATTGCTGATCTATGATCGTGTAGGATGTTGAACAGTGCATTGCTGATCTATGATCGCGTAGGATGTTGAACAGTGCATTGCTGATCTATGATCGTGTAGGATGCTGAACAGTGCATTGCTGATCTATGATCGTGTAGGATGTTGAACAGTGCATTGCTGATCTATGGTTGTGTAGGGTGTTGAACAGTGCATTGCTGATCTATGATCGTGTAGGATGTTGAACAGTGCATTGCTGATCTATGATCGTGTAGGATGCTGAACAGTGCATTGCTGATCTATGATCGCGTGGGATGCTGAACAGTGCATTGCTGATCTATGGTTGTGTGGGGTGTTGAACAGTGCATTGCTGATCTATGATCGCGTGGGATGTTGAACAGTGCATTGCTGATCTATGATCGTGTTGGATGTTGAACAGTGCATTGCTGATCTATGATCGTGTAGGATGTTGAACAGTGCATTGCTGATCTATGATCGCGTAGGATGTTGAACAGTGCATTGCTGATCTATGATCGTGTAGGATGTTGAACAGTGCATTGCTGATCTATGATCGTGTGGGATGCTGAACAGTGCATTGCTGATCTATGATCGTGTGGGATGCTGAACAGTGCATTGCTGATCTATGGTTGTGTGGGGTGTTGAACAGTGCATTGCTGATCTATGGTTGTGTGGGGTGTTGAACTGTGCATTGCTGATCTATGATCGTGTAGGATGTTGAACAGTGCATTGCTGATCTATGGTTGTGTGGGGTGTTGAACAGTGCATTGCTGATCTAGGGTTGTGTGGGGTGTTGCACTGTGCATTGCTGATCTATGATCGTGTAGGATGTTGAACAGTGCATTGCTGATCTATGATCGCGTAGGATGTTGAACAGTGCATTGCTGATCTATGATCGTGTGGGATGCTGAACAGTGCATTGCTGATCTATGATCGCGTAGGATGTTGAACAGTGCATTGCTGATCCCAGCATACTGACATTATAGTACTTGTGCACTCCATACAATACGTAATTCACAAATATTACACAGCAATGAATCAAGCAAGTCTCATTCCGCTGTAACTCCGAGCATATGCTGTCTGATGAAGTGTTTTGACACGAAACTCGGAGTTACAGCGGAATGAGACTTGTTTGATTCATTGCTGTGTAATATTTGTATCACTTGCTGTGTCCAGTGGGCATTGAGCACTGTAAGCAGCCTAGGGACTTTAGACAACTGTCAATACGTGATTCATGTGGGTGTGCTATACATGTATTTCTCAAACCACGCACAATGCCCAAAGTCCAAACAGGCCCGTTTCCCTGTTCTGCATCAGAAAGGAGAGATTTGTCTCTCCAGTTTCTTCATTCCCCGGGATTGTTCGTACTCACTTCCTGACACGAGCGAGGCCGTCGAGGGCTTCACGTGGATCAAACGGCGGCCGATGGTTTCCGCATCCGACTCAGAGTCGCTGGCCGACTTTGACGGCGGACCATCATCCGCTGCAGTGCAGTAAGAGAACCACAGTACAATGTGAGCACTGCAAAATCCAGACTCACTCTGCAAAATCCAGATTAACCCTGAAAAATCCAGACTCATTCTGCAAAATCCAAATTCACTCTGCAAAATCCAGATTCACTCTGCAAAATCCGGATTCACTCTGAAATGTTTAAAGATTATACATGCTAGGTACCCAACCTGTCCCCGATCGTGGACAGTCATAGTGATCTCCTGCGCTCACCGGGAAAGCCATTTCCGTTCTTAGGTAACATAATGGCAGGCAGGGCCACCCCAGCAACAGATACCCCGATGCCAGTAGAATTTGAGGGTGGTCAGGAATTAGGTACAGTCAGACGTCGTTTAACCGCACACGTCCGTTTTCCACAAAAATATCCTTGCCAACCATACAGGTTTTCCCGGTATACTATAGGAGAACTAGGGTAACTACCGACATCAGGGCCGGGGATTTTGACTTTGATCGAAAAACTATCGGAATTGGCACTGAACCATGAGTGTTCAAAAAAGGGTTGCTTTGTGGTGCGACAAGAGCACATGCGGCCCTGTATTTCACAGAATCACGGCATGTAGGGGCGACCTGACAATAAAGAAACTCGGGTTTTAGTCCCCAAATGAGCAATGGGTGAGAAATGAATGAAAAGAAAGAAAAAATTTCCAAAAAAATTGCGGAAATACGCAAAATACTGGAAAATTGCCCAAAAGAAGAGAAAATAACCGAAATTGGCGAAACCAGCAAAATAAGGGAAATGAGAGAAAATAAAGGGAAACTGGGTGTGTGACTAAAGGATTTTGCTTTGGCTGGGTTGGCAAGTCTGCAAAAATATCCGGATGGACGAGGGAACCGGATACTTGAACACACATACTGTATAAGCATATGCACTAACAGTTACATATGCTGTAAATCGGTAACCAACGATTGTCTTCCGGATGGGGAGGGATCCGGATAAAAGAGGACCGGATAAGCGAGGTCCGACTGTACGCTCCAGCTCCTCAAAATTACCCATAGGAAAAGGAAAACATGTTAGCGACAGCATGTGTTCACCTGCGTCCTACGTACTAATTTCAAAAGGCACTGTGGCCGGAGAAAACAAGGAAAACTCATTGTTCTCCTTTCAATTCTATGAGTTCATACTGGTGGCGTTCCCATGACGGATGCGGAAAACTGGGCTTCCAGCCGAGTCTCACGCGAACCGTGAATTTTATTTTTTATACAGGCATAATCGATGCTTCGGATAATCGGCATTCTTCTACTGTCGTAAAAAAAAGCAGCAAAAAAAGTCAACTTGGCAGCGGTGGGATTCGAACCCACGCCTCCGGAGAGACTGGAGCCTTAATCCAGCGCCTTAGACCACTCGGCCACGCTACCAGATACATTACTCGTGTATACACCAGCACATTCTGAGCAAAATGGGGAGGAGCAGTATCTTCGAATAGTTCCACGAAATTCGTCAATGCACAACATGTGGCAGTGAGTATGTCTGGTTCCTTGCTTCCGGTTGCCAGAATTCTGGCGGATATTTAGTTAAAGGGGAAGTTAAGGCAAAAATTAAAATTTCACCAGTTGTAGTCTTCGGGGTGCTGAGTCGAATGGTCGTGGTCCGAGGAAGCTGAGACGCTCCCTTCCTACTTGAATCCCAATCGAACTCGCGCACTTCCACCGAAACTGGGTGACTGCGCCCTACTAGATGGAGATTTGTATGCAAAATGTCACTAAAAGCGCCAACTCGTTCTTATAAAAGCACGGATGACCGCGATTGGCCCATATGTTGTAGTCTTTTGGACGCCGAGTCGACTGGTTTTGGTCCGAAAAGGCTGCGATGCAGCGTTCCTCCTTTATTCCCAATCGAACATGGTTGAACAAGCGGTCACGTGCTCCTGCGTACGCCAGTCACCTGGTCACCGCGCCTGCAGGGTACAACTTACTAGCCTGTTTGACCTTTTTTGGGTGCAGTCCTGTCACTCGAGTTGAACCTTGGTGTGAAAGTTGTCGCCTGCTGGCGTGGTGACCAGGTGATTTGGGCACCCAGGAGCACGTGACCGCTTGTTCAACCATGTTCGATTGGGAATAAAGGAGGAACGCCGCATCGCAGCCTTTTCGGACCAAAACCAGTCGACTCAGCGTCCAAAAGACTACAACATATGGGCCAATCGCGGTCATCCGTGCTTTTATAAGAACGAAATGGCGCTTTTAGTGACATTTTGCATACAAATCCCCATCTAGTAGGGCGCAGTCACCCAGTTTCGGTGGAAGTGCGCGAGTTCGATTGGGATTCAAGTAGGAAGGGAGCGTCTCAGCTTTCTCGGACCAAGACCATTCGACTCAGCACCCCGAAGACTACAACTGGTGAAATTTTAATTTTTGCCTTAACTTCCCCTTTAAATTAATGTGAGTTGAATGGTCCCAAAACGATCTCCCGAGAACATACAGGAGTAACGATGATTCCGAGACCTTTGGTGGGAGGAGTTACTTTTGCCCCGCCCCCACTTCCATCCAATATGCCACCGCCCCCGCTGTGCAGCATCTGATGGTTTGTGGTATTCAGTAAAAAATTATTAAAAAAACCACACACACACACTACTGTATGACACACATCTATTTTCCGTCTGATTTCTCGATTTGGCACCGAATTCTTTTGTTGAAGTAGCGATCGGACTCGAATCACTTGCTCTCGTGTCGCTGTACTGTTCTGTCCATTTGGTTTGCGACGTCAATCTAAGAAAATAGCAGCCCAGACCGGGAGTGCCCCACAGCGACAAGTACAGTAGAACCTGTCAAGGTGACCGCTCTGATAAGGCGACCACCTGTCCAAGAAGACCACTGAAACCAGGACCACCAAGGGATGCTATTTCTAGTCCAATGACCCTGGATAAGGAGACCACCTGGCAACAGAGACCACCCGTGAGCGGTCGTCTTAAGACAGGTTTCACTTTACAGTAAAACCTGTCAAGGTGACCACCTGTCCGAGAAGGCCACTACAACCAGGACCAAGGGGTAACAATTACAGTTAAATCACCCTGGATAAGGAGGCCACCTGCACACAAGGACCACGGTTTGAAGGTCCCATGAGCAGTGGGCCGCTTACACAGGTGTCACTGTACTTGATACCGTACAAGCAGAAAGACAAATTTTCGGCAGCTATTTAATTTCGGCTATATTCGATATTCGGCACCGACCCAAAACGCCTAAATTAAAACGCCGATAAAATTTTTCACAGCATCTGTCGCACTATACCATGCCCTCTACCCCACGCGGAAAATAAATCGCCGCCGAAATGTCAAAAATCGTGAAGTGCCGAAATTTTGCAGCGCTGAAATTTTGTATATTTACAGTAAGCAGAAATATTCGGCCGGAGTTTGATTTTTTCTTTTCGTCCAAGGAGCATTTGGACTAAATTAAATGCCGGATTACTGCTGATTTAAACAAACGGTGAGGAGACAATAATTTGATAACCGCAATCAAGACAAGCTGAATGTCTTTCTGTTTAATGTCGATTCAGCTTGTCTTATTGATTGCGGTTACTGCTTATTTGTCCAGCTTTTCAATACAGTGTACACTCTTATGATCCATGGACTGAATTTTCAACCGGACAAATTCCCTTTCTTTTGAGTTGGACGAAATTGTTGACCGACGAAATATCCTGCTGGTCAGTATCTCATTCAGTACGTACCCAAAGCACTTGGTAAGTGCTGGCCACGCTTCAGAGATGCTTCCGGGATGTTGCTGAGACGATTGGGACTGAGACGTGACAGAGCTGACATGCCTACAATGCAACACGACAAGCAAAACAGGAACAGAGAGCACAACAGGTCAGGCAATGTGCATTTGTCACACAGAGCAGCACAATCCAAGAAACTTGCAGAAACTTACTGTCGTCATTGTCTGGTTCATCTGGTGCACCGGCGACACTCTCATCCATACGCTTATGCAGCTCTTCCTCCTCCTATGATACAGACAAGTGATGGTTTGCACATGCACGTACGCACACATGCACACACACACACACACACACACACACACACACACACACACACACACACACACACACACACACACGCACACGCACACACACACACACACACACACACACACACACACACACACACACACACACACACACACACACACACACACACACACGCAAGCGCACGCAATGTAATATGGTCCTCGTGTGAAGTTGACTCCGTGACCAGTCTTGTTGGACTGGCAACAACATTGGTGTTGGCCTTAAATGTAGTGGTCTTCTGTTACAGGTTGTCCATTTATCACAGTGGTCTTCTGTTACAGGTTGTCCATTTATCACAGTGGTCTTCTGTTACAGGTTGTCCATTTATCAGAATGGTGCCCTTTCAGAGCAGGTTTACATTGCAGTGTCAGGTTTCCAAAACGGAGTGCCGAAGAGCAAGATTTATAACAGCCTAGAATTTCACCAAGCGCAGCATACCAATGTATACACGGTGACTCAACTGTGCATAGACTGTAAGTCTGTAATGCATGAAAATAAGAACAGTCTAAGCTCGGAGGCTGACCCCCTAGTTCTTTGGCGACTGTACCGTATACACGGTGACTCAACTGTGCATAGACTGTAATACATGCAAATACGTACGGTCTAGGCTAGGAGGTCCCCCCCCCCCCCCCCCCCCCCCGTTCTTCGGCTCCCAATAGTACTACAGCACATCACCATACACTGGCCTACCTGAAAGCTGTTCTGTGACGAGACACCAGAGCGCACAGAGTGGCGATGCATGTGACGGATCTGGTCCACTTCAGCGATGAGCTGCTCCGCTGGCTTGCCCATGATGCCAATCTCCGCTGTATTGCCAGAACGAGAGCACACATTTGTTTTGTTCTTCGAAACATTGGACCAACCGCTCTTAATCCCAGGTGGTCTTTTTCACAGGTGGCATTGGGAAGTGTTCCCAGAAAGAAAGAGAAAGATAGGTTTTCTGTTTATAGTGTAGTGCACTGCATATGACTATCTGATTTCAGCACCGGTACAACAGGCCCGGAGCCAACTCCTGGGGGGTGGTGCAGCCCCAAGTTGGCCACAGGACCGATTATTTCCCCATGTCCAATTTCGAAATCCTGGGAAGATTGTCTCAAGCTCTGTGCATATCTGTTTGTTTCAGATACATATTATTCCTGTAGCAACAAGATATGCAGCTAGCGCACTAGACCTCACTTGACAAGAAGAGCAGTTTAAAAAGCAGAGACTCTAGAGAGGAGCACATGAGGATAGCCTATTACTGGTACTTCCAGATAATCAATTGCATACTGAGCACTCCATGAACGCTGGAATCGGTAAAAACTGGTACCGCCACGGCCGCACCAGCCGTACCAGTGGCACCGACCCTGCACAACCATGAGCAAATACAGTGGAAACTAGTTTTTCTTACCCAAGTCATCGCCTGTCATGTTTATGATCTCCTGTCCATTAACACCAGCAGCTGCAAGCACAGCACAATGGCAACACACACAAACACACAGAGAAACCAAGCAAGAGGTCAGACTTGAACTAAGAAAGTGTGCATACATAGTCACGGGTACTGCCAGCTTTAGTTGAGAGAGACGACACAGACGGATGGGAGGACAGGCGCGCGGACAGACTGTTGGACACACGGAAGGAGAGACAGACCGACGGACGGATGGAGGGAGATGCGAGAGGGAGAAAGTAATTTATTTCCAGTGAAACTTGTCTAAGCCGACTGCTCAAGGGACTTTACAAATGTTGTCCCCGTGTGCCGATAGTCTCCTTACCCTGAGCAATATGACTGGCAATAACATCCCTTCATCCAAGTTGTTGTGGTTCTCATGGAAAGGTACTCACCCCATCGGCGTGGCCGGCATGACAAATTCTATTGTAATGCCGTTGCTGTTTGCGTTACGCAGAGCTCACTGACTTGTCAGTTTGAGAACTCTGGCAAGGTTCGTTCGGGCCTGGTTTAAATCTGGCTTTTGGAAAATATATTTTTCATTGCTATCAGGTTCGGCCTCATTTTCTCTGTGCTGCGCTGATGGGTCCACAAAGGACGAAACAATTCTGTCCGCAGATTGAGTATTGTATTCACACAGAAATGGCTCTACGTATCTCCCAGGTATTCAACT